TAAAGTGGGAGATGCAATATATAAAGTAATATTTTTTTGAACCAATTATCTTTATAGTTCCTGAGAACGAGAGGGGTGGTTGGCCGTTAGTCCCAAGAAAATGTGGAGCCACCGTCCTAGTCTATAGAGGTGGTTTCTTGAAATGTAGAAGATGCAGGCTGATGGTTGACCATGATTTTTGCATGAGAAATGCACTTCTTCAACATTGTTAGCTTGATAATGAAGATATCCATGTGCTCTTTCACTTGGACCCAACCTCTTCATGTATTGGTCGGTATCCTTGACAATTCCTTGCTTGGCTGTTCCTACTTCCTCGCATGGCCCATGCATGTGGATATTTCATGGCATCCTAATTAGCCACGAATACATTAATAGAGTTTCCCTAATACACTTCTACAAACATAAATTAAAATTACAACTTTACTCCGCTCATTAAATAAATGCATGTGTTTTGAAAATTGAGGTGTTTAGATAGCTGCGCTTAAAATGCAAAGTACTTTGGGAGTGAATTTGGAATTCATCCTCTACTTCATTTTAAGTGTCTTTGGAATTTGTCCATTTTGAGTGAATCCCAAATATACAACTTTAGTAAGAGTGATGTCGAGTATTGACCACCGCTGCGGTTGACCACCACCCTCACCATTGGACGACTCGGATCAAATATTGTTCAAAATGTACTACTATTTTACTTTGCATTCCATTACTTCAAAGCGGACAAAAAATAAATTCCTGCATTTATAGTCCTCTCAACCTTACAACTCAAAAGCATATTTAATATACTACCTTTACTTTCCACTGCAGTCTTTTTTGCTTTGCATTCCTGTTTAAACCAAATAGCTCCTAAATGAAATTCAATAAATATAAGTATAACACAAAAAAAGAACATGAAAGTTGTTTCAAAGCCCTCTTGATGTGCTGTATCGACTTTCTCTCAATTGAAAAGAAATTCTGTTCTACCAAGTTGATTTGATGTGTCAATTACAATGCCCCTAGGCTCCAACTCTAAGCATCCAGGGCATGCACCAGGCGGAGTGGTTGTTGAGGTCGGAGGCTGTGCAAATGGAAGCATATTAGTGGAGTATATGTTGGTTTTGATAATCCTACAAAGAAAAGCACCTACAAAATTGGTTCTTTATTTTCTGAAGAAGGTTTAGTCTGCTAATTCTGATGCTTCATAACTCCTTGAAATAGTAACTAATCACCAGCAATGAAAAGATGATTGACAAACATGACAAATGGAGCTCAAATATCGATTACGTGATGTTGTGATCCAATTTTTTTGCAACTCATAGCAAGTGATTGCGATACCATAGAGGACATGAATGTGAAATAAAATATATCCACAATCAACATACTGCCATTATCATTTGTTTTGCAACACGATTATAAAATTTTGTCATTCTCACATTATCTTGATGGTGGTGAGACCCCTCAAATTTAAGGGAAAATTCTATAAGATGGTGGTGAGACCTGCAATGTTTTATTGTGCCGAATGTTGGCCATTAAAAGAGAAGCATAATACTAAGTTAAGTGTTGCAGAGATGAGGATGCTTAGGTGGATGAGTGGCTTTACTCTTAGAGATAGGATACGAAATGAGCATATACGTGAAAATGTTGGAGTAGCTCCAGTGGAAGATAAGATTAGAGAGAGTCGCCTTAGATGGTTTGGTCACATTGAATGGAGGCCTTCCGATGACCCGGTTAGGAAAGTTGAGGTATTATATTTGACTTATGTTAAGAAAGGTAGAGGTAGACTTAAAAAGATTTGGTTAGAAAATATTAGAAATGATCTTTCTTTATTAGATTTAAATGAAAATTTGACTTTTAGCAGGACACAATGACGAAAAAGGATTCATGTAGTTGACCCCACATAGTGGGACAAAGACTTGATGTTGTTGTCACATTATCTTGATGTAATACCAATAGCGAAGGCTATGAAAGTAGTGATAATAATAATGAGCGACATATATGTGGGTGATGATTTAAGTAATCTAAGTCAGTTGTACTTAGGAAAAAAAAGAAAAAAAAAAACATATAAGTTAGTTGCATTGGACCAATGATTTGGGTGAGATGATCAACGTGTGATAGGAGGAAGTGGTCAAAGTTTTTGTTTTATATTTTATTTTTTTTACTTTTACTTTTGTATTCATTTCACGTCAATGTTTAGGCATTTCAAGTTGGCGGCTTCAGTGTGTAGAAGTTTTTTGAAATATGGCTAGAAATTGAAATGGACAACTTTTTTCATTGCATAAAGTTGGTAAGAAGTATAAGATAAAATGGGATACAACAACAACATCAAGCTTTTATCCCACAATGTAGGATCAACTACATGAATCTTTTTTTATCCATTGTATCTTTTTAAGAGTCAAATTCTCATTTAAATCAAACAAAAAAATGTCTTTTCTAAAATTTTCTAAGCAAGTCTTTTAAGTCTACTACCTCTACCTTTTTTAACATAAGCCAAATCTAATACATCTACTCTCCAAACAAGATCATCGGAAGGCCGATGTTTTATGTGACCAACCATCTTAGGCGTCTCTCTCTAATCTTATCTACCACTAGAGCTACTCCAACCTTTTCATATATATGCTCGTTTCACATTCTGTCTCTAAGAGTAAAGCCACTCATCCACCTTAGTATCCTCATCTCTACAACACTTAATTTTATGCTTCTCTTTTAATGGCAACATTATGTGCCAATCGCCATAAAGCATTGCAGGTCTCACTACCATCTTATAGAATTTTCCCTAAAGTTTGAGGACTACTTTTCCACCACACAATAGGCCTGATGCATTCCTCCACTTCAACCATCCAACTTGAATTATACTAATAATATCCTCATCTATTTCATCATCACTTTGAACAATAGGCCCGCTATATCTAAAACATGCACTCTTATTAATGATTTGATCGCCCAAAGTCACAATCTCCCATTAGATCTATTACTACTAAAATTACACTCCATGTATTTGATCTTAGATCCACTCAAACGACAATCTTTAGATTCTAAGGTTAACCTCCATAATTCAAGCTTGCCTTCAACTCCCTCTCTAGTCTTATCAACAAGGAGAATATGATCAGCAAAAAGCATACACCAAGGTACATCCTCTTGTTAATGTCTAGTTAGAACACCCATAAAGTAAAAAGATATGAGCTTAAAGCTGTTCCTTGATGTAATCCAACTAAAATGGGAAAATACTTGGTCAAACCATCTCGTGTTTGAACACAAGTAGCAACTCCTGCATACATATCCTTAATGACTTATATAAGCATTATTAATCTCTTTCTTTTCTAGAGCTCTCCATATCACTTCTCTTTGAACTTCATCATATGATTTTTATAAATCAATAAATATCATATGTAGATCCTCCTTATTCTGTCTATACTTTTCCATCAGACCTCTTAATAAATGTATAGCTTCCATAATAGACCTACTTGGCATGAATCCAAATTTTATTTTGAGAAACATTAGTATCACATCATAACCTATGCTCAATAACTCTATCCCATAGTTTTAAAGTATGACACATTAACTTAATTCCTCTATAATTCGTACACTGTTGTGCATCACCTTTATTCTTAAAAATAGGATTCACTACACTCCACTCATTTGGGATTTATTGTAGTCTTCAAAATAATATTGAAAATTTTTTTAAGCCAAGAAATTCCTTCATCTCCTAAGCATTTTTACAACTCTATGGGAATATCGTTAGGTCCAACAACTTTTCCACACTTCATTTTCTTTAAAGCCCTCTAACTTCGGTTTTACTAATACGTCAATAAAAACAAAAATCTTTATTTTCATTTATGATGTTAAGGTCAATAAAGTCAATAGTATTCTCACAATCTTTATTGAAATGTTAATCAAAATATCTCATCTACCTTTGTTGAATATCCTCTTCTAATAAAAGAACAATCATAGATCAATAGAAGATGGAGAGATGTGTGAAGAAGGAATTATTGGGCTTTGCATGCATATGACATTGAATGATATTTACTTTTCTTTTTTTTTTGAAGAAAAATTTAATTCCATTCAACCAAAATTATGCAAAGAGTTTTAAATAATCTTGCGATGATTTTTTTTTTCCACATTCATGCCATTATATTTCATAAATATTTCTATTTATCTCAAGTTAGTGAGCAGCAACACATCAACAAATAACTTGCTCTCAACTTGAAATTAAAATATTTTGCTTGATTCTACATTTATTGTGCAAATTGTCTCTGGGTAAAATAAATTACCTAAGAATCAATTTAGATCATTTGAAGGAGGCTCGAAGTCATGAACTGTTCAATAATAGGTCAATGTGAGTCAATATCTAATTATAACATATAGTTGAGATATTAAATATTTTCTCACATATTAGGGGTCCTTTGAGCATGTTTCTAAATTTTAATTAATACTTTCACACCTTTTGGCTAATTAAAAATTAAATTATTTTAATTACTATTTGTGTCTGACTTCCATCAACCCTCACCCCCATGCATCAATTTATGATTTGAATTTTAGCATTTTGGCTATCTTTTATGGCACAAGTTGACCTCATATTGCAGTTGATCTATTCTTATAATCTAATATAAAAGGTTGGAGTAGCTCCGGTGGTAAGATTAGAGAGAGGTGTCTTACATGGTTTTGTCACATAAATCATAGGCCTTCCGATGACTTGGTAAGGAGAATAGATGTATTAGATCAAACCTATATTGGAAGGTAGAGGTAAACTTAAAAAGATTTGATTAGAAAGTATTAGAAATGATCTCTTTTTATTAGATTTAAATGAGAATTTGACTCTTAAAAGGATAAAATGAAAAAAGAAGGATTCATGTAGCTAATCCCATGTAGTGGGATAAATATTTGATGTTATTGTTGTAGTTGTATTCTTGTAATCTAATTATGTTGTGATATAAAATTTAAGATGCTGGTCTCCCTACTGCTCAATTTTTTATCTCTTTCTTTTATTTATCATTTATGGTCTTTAATTTGTTTGACTTTTAATGATGCAGAATTGAACAGTCAAGTTAGCAATGCTACACCACAACAATTGCTTGAGAAATGGAAAACATCTGGCCAAGATGAAAATGTCGTACAAGGAAGCGTCTCTGTATCAAAACAATTACTTGAACAATGGAAAGCTTGCACTGAAGATGAAAATATTGGACAAGCGATGCGGCAAACAGAAGAGCAGCACTTGCAGTCCTTAAAGCAGCATCTTTCTCAAACAGAGCAGACAAAACAAGAACTTGGTGCCAATGAAAACGATCAAGCAACAGAAAGTCAGTCAGATAGCGGTCATCACCTCTCTCAAGACAAACATCCTCAATCCAAGCAGTGGAAACCTTCCCCAGCTGTTGAAAAGGATGAAATGAAGACTATTGAGAAAATTTCTTTTCAACCTCACAAACAGGAAGGAGTTCAGTCATCTACGAGTCAAACTCACAGTTCTCAGCAGTTGAATGTTCAACAATCATTAGCTTCCAATGAAGAAAACCATCTACATAATTTGCATCATTTGAATGTTCAACAGCCACAGGTTTCTAGTGAAGCAACCAATTCAGCTAGACAAACGAAACAGATACCTACCATACCATTCCACTTGTTAATCCCAATTCTACGTCCTCATCTTGATAAGGATAGATCAATGCAGCTTCAGGCCATCTTTTCTAAGCTAAGGGTGAGACATACTTGCTTACAGTAAAAAGTAATTCACAACATCATAAACTTGCTAGCTGATTGATTACCTTTTGGATTTGTGTGATTGTAGTATTTTGCATTGGATTTGGTTATACTGTTGCATGAGAGCTCTTTTTCTTACAAGATAAATCTTTTGAAAGTGGCTTTTGTATGCGAACATTTGTTAAATAAAATTATCTGCTGATATATTGACTTCTTCATGAGCGTTCTTTAAGAAGCTCCATTTTGATGTTAGTATGTGATGTTTTCGCTGAGCTGGGATGTCTAATGTGTGGTAAATCTGCTTCTAGCAAACTCTAAGTTTTGGTTTTGTAGAGTAATGAAGTCAGCAAGGATGACTTCTTGAGGGTTATCAGGAATATTGTTGGTGACCAGATGCTTAGACAGGCAGCTCAGAAACTTCAAGTGCAGGTGAGTGATTAATTATTTATCATAACTGTGCAAATTTTCATGATTGTTGTTATTGGAGAGATGGACTTGTTAGAATTATAAGAAATGCGACGCACTTAACCAATTTTTTGGGTTTATATGATGATTGTAATGGGATACCATCAACTTTATATTTTTATCTTACGCAGCTTCAAGCTCCAGCAAATCGAAATCCTCCGATGAACCCAAACCTATATTCTTTACAGGTACAAGCCTCCTGAAATCTTCCATTTCATTGGTGATTTGCCAAATCTTAGATGTTCCACCATTTCATCTCATGTCATCTTCCCAGAACCAAAAGGGGCAGAAATCTCCCCCTCGGCAGCTCCCCATTGTTTCAGCTTCAACAATCCAAAGGCAAACTGAGACAAGCTTCCCAACAGTTGACAATAGTATCCAGAAGTCCCGAGAAGTAGATATTAAGTCAGAAGGAAAGGCAATGCATTTTGGTCAAACACGCTCTGCTGGTTTGAATGCAGGGAACCAAGAAAAGGAAAGTACTATGACCTCATTGCAAGCAGTTAACAAACTGCCTCAGCATACACAAGTCCCACAATCATCCTTCTCGATGTATGGAAACACATCATCTAATTTTAATTCTCATCCTTATCCTAGGCATTCAATTGGTGCTCAAGCAACTGTTCAAAAGTCACAGGGCCAGGTTTCACAAACAAAACAAGCACTTCATGCTCAAGGCATTAATGCAACCCAACTTGGGTCTAGTCAGCTCATGGGTATGGCACATATGTCAAAGTATGAAATACAAAATACTGGCAATGAATCCAAGAGAATTCATGGCGGTTCTTTAGCCAGTCATACATTGTTGCAGCAAAGTCCTGTTACAATGCAAGCTTATCCAAACAAGGAACAACGAAGTGCTGCTATGTCATCAATGAGTCTTGTTAAGCCAGAAATAATTGACCAGGCTTCTGAACCCCTTGGCAGACCTCAACTGACAGTTCCAGAAAGCTCTTTATTTGGGGTAAGCGACGTTGAACAAAATGAGTTGTCTTCTAGAATGGGGCTTTCAACCCCTATGACTACAGTTGGAAATCATGTTTCTGGACCAACACCAATCAATGATGGAACAATGCAGGTTACTATCTTATAAAAGAATTCTTGACATATTTAAACAGGTTTTCTCATGGCCTATTCTTTCCCTAGTCTGCATACTTTCTAGCCATTTCATCAAGAGATGTGAATGATTACTTTTGAATAACTGTGGTGTAAATTTTTTTGTGATTAGCTTTGTTCACGATGCTGTATTTTCTTACTTATTTCTGCTGGCATAGATGATAGCTGAATCAAATTATGCTGTAAAAAGGTAAATAAAATCTCATCCTTCAAATTAGTTTAGCTGTCTGCTAAACAGCTGATTTTGGATCTCAAATGATTGACAAAACATACTTCAAGTCTTACGGGTCAAAATGACTTATTCAAGAAGCCTTTTACGTCGACAGAAACCCTGGACAAGGATTATTCGGGAAGAATTTCGATGCTAATTATGGTTTAAACTTTAAACTAATTTTAAACTTCATGGATTGGGGAATTTCAAGGAAGTTTGCATTCTATATGCTTTTATATATTTTATGCTTATTGGATAGACTAGCACAAAATCAGAAGTTAATGAATGTATAAGATATGGTCTACTAGTAAGGTCAGGAATGCTGCAAAGTATGTGTTTGGAGAATTAAAAATAAAAACTCTTAAAAGTAAAAATAGTTGACCGTGGAATTAAAATATGCAAAAAAGGTAATATTTAAGAAGTTTTATTATAAAAATTTATTTAAATATAAAAGTTTATAGAGGAGCCCTTAGGGGGTCTAAGAAAGTAATATGTAATGCAAAATTTTAACTTTTAGTGATTTATATAATAGATTAAATACTAAGGAGGGTGAAATATATATGTATAAGTTAGTCAAGCAAAGAGATAATATAAGTAAAGATTTAGTTCAAGTGAAATGCATTAAGGAAGAAGATCAAAAAGTAATTTTCTTAGAAGAGAATATTCAACATAGATGGATCATATATTTTGATAAACTTTTTAATGAAGGTTGTGAGAATACGATTGACTTTAGTGATCTTAGCACCCTAAATAAAAATAAAGATTTTTTATTTTTATCATCGTATTATTTAAACCGAAGTTAAAGAGACTTCAAAGAAAATGAAGTATAAAAAAACAGTAGGACCAGATGATATTTCAATAGAAATGTGGATTTTTTTTGCTTATTAAACTCTTTAATATTATTTTGAAGACTAAAAAGATGTCAGATGAGTGGAGAAAGAGTGTTGATTCATATTTTTAAGAATAAAGATGATACACAAGAATATGCAAATTATAGAGGAATTAAGTCAATATATCATACATTAAAATTATGGGAGAGAGTAATTGAGCATAGGCTATGATATGATACCAGTATTTTTCAAAATCAGTTTGGATTCCTATGTAGGTCTATTATGGAAGATACACATTTGTTGAGAGGTTTGATCAAGAAGTACAGAGAGAGTAAGGAGGATATGCATATGATATTTATTGATTAGAGAAAGTATATGATAAAGTTCCAAGAGAAGTGCTCTGGGGAGTTCTAGAAAAGAAATGAGTTAATAATACTTATATTCAAGTTATTAAGTATATGTATACATGAGTCGTTACTATTGTTCAAATACAATGTGATTTAACCAAGTGTTTTCCTATTTCAAATAGATTACATCAAGGATCAAATTTAAGCCCATATCTTTTTGCTTCAGTCTTGGATGTTCTTACTAGACATTTACAAGAGAATGCGCTTTGATGTATGCTTTTTGCGATTATATTGTTCTTGTTGATGACATTAAGGAGGGAGTTGATGGAAAACTTGAAATATGTAGGTCAACCTTAGTGTCTAAAGGTTTTCATTTGAGTAGATATAAAATCAAATACATGTAGCATAAATTTAGTAGTGATAGATCTTGTGTCGGGATTGTGATATTGGGTGATCAAGTCATTAATAAGTGTGCATGTTTTAGATATCTCGGGTATGTTGTTCAAAATGATGGTGAAATAGATGAGGATATTATTAGTATAATTCAAGTTGGATGGTTGAAGTGGAGGAATGCATTGGGCCTGTTGTGTGGTAGAAAAGTACCCCTCAAACTTAAAAGAAAATTTTATAAAATGGTGGTGAACCTACAATATTTTATGGTTCATAATGTTAGCAATTAAAAGAGAAGCATAAAATTAAGTATAATATTGCAGAGATGAGGATGCTTAAGTGGATGAGTAGCTTTACACTTAGAGACATAATGCGAAATGAGCATATACGTGAAAATGTTGGAGTAACTCGCTATGATAAATAATATTAGTGAGAGGCGTCGTAGATGGTTTGGTCACATAAAACGTAGGCCTTCAGATGACACTGTTAGGAGACTAGATGTATTAGATCTGAGCAACATTTTAAAAGGCAATAGCAGGAACCTTGGTGTTTTGTCCTAGCGAGGTGAGGCATATGCCTCGAGGAAAATCGAGGCGTAAGCCTCAAAATGAAAAAAATTAATTACTAAAAATTATAAATAACTCATAAAATAATATTAAGTACATGACGAACATAATGACTTGTTTGAAGATCAATGATTCTAGAACACAAGATTCAAAGTAAATACTCACAAAAATCACTCTTTTCTCCATCAACCCAATTTTATTATGTCTAAATGATGCTTCCATAAGATTCAATCATACAAATTTAAGAAAAGATCTTGATGCCTCCATGCTCAAAAGGGAAGATGGATCCTTACCTTGTCATGAAGAATTCATATTGAGACGAAGTGTGACCGAAGTAGTCGAGGATGAAGTAGTCGAGGTCGAAGCAGGCGAGGCCAAAGCAGTGCACAAGAAGCCGAGAGCGTTTCCTTCACTGCGAGCTACAGAAGGGGGGAGGGGTGAAGATTGAAACAAATGTTTTGAACCGACGAAACCCTAAATCTAATAAGCTCTCTCGACTCTTCCAAACTAAATAAAATAAAATAAAATTGATCGAGGTAGTGTTTCAAACTGCCTTGAGGCGTTACGCTTCAAGGTGTATGCCTCAATGAAGAAAATTGTAAGCCTCGACCAAACCACTTAGGCTTAAGTCTTGAGGCATCTAAGTTGCGCCTCAAATCGAGGTGCGCCTTGAGGCGTACACCTCAAACGCCTTTTTAAATCATGAATCTGACCTATATTAAGAAAGATAGAGGTAGATCTAAAAAGACTTGGTTAGAAAACATTAAAAATGACATTTTTTATTAGATATAAATAATAATTTGACTCTTAGTAAGACATAATAGAGAAAAAATGATTCATATAGTTAGACCCCACGAATTGGGATAAAAGCTTGTTGTTGTTGTTGTTGTTGTTGTTGTAGAGCCGATTTTAAGAACTACCCCATTAGATGTCGGATGTGAAATCTCCACATTTTTCAACCTTAAATGCTTCCTTTGATGGCGTTATGCTAATATTTTCCATCCCAGATTTCATCTGCAACGCCATTGCTTGTTTCGGGGAATGCAACAAAAACTCCCCAGAAAAAAACTTCTGCTGGGCACAAAAAGCCATTGGAAGCTCCAGGCACTTCACCTCCATCGAGGTTAGCATTATACTTTTGTTGAAGTATTTGATTTACACAATGCTAATCATATTTTTTCCTACCTTGAAGTAAAAAGCAGAAGACTTCTGGGGCATTCCATGATCAGAGCATCGATCAGCTAAATGATGTTACAGCCGTCAGTGGTGTTAATCTTAGGGTATGGTGCTTTGCTTCATTATGTACTTCATTGTTCCCATTTTATTGATATCTGAGTATGGTGTTTTTACTGAAGGCATGTGCGTCCTTACTGCATTGTTTGCATTTGGTAGCACTGGGAGTCAAGTGTGTAATTCTGTATTTTACTTTTTTGTAGGAGGAAGAGGAGCAGCTATTGTGTGCTCCTAAAGAGGAGAGCCGGGCTTCTGAAGCAAGTCGAAGAGTTGTGCAGGAGGAAGAAGAAAGATTAATTCTCTTGAGGGGTTCTCTTCAGAAAAAGCTAGCAGAAATCAGTTACTTGTTAAAACATGATTATTATTTTTTCTATTATTAAAATTCTTTTACTACGAATCAAAACATTAATTTGATTTCTTGATTCCCTTGCAGCATCCAAACATGGTTTAAAGAGCATTGGTGGTGATGTGGAGCGATGCTTGTCTCTGGTTAGACAACATATTAACTAATTAGAAGAGTTCTTTGCGCCTATTTCTTGATTATTTTGGTGCCTAAAATCATACCTTTTCATCAGTGTGTAGAAGAGCGTTTGCGTGGGTTATTAAGTTACTTGATAAAGTTGGCAAAGCAGGTGGATCTTATCTACTTGTTTGCTCTTCTCTTTATCCTTGTAGTATCTCCTTTGTGACTTATCATTTAAATGTTTTAAGAGGGTTGATAGCGAAAAGGCAAGACGGCGATTTGTTGTTACGTCAGATGTTGGACGGCAAATCTTGGCGATAAACAAAAAAATAAAAGATGACTGGGATAAAAAACAGGCCGAGGAGGCAGAAAAGCTCCGAAAAGCTATTGATGTGAGTAATGTGCTACTTGCCTTTTTTACATAAATTTTCTAGTGTAATTTCAATTAAAAAAAAAAAACAAAACACCATCCTAGTATGCCTACATATTTTTGATCTTTGATTGAAATTACAGGTTTTTGTCTACTATTGCCATCCTTTTACTGCAAGATAACAATTAATTTAATATACAAATTTACACTTTTATCTTTCCATATATTGCTTGATGCGGTTATTTGGCTGAGCTGGCATGCCATGATGATGCTCATGTGCCCACTACCCATCCACAACCGTTTATTTCTTTTTTCTGTTAAGCATAGTACTCTAGTACTTTTCAGCTAGTATTAGTTTTTTTTAGCAAAGAAATCCTTAGCTTAGAAAAGGATAAAAACTCTGTTTTGAAGGAGAAGAGACATAGACGAAATATTATGCTGCTTTAGCTAGTTTATTGCTTTGTTCTTACTGTTCCATTGAGCAGGTTTCTCTTAAGTGCTTGAAACACTGCTTCATTGCTCTTTGTATTTATCATTATTGAATCACGACTAAGCCTATCAGCACAAACGACAAGGGTTGTTTTGATGCATTTAAGATTTGCTAAAACTGTTCTTGGTCAATCTGTGAGTTTATCTAAATTAAATCTAACTTAAATCCATACTCCTACAACGATGCCAAAGGCATAATTACACTTGAGTCGTTGCACCGCCAAATAGAAAATGTACAATGAGGATGTTGGTGTCTTTAGTACGAAGAGAACAGTGTAACGAGTTACACAAGCTAGTTCCTAGGTAGCTTTAGTAAAGATTGATATGCTTAATTGAGCCGTAATAATTACTAATTTATTATTAGCTTAGTTGTTGTCATAAGCTTTTAAAGATCTAATTGATGAACTGTTTATCGGGTAACCTCTTAATTGATATTCAAAAGAATAATTTGGAATATGATATTTAATGGTTAAGTAGAATTATTGCATGGATTAACTTAACTATAGGTTTTTATAGTTTGTTTTTAGATAATAATTTGGCTCGGCTTTAGGTCCAGAAGGTGCTAGTGGTTGGATGTGGTGCATTGAATTTTATAGTACATTCAGGGACAATAACTCAACTTCAAGCTTTGCTAAGATATTTAGAAATCCATTTATGTAAGGACTTCAGTGTTATGATGTGAAGATTCGTTAAACAGACTCTTGGGCCTCTTAGTAGTCAGAGCTATAACCCCAGCTATATAGATTGCTTTTCTTTTCCGTTGTGAGTTCCATATGTGTTATACGGTACAAAACTCATATTTCCCATGGACCGTACTTTTAGGCCCCTCTGTACAGAGCTGTATGTTTTGTCTCTAGATCACCCTTCTCAAGGTTGAAAGTCATTGCATGTGTTGTAAAGCCCTTGTAAAACTAGTTAGTCACATGGACCACCCGTTTGGACCATTCTTTCTAGAGTTATAATTCTAATCAACGAGCTTCTTTCTCTTCGGAGCTGCAAATCCAATATTTGAACTTCTCGCATCCTTAGGACTGTAAGTCCCATTTGTGGGATTTCCTTGAGATGTGAGTGCTAACTAATTGATATGATTGTCACTGGAGCAACAAACCCATTATTTCATACCCCAATGCTTGGGTCTTCCCTAGGAAGTAGGACCCAATCATTGGCCATTTTGGTGGCAATGATACAAATGTGTAATCTTAACTTTAGACTCCCTTCACATGGTAACAAGTGGATGTGATAAAGTTCAGTATTGTATGGTTGAATAACCTCAAAATGGAAGGAATCATTCCTCGAGGCTCATTTATTGAGTCAAATGTTTGATACAACTTTGCAACAAAGTGCAACCCCATGCCAATTATGCTTTAGGACATTCCTCTTTTGGAGTGGGTTCGAGTTTACTCTTGGATATATGAATTGAGCATGCCATTCTTAGGAGCCTTTGTTGGTTATGCCTAGTAGCCTTGAACCATGTTCATCCTTTGTACCTCTTGACTTTTCAATATAAAGTGAATTTTGGATTTCATCATAAAAGAATTTGTCTTTCAGTATATTGCCACCTCGATTTGCTTGGAATAATCGAGAGAGGGCAACACTTAAATATTATTTCAGCTATTAGGCTGGCTAGAAGTTATGGTAGATAACCCTCTAACTTTGATAAATTGAGTCCATTAGAATGTTGAATTTTGATCGGGTTGATCACTCATCCACCTCAGTTCACTTGTAATAATGATTTCTAACTTCGAGCTTAATTGATGTTTTTAATTGAGTGTTCTTGACCTATAAGTCGAAATCTTATTTAACCATGGGTGGTTCTACTTGTGAAAAACCTCAATGCCCCAATTCTTAATTAAACTCTAGTCAACTAAGAATTTGAAATATCGAGGAAACCTCAAGCGATTTAACCTTTAAATCTCATAATGTTCTCTCAAAAATGGAATTAAACTCTAGTTAACTAAGAATTTGAAATATTTAACCTTTAAATCTGATAATGTTCTCTCAAAAACGGAAGCAAATCTAAGCACAGAATTCTTCAAGAGCCCACCCACAGTTTTTTTATTCATATAGTTTGTGTTTGTTGGCACTATATGCCAACGAGTTAAAGTTATCTTGACTTTATGTTACATTCTTAAAGTTGTTTTCTAATACAAATTTTTTTAATTTTTTTACTAATAAGCAACTTTAAGAAGCAGTAAGAAAGTCATTCCAAACGAAACTTTAGTTAAGGCTTTTGCTGGACGTTGTGATGCGGATATCAGTCAGAGATTTCGACACGTGTACCATCGACGGAGACGTAGATCGATGGCCACGATTCATAGTCTGTACTTTTGATGTATTTTCTCATTTTATTTATGTTATTTCAGTTTCCTAGTATACCCCTGAGGGTAGTGAGTCTCTTTTGTAGCCCCGTGGGCATTTGTGTCTTTTTCTATTTTCTTAGACTTGAGGCCCATATATATAAGGGTCTCCATGCTTTGTATGAGGGATTATTGTTGATGAATTGAAATTCTCTTATTATTGATCTCTTTGCGAGTTCGTGTGATTCCCAAGATCTCTTAGCGAGTTCTTGTGGAGGTGGTGTTCAAGGTTTGTAGCTTGCTAAATTTCTTTTCCCTTACACCTATCTCCTTCTTCCCCTACTTAGCCGAAACCTCCCTTCTCCCAAATTCCCCACCATCCCACCAGCTCCACCGCCGGCCTCCCTTGGCTGGACCAACCACCGGCGGCCCTCCCAGCTCCCCGCGGCCAGCAGCCAGCCGCCGGATCCAACCCTCCACCCGTGGCCTCCCTCTTTGCCGCCGGCCCCCTCTAGGCCCTCTTCTTTTCGAATTTCAAATTCTCCTATATTAAATTGCTTTCCTAATTAGTTTGTCTCTATTTAGGAAAGACATTTAAAGGAGTTTAAATCTATTTGAAATTCAAACTGTTTTCACTCTCATTTTATTTCAAATTCGGGAGTTATTTCAAATTCAATCAAATCTGAAATTAAATTCAGATTTGATTAGAATTAATTAACACCCTGTGGTCCCCACTTTCTTAATTCCTAAGCCTCTCTCTCCTCCCCATATGGCCGGCCCCCTTAATGGGCTTTTCTCTCTCCCAATTTAAATTCAAAATTCCACCAAATCAGCCCCTAATTACCTCCTCCATTAAAACCCATGGCCATTATTGAATTAATTTGAAATTTCAAATTAATCTCCCTCCAAAACCACTTGAAGCTAAAATTAATTTCAGTTTTTTAAATTCATCCCTCTCCCTCTAGCTCACCTAAGCCCTCCTCTCTCCAAAACCGCCGCCTCCACCTCCCCTCCCCCTCTCTCTTCTCTTCTCCACTCATCACGAACATGAATGGCGGATCCGGAATTTTATCACGGATTCGTAGAGGATTCCAACTGGAGAACCGACATCTTACGATCACCTTTCTTTGATCCCTAACCGGGTTGGGATATTACAGTAGACGGATACATCAACCGCATTTCGTACCAATTGGCGTTGTCAGTTGAAGAGAACCTACTATTCGGCCATTGGACAATCACAAGCCGCCGGCAATCCCCACCGCCGCCGGTTCCCTCGCCCTCGCTACGGATCGTCTTCACCGTCTACCTTGGAGTGATTTCGTTACTCGTGTGGTTCTTCTTCCTCCGCCAATCCTAGAAGTAGGAGAGCGACTTTGGACCTCAAGGTGAACCGATCAATTTGTTAACCGCCGGATTCTAGTTGACTAATCATTCCATTATTTTTGTTTAAGTTGTTATTTTAAAGAACTTGCAAATTTAGTTGTAATTGATTGCCTAAACATCGTTTGCTTCTAAGAGATTCCTTGAGTTTTAATTTTGAGATGCCTTTAGATTAATTATATCATTGCTCAACAACTTTTATTAATATCATAAAACAATTTCTGGTTTCACATCACGTTGATAGGTTTTCTGGAGACTTGGATGAGGCCATTGAAGGCATTGACTTGGGTGAATGTGGGCTGTACAATCTCACATGCTTCTTCTTGACTCTTTTTGACCCGTGTTGACACTTTTAGATCCTAGTCAAACTTGGAACCCTCTTCTCCTTTTTTCATTTTCTTCTAAAGTCTTCTTAAAATGTTTTTGATTTTAGAAAAATAAGAAACATAATGTATTGACCAGGAAAATTTAGTTATTATTTTATGTGATCTATTAAGCTTGATTTATTAAAGTCTTCTTAAATCTATTTAAGTCCGTTTCAGCATTTGAATTCTATTTAATGCTTAATTAACATAAATTAACTAGTCCAAAAGTAGAGTATGTTTTTCTGTTCGATCAAATCTTTTCAACTTACTCATTTTATATAGATTGGACAAACAAGTTTATTGATATCATTCTTCAAAATCTGTTTTATCCAATATTTTAATATGCTTTCGAACTCCCCAAAAAAAGTTAGAGATCCTAATTCCTAATCTTGTATGATGGCAGGTCGACATGAAATCTGGAAGTGAAGCAGAGAAGGACAAAGAAAAGGACAAGGAAAAGGATGAAGGTCGTCTAAAGGCAACCAAGGTGGTGGTATCACTGTATTAAACATAAAAAGAATGGAAAATAGATCTACCCTAGAACACCCTCATCATCTTGAGAAATAGTTCGTGAGGATAATTGCTGCCAATCAATTAGGAGACTGCCTCCAACACGATATAGGCTTCGTTTGGGACAGTTTTTTTATTGCTTACTAAAGCAACTTTTTTATACAAAAATTTTATTTTTATACTAAAAATTGTTTTAAGAAGTAGCTATAAAGCCGTCCCAAATGAAACCAAATAGTCTTATGATATGTTATTCGCACTACCGAAATCTGCCCCTACTAATTTCACCATCTCAAATTTTAGTATGTGTAATTTGCATGCAGGTCAACAAGGAAGAAGACGACAAAATGCGAACAACCGCCGCAAATGTTGCCGCTCGGGCTGCTGTTGGTGGAGATGATATGCTATCCAAGTGGCAGCTCATGGCCGAACAAGCTCGACAGAAGCGCGAAGGACTAGATGGATCATCCTCATCTCAGTCGGGTAAAACTATAAGCAATAAATCAATACCAGGCTTCAGAAGGCATGACCAACAAGAATCTGAACAGCAAGGCTCTTCAGCACCTCTATCTGGTAAGTTAGGCTTCGTTTGCGACGTCTTTCTCACTGCTTCAAGAAGCATCTTTATAGTACAAAAAATTTAATTTTCATCAAGGAAGCCATCCCAAACGAAGCCTTAATCATCTCGGATCAATTAAAAATGTAATTCTTACGCGAAATCTTGGTTCCTCTTATTGCATTTTAGGAATCAGACGAAAAACTTCAAGAATCCAATCTGGAATGTCTAATATTAAAGTTCCACACAGTATCTCTGTTAAGGATGTGATATCAGCCTTAGAGAGGGAGCCCCAAATGTCAAAATCAAGTTTGTTATACAGGCTCTATGAGAGAAAAGCTGGTGAATCTTCTGCAATGGAACAGCTTGCTTCACTCTAATACAGGTATGTGCTATCAAAATCATTCACATATTTGCCAGTTTATAGGATTCATGAAGACCATTTTAAGGCTGGAAAGGTTGCTAGTGGGGTCTAAAGGAACTCTAACAAATATAAGAGGAAAGAAGTGTAATAGAAGAAAATAGACTATACTTTGTGTACTTCTTTGTGCTATGTTGTGATAAATGCAATGTGCTCATACGTATTATAGGTGTATTGCATTTAGGCTTCCTTTAGAATGACCTTCTTATTACTTTCTAAAGCAGGTTTTTAGTACATGTTTTTTTAGTTTACATATTTTTTGTACTAAAAAGCTGCTTTAGAAAGTAGTAAAAAAGCTGTACCAAATTAATGTTACGGTTGGGACGTTTTTTTTTACTGGTTCTTAAAGTAGTTTTTTTAGTATAATTTTTTTTAAACTAAAATTTTTTGTATTAAAAAGCTACTTTAGATTTGTAATAAATAAAAAAATTTGGAGATCTCGTTACGACCCTTTTGGATAATATTTTATTTGGACTTTCTCATCTCTTCTTCATCATTCAATGAGAACTAGTCATGACTTACATTTTATGATCAATGATTTTTATTAAGGGTATTAACATAGACTAATATGTTATATAAATAATTAGATTTGGATATTATGAATATAAATGAGATAATTTTGAGCTATATGGAAATCCTTTTCATTTGTTTTACATGTTTCAAAATAAATTTAACCTTGGGTTGATTGATGGCTTTTGCTAAGATTTTATTTGCATCTAAAATTGCCATTCAATGAGTGCTAAATATATATCCAATTCAATGCCTTCTCTAACCTAAAATAGCCACCCAATAGCCAACAAAATTACTTGTTAGTTGTTACCAAGGGTGGTATGATGAAGATCTTAAAAGAATAAGTTTTTTTAGTTATTTTATCGATCTTTAATAAATAAAATACATTTGCTCAAATTCTAAGCATTTTTTTTATATTTCATTCATAAAATTATATATTTTACTATTCATTTTTGCTCACCTTCAAAAGATTAGAAGTTATTACGTGCGGAAATTGGACAGAGAATCGTTCGATTTGTCTCTATGAACTATGCTTTTAGTGTTCACAGAGATAAAATTGAACAGTTCTCTATATCCAGTCTCTGCACGTAGCAATCTCTCTCAAAAGAGAGGCTGGCTCGTCCCCTATGTGTCACCATATAATGCTTTTTCTTTGATCCAATTTTGCAAAGCAAAAGAGAGATCCAAAAGGAAACTAAAAAGAATAATAGTTTAGTGGCTAACTCTATCATGAAGCTTCGTAGTGCTTCATAGCTGATTGAGCTCTAAATCATACGTTAATGGCGAGTGTTTACTTTCAAGTCAACAAAAACACTTCAAAATATCATTTTTATTCACCCAATAAATTTTATCAAATTTAATACTATTGGTAAAATATTCTTAAAATAAAGATTATTTTATGTGAATATTTTTTTTAAATGATTAGAGAGAGTAGTTTTTAGTAAATTTTGATATGAAGTATATTATGAATTTTTAAAAAATAATTAAATTAATTTTAAAATTAATGTAATATAATATTTTATAAATAATATTGATTATAAATTAATTTAAATAAATTTTGATATTTTTCCTTTTTAAAAAATTGTTTGCACGATTTTGGGTAGAACGACCCATATCCGAATAGCGCTCCTAATGGATATATAGCAGATTGGAAATCTCGACGATCGCTTATCGTATCGCTCCCGGCGGGAGAATCGGAAGATCGAGGGGCGGCGGCCATGTCCAAGGCTCGAGTTTACGCGGACATCAACGTGATCCGCCCTAAGGAGTATTGGGACTATGAGTCCCTCACTGTGCAGTGGGGGTAAAGCCCTTTCCCATGCCTAATCGCTTTTCCTTTCTTTGATATTTATTCTTGTTTTGTCTTCATGGATCGGAACCGTGTTCTAGGGTTTCTGTATATGCATGACGCATCTTGTGGTGTTTTACTCTTATATTCTTCACGAATTGTTGGTTGGATGAGGAAAGTTTTGGGGGATGTTTATGCTGTTCTTAAATTTATATTTGTTTTCGATGCGTTCTTGAGCTGTCCTTTTTTCCGTTGTTCTACCGCGCTTTTCTGGGATTCTGAGAGCCCGGCTATTCTGATATTTTCTGTCCTGTTGTCTCGCAGTCATGCCGGTGTGTTCTTCGTCTTATGTGGCTCCCGTTATAATCGTCAGTAAATTACTGTCATATTACAAGCGTAGGGTTGATCGGAATAGTTATTTTTAATTTTGTTACCTTTAGGTGGAGAGCTGATTCATATTTGATTAATTTCTATGAGCTGTCTTGTCCGTGTGATGTGTAAGATAACCTCCCAAATCTGACGGGAGCTTCTAACTTTTTATTTGTAGTTAATAAGTTGGCGAGAAGGTAAGCTGTGGAGGTTTTAACTATTAGTAGTAAGCTATAGAAATTTTTGAGGTGCAGTAAATGGCATGTTGGCGTATGAAGTTTAAATTGGGTGTGCAGTGTATGATTGTTTTTCATTGTAAAATCAAATCAGAAATTGTTTTCTTAATGGGTCTTCAAAAACTTGTTTCGTTGTGAGGTTCTGAACAGGTTTCCTCCATCTGTTGAAAGCTTGAAATTTGGCATGATCAATAGATTTTTGTCTTTTTAAGAGACAACATGAAGTTCACTTATCTCTTCTCACTTTATGTCATCCACTTTGCCAAATAAGTGTTAGAACTTAGTTTTGGAGCTCAGTTTCAATCAATTACAATGAAATATAGAGACCCAACGAATGCTATTGTCCTCAAACAATCTAGCCGAATACAAATTTTGCGATGATGTGATTTGTTAATCAATTTTTTAAAAAAATTTACCTTTTTTAATTTTTTCCCTCATTATTAAATTTAACACATGCTTGATGGCTTTGAAAGGTAGAGGTAGACCTAAAAAGACTTGGTTAGAAAATATTAGAAATGACCTTTCTTTATTAGATTTAGATGAGAATTTGACTCTAAACAAAACACAATGGAGAAAAAAAGGATTCATATAGCCGACCCCACATAGTGGGATAAAGGGTTGTTGTTGTTGTTGTTGTTGTTGCTGTTGTTGTATTAAATTTAACAGATCCTTGATGGATTTGGCTTGGTCTTAACTTACCTTTCTTTCATTCAGTGACCAAGATGATTATGAGGTTGTTCGGAAAGTTGGAAGAGGGAAGTACAGTGAGGTATTTGAAGGTGTTAATGTTTCAAACAATGAGAGATGCATCATTAAGATCCTGAAACCTGTTAAGAAAAAGAAGGTACAGTTTTCTTTATTAATGCATGTCTTATTTATGATCGATATACAATCCAGCATATACTATAATGGATTGATGGATGAATTCTTTTACTAGGAAAAAACATATTGGCTCCATGCTTGCTTAGTTGGGAATTGGATGATTGTTGATTATTGCAACTTCACTGATATGCTATATGCATGTGTCACCCATTAACAAGATTTATAAGTTGAAAAGCATTACTTTGAAATTTGTACGCACGGTAGAAATTTATGCTTCTCTTCTATTGGTATTTGTGGGCTATCCTTTTACTCTTGAGAGTCCTTTCTTTTGGATTATATGTATTCAACAATAAATCATAGTGCACAATACCAGAATTTATAGGCTTTTGCACAGTTATATAAGAGTTGTCATGGTGCAGTTGGTGAAATTTATGGACTTCGAAACTGGTATATCTGAGCTGGCCATATTTTCTATGTACAATTTAATTTTCTTGAACACTATCAGTGTCCATGTTGGAAATTAATAAGATTTGGTACTACTCTTCAGTTGATAGGCCACTTTTATCATTCATATTTCTTACCTTGTTGGTGACATCACTGCAGTTTCAATGGTTTCACTGAAGTTTATGGACCACCTGTGCTTGGTATGATGCATTCTAGCTTGCTGTGCTAGGGTTGATCAGAGTTGTTGTGGATTAAAATGCACCATGGAGTAATGTTATGATAATTCAGCATGAAAGAAAGATTTCTTCTTTATTAGCTATTGAATAGATGGATCAATGCAGAATCACTCACCTCCAACAGAAAACTTAAGCACACAAATATTATGTCACCCACCCAACAACCAATCATACTTTCATGAATAGTCCAAAAGACTTGATTTTTGAATGAGTTATTTTTACCTCACTTACCTTTTTAATTAGTAAGCGTTCATATGAGTTGCATTTTTTTGTTGCTGTTTGTTTCACTTAATTCAATTATCTTTCTATTTTCAGATAAAGAGGGAGATTAAAATACTTCAGAACCTTTGTGGTGGTCCCAATATAGTGAAGCTTCTTGATATTGTCAGAGACCAGCATTCTAAAACCCCTAGCTTAGTATTTGAATATGTGAACAGTACAGATTTTAAAATCTTGTACCCCACGCTCACAGATTATGACATACGCTACTACATTTATGAGCTTCTTAAGGTTTTTACCTAATCTTGTTAAGATTGTTTCTAATTTAACTTGATTATGTCATATTCATTATTTATCTTTTCTATAAGGATTATTCTTTTGATGTGCTAACATAATATTTTTTTATATGCTATCATAATATGAATATTTGAAAAGAAGCTGATTTAACCTTGTGATTTTCTTTTTGAAAATTAAAGATTGGTACAATCATCACAAAATTATTGTATGCTTCATGTTCAGAAGTAGGTTGAATTTTCTGAAGTAGAACAAGCATATCAGTACTTAGCAGCCCTTTAAAAAGGAACTTGTGAGAATAGATTCTTGGTTGCGCATATGTATATTAAAGGATAAACTTCTAAGTTGGTATTGTTCAAAGTGCTGATGCTAGATTAAAGGTTTCAACATGGTTTTTCTGAGTGACTTTTGGCTTCATCCTGGGTGAAGTTTGGCAAAGTTGTATTGAATTTAGGTAATGGAGGGGGTAATTATATTTTGTTGGTAGAGCCTTTGGGAAGTTGGTGTCTTTATGATATCTGGATTGGATTAGGGGGGAAGGTTTAAGGGTCAAACAGAGCAATACCTGCTTATTTGAATTGTGATTATAACTTGTTATTGAAAAAAAAATGTTCCTCTATGTTGTAGAATGTGTTGTCGCTGATGCCAAGCAGCTGGAAAGTCATGTTAACACTAAGTTGCTGAACAATAGTAGGCTAGTAGCAACGTTGTATTGCCCCATCCTAAGGGGAATCTGGAATCCATTATTAAAGTGCTAGTAAGAGGGAATATTTCTTTGGAACAATACTGTTGAATTTGGGCCATATTGCATGGTAAGTTCCGTTTGGCTTAGAACTGGCATTAGGTTGGTGGCGGTGGTCAGGAGTGGTGGTACCAATACTTTATTGCAGTATGTTAAAGGTCAAAGAGAATATGTGTCTCATTACCTCATGTCCTTAGTGTCTAGAGTCAAAATCAGTTATAGTGTGAGACTTACAACTTACATTTGCCAGTGGGGTTAAGTATCTCATACAAAACAGCTTCCCCAGAGAACTGTAAAAGTAACAGCTACGCCAGAGAACTGTAAAAGTAATATAACCAGTCAATAACTTTTGTCCTTTTTACCTTGCATTTTTTTCACCCATCTTTTTCTTTCTTTGTGCTTTCGTTCGTTGTCACTGGTAGCTTCTATTCTCGTCTTGGTGTTGCATGATATAAAGTTATACTTCTGAGTCATTATTACCAACTTGAAATGGTGCAGGTACAAATACTTTGCATTTGAAGTATTTCTTTAAGATTATTTTTAAAAAAAGTCTAAAATGTTACTTCTTACAGGGATGAAAATAACAATTGCAATGTGGACTATATTTTCATGTTTTTTAAATTTTTCTTAATAACCTCCTAAGGTGCTTTAGGTTTATTAGCTGCACCAGACTCTTGTTATGTTCGATTTAAAGCTGCACATGTACTGTGCAATAGTTTATGAGTTTTGATTTAAAACATCAGTCATTTGTTCATGAGGTATGGATATAATTTTATGATTTTTTTAATGATATGTTCCTGTTCAGACTCCCCTGCAATCAAGAGTCATTATGAGTCACCCAAGGTTCCAAGCTTTCATTATTGGATGGTCAGAGAAGTTTGCTATCATCTTATCTTTTTGGTGTTATCTGTTAATGAAATTCTTACATTGTGTTAAAATGGATGATATTGAATTAAAATCAAGGAGCTGTCTTCACTAAAACACTAATTTTTGGTTTATCCCAAGAAATTGCGACATAAGACTTATACATATTTACTATAATTAGCCTTATCTTCAAGAGGTCAATTTTGTGCAGCCAACTTCATTCATCCATTTTGATTGCTAAAAGAAATGCTAGGCCTCCTTTGTATAAAGCTTTTGGTACAACTTCTAGCCATCTAGATGTGGTCTGTTTTTCCCTTTCTAATCCTTCCACATAAATTTTATTTATACACTTTATTGTACATTTTTATCCTCCTCTAGTCATGTAAGTTTTTTCTAATATTTAAGTAGATGCTTCTCTCACATGGCCTCTAATTTAGTCTTTTTTTCAATGTATCATTTCTATCTTTATCACATATGCATCATAACATTCTCATTTTGATCATGGCCGATGTGACTATTAGCTTATTAGTGACTTCTTTTATGCAACTCTTAGATCCACATATCATAATCAGGTGAAGTTTTGTAACATTTGCCTTTACGTTTTCATGATATTCTTTTATTGCTTAGTATTCCTACTATACATTATCATTTTTTCTGTTCCAAAAGAAAAAAAGAAACATAATTTCTTGCTTTGAAGACCTTTTGTAACTCCCTTCCCTCCACCATTGGGTCCCCTTATTTATGATCTACTAATGGACAATCCTAAAATTACAATTCTTAATACAAGTACCCTTGCTATCTCGCAATTAATTTGCTTCAGTTATAGTATTCTATTTCTCCTCTTTAAACAACCCATCTTGTAAGATTGACCACTTCCCAACCTCCAAGTTCTACCATCTTATTTTTTCAATTTTCCCTTTAATTTATTGCTTTTTATTTTTTTATATATGTATACATCCATAAGTACTTGTATGTCTTGTCAGGTCAAGTTTTTTCTCGCAATCATCTTACAACCCATTCAAAGAGATTTTTCTTTCCTAGTAGGAGTTTATTTGTGAATTGTTCGGTCCAAATTTTAAACCCAATTAAGTGTTCTTTTCATTTTGTAAGTATATTGTTGCTAAGCTAGTTTTATATTACAATATCAAGTATAGTTTCTCTCATCATGTTACTTTTAACCATTACATACCCATCATGAATCCTCACTTGATCTTATGCCCATTTAAGATACCATCTCTAATCAACCTCTTTAAGGAACCATATATGATCAACCTCTTTTTGTCAGGTATGCATTTTAGTTGCTCATCTCTTTTCAAAATTGAGAGAATTTGAAGAGAGAAGCATTATATACATTTATAATACACTAGTTAAAAATTAGCTAAATAGAAATCACACTATTACTGACCTTATTTATGTTATTAATTTTGTTTTAAATTTCTCTCCACTTCTATCTCTCCTAGCTATTCCTATTTTTAACCTTTCAAACACATCAGCAGATTATTAATTAGATCTAAGGAAGATATTGAAAAACCTCAAATAACAAAAACAAATATTTAGTCTAGGTGTCTACATGACTAAGTTAGGGTCGTAAGCTGGGAAGTAGAATCACAGATTAAGCAAAAAACATGCACTAATCGGGGATTACGAGAAAGGGGGTCATTATTTGGCAGTAAATAGGGAATTGAAGAAAAACAAGGCAGAAGTCCCGAAATGAATCATACAGAATGTCTTTAGAAGTTGACGGGTGAGGTGAAGCTGCATTTGGGTAGAAATTAGGCTTTAGGTGCGTCGTTGTGGATATGGAAGTAAGCATAAGAAAGTTTTTATCAACAAACTAGGCCTTAGATGTCGTTGTGGATGTGAACGTAAGCATAAGAAAGTTTTTATCAACTTTATTATGTGTACCGTAGCCATGTTATAAGACTAGCTTGCCAATGAGTGAATCTTCTTAAAGCGAAATGGGATTTTAAGTAGCATCCTATTTCCTTTACTGACATATGGGTTTTAAAAATCAAAATAGAATCAACGAGCTATATCTATGCCATTGTCATCTAAAGGTATACTATGGACTTCAATTTCATATGCATGCATGCATATGAACATGTCAACTGACACATGAATAGTTATGTTGATCCGGTTCAAAATCATCTCAATTGTGCCTGATTTTATTCAACTGGAATTTTACTTTAACTATATGTTTGAGCTTTTTTTAGTTCCAATTATTATTAAAAAAATTACCCTTATTAGTTTGGAAGTCAAAAACATGCGTCTACATTCAAGGAAAGTGGACTATTAAGGTCATGATATAGTAATATTGGAGTTGATTGCTACTTTGATTCATCAAATTTTGTAGAAGTAGAAAGATGAGGTAAAACAAGTTAAATAATCACCGTCAATTCAAAATTTTGGTGTAATAGTAAATGTATAACGGCATAAGTAGAAAAAGAAGTAGATTATTAATATCTTATTGCTAGCCTGTACTAATTATCTATTGATAAAATTGGAGTTTAATGACATATCTCTTCATATGTATGAACTTTCACTATTATGGTCTGGTACCTAGATTTTCCCTAGGCATGCTTCATTTCTGGATTTATGCATCTATTGGTCGCAAAATTTATGAGAAAAGTTTTAAGTTATAATTCTACGTTTGTTAAAGGCCTATTTATTTAAATTTAATGCACTTTTATATTAATCTTGTTTCTGTTGGATGTCATCCTGTAATATTTATGGCTGCAGGCATTAGATTACTGCCATTCACAAGGAATTATGCACCGGGATGTTAAGCCTCACAATGTCATGATTGATCATGAACTCCGTAAACTGCGATTGATAGACTGGGGCCTTGCAGAGTTTTATCATCCTGGAAAGGAGTACAATGTTCGTGTGGCTTCAAGGTGAAGAAATGGATATAAACTATGCTAGTGTATAGCCTTGCTACTTTATCTGCATTTGATGGTATTATTTTTCTTTTGGTCTGCGCAGCATTTTGATCTATCTTGAAAATGAAACCCTACTTTTCTTGGCTATAATTGCTCTCAGGAGATATCGACGCAGTTCATGCTTTGGAAAGATTAATAGTTGATATACGTCTGTATTAAACTGGGTAGTTTATTGCTTAATTATGGAACTGGTTGGGAATATAGTAATGTTTTTGTTAATGATGATAAAATTGAAATCCAGAAGTAAATCTGTTTGCTTCTTGTTTTCTACCTTATTGAGTCAGGAAGAACTAACTTTAACTGCATAGAATAATTTTGTTTGTGAAGATTTTATGCCTGTATTTATTCCGTACAGATATTTTAAAGGCCCTGAACTGCTTGTTGATCTACAAGATTATGACTATTCTCTTGACATGTGGAGCCTTGGTTGCATGTTTGCTGGAATGGTGAGCATCTTCTCAGGCTAGAAATTTTAATACCGCTAGTAGGAAATATCACAATAACCTTGAATTTTTTTAATCATTTGCATTTATGGGCTTATAAATGGGCTTATAAATGATTTATCTATTTCAAGTGTGTAACATTGCCAATATCCTTCTTTTTGGTTGCAGATATTTCGCAAGGAACCATTTTTCTATGGACATGATAACCAAGACCAGCTAGTGAAAATTGCCAAGGTACCAATCAATGTCAATGTGCTTCTTCTTAAGATGCTTGTCATAAGTAATATCTTGTTATACCTCTGAAATCACAGCCCACGCCCCCTTCCCATCTCCCAATCAAACATCTTCCTACGTTAGTAAAAATAAAATAAAATAACTCACTCATCTGCAATGTTTTGTTATGGTTAACCAACTCAACCTGTTCTTCTTCTACTCCCTTTGACCAAAAAGGACAGTTGTTAGTAGCAGACCAATCCTCCCTTTTTTATCTAAGATTCTTGCTCTTCTTCAGAAGTCAGCTTACTATCAGTGAGATGCTAATAAAAAATGTCTGTCATTACTGAAATAATATATAATATCCCTCAAACATTGCCTCATTATCCACCCACTTGATTGAGATTTGTATAGTGATAGGAAACACTTGTAGATCCCAAGTATTTTCTGTCAATCTTCATAATATAGTGAGAATTCTCCACAAAAATCCGCACAAAATTACAAAAACGGTAGATAATTTGTATTATTTGATGAAAAGGAAGCGGAAAATACCAAGACACATTTGATCCTCTATTTGAGAGGAGGATTGATCTCTCCCAAATTTCTAGATGACGCTAGAGCCCAAAGAAAACCTAGATCTAAGTGATCTCAAATTTCAGCCAAATTCAAGATGCCCTAATCCTAGGAAAACAATCTATTTAATGCATACAAATCAAAAGGAAATCCCTAAACAGCACCTACATGCAAATTTCCCTTTCAAACCCCTCAAAAATCCTTCCAAAACAGCCCCCGAAAACTTGTGGCATCCGTTCAACACGTACAGACAGGCGGAGAGTTCCGCCTATTTTGCGTAAGCCGGGGCTGGACCAGTCTAACATATAGCTTCTCGTTACCATAACCGTCCTCCTCTCTTTGAAACATAATATCAATGTAATTGTTTGTGATAAACTTATTGTCACTTTTTTTTAACCTGAATGACCTATGCTTATTATGAGTTGCTTGTGTGGATGTAAAGTATTGTTTGTTTAGGTTTATTTTATTGTTATACAAATTTCTTTTATAATTCAAGGCCTTAGGCTAGCTTGATCAAATATGTTTATGTGCATTTTCTCGCAGGTGCTAGGAACAGATGAATTAAATGCTTATTTAAGCAAATATCGATTAGAACTTGATCCTCATCTTGAGGCATTGGTTGGAAGGTATTTTATCAAGAAATACAATGTTTATATTTTAGTCTGTTTCTCTATTTAGGTGACAATGGGCACATAGGTTTTGCTAAGTATTATTTTGCAAGATTGATTAATTTGTGTTTGCATTATAGTTTTCTTCATGCTTGTGTATTGCTTGCAGGCACAGCAGGAAACCATGGTCTAAATTTATCAATGCTGAGAACCAGCATCTGGTATCTCCAGAGGTTGTACGCCCTTCCTTTGAATTTTTTTTTGTGCCAAGAAGAAATTTTCCCATGGAGTACATTCACTGAAAATTATTCTCAAACTCTTGAAATTAATGCAGGCAATAGATTTTCTTGACAAGCTTCTTCGATACGATCATCAGGATAGGCTTACAGCACGAGAAGCAATGGTAATTTTTTCATATACTTTCAATTTTGTTCTTCTTGTTCTGTTAGATTTCTTATAGAACTAAGCTCTAGAATAGGGGTGTAAACGAGTCGAGTTTAGGCTCTTATCGAGCTCGGCTCATTAGTTGGAAAGCGAGCTCGAGTCGAACTTGACAGGCGTGCTCGAATTCGAGCTCGTCTCATTGTAAACGAGCTCGAGCCGGCTCATGAGCCATGGGCGGGAATTTTTTAATTTATGCAGAATTTTTAAAAATTAGGTAGGATTTTTAAAACTTAATCTATATATATGAAATGTTTAACATTTAAATAAAACTTATGTGATTTTTATTAATTTTTTAATATCTAAATTTAATAAATAAAATAAAATTATTTTAAATATATTAATATTTATTTGAGCCGGCACAAGCTTGAACTCGAGCTCGTTTACTAAACGAGCTCGAACTCGAGTCAAGGCTGAGATTTTGTTCAGATATATATATATATATATATATATTTCTTTCTTTCTGTCATCAATTAAAGATCAGTAGTCCATAGCTTGAGTTAACTATTTCAATTCAATGCTGCTGTGGGAGGAAAATGACAAGAAATGTTGATTATTTTGTCAGCTGGTGCAGCTCAGTGGCATGGTTTTTTTTTTCTCTTTCATTTTGGCCATTAAAAGAGAAGCATAATACTAAGTTAAAGAGATGAGGATGCTCAGATAGATGAGTGGCTTTATCCTTCGAGATAGGATACGAAATGAAGGTTGGAGTAGCTCCATTCAAAGATAAAATTAGAGAGTTGACTTAGATAGTTTGGTCATATAAAACGTCAATCTTTTGATGCCCCGATTAGGAAAGTAGTGGTATTAGATTTGACTTGTGTTAAGAAACATAGAGGTAGACTTTAAAAGATTTGGTTAGAAAATATTAGAAATGATATTTTTTAATTAGATTTAAATGAGACTTTGATTTTAATAGAACACAATGGAGAAAAATGATTCATGTAGCCGACCCCACGTAATGGGACAAAGGCTTAATGTTGTTGATTCATTTTGGCTCACTCGTTACAACTTGATCGCAAATAAAATGTTATATTAATAAAGGTATTAATATTTGTTTTTTTTCCTTTTTACAGTAAAATTTTAATTAAGATTCAGAGATGTTTAGAAATATATATATTTTTTTATTAATTTTAAAATCCATGGCATGCTAATACTTCAGAGACTTGAGGTCCATTTAATTCTCTCTTCACCAAGGAATATAAATGAACAAACTTGTGAAGGAGTTGGGCATAATTTAAGTAAAGAAATAGCCAAAAAAAGTTTTAGGATATCAATAATTTAAGGGAAGAGTGGTTACAGGCCAGGTTTAGACTTTTTGATATAAGCATGATTATATGCTTGAAAGTGAGTTTGGGAACACAAATTTTAACAGCCATCTTAGAAATGAAACTTTTCTAAAAAGGAGATTATTATGTGCAGATGTTGGACGCAATTTTTATGTCCGGAGGTAAATGAGGTGCAATCATGTCAGTGGTATACTGAGCAGTATCGAGCAAATGAGTGATATGGCACATTCTGATTGATCTTCGGACGATATTATACGTCTACACATGCTAATTTTTTTCTCTAAAAAGAGCTTCATAATCTTCTCTTTGGTAAAAAAAAATAACCTCCATTCTGATTTGAACTCAAACAATCAGAGCTTTTGATCACTGAATCAAGCATCTTTGCAGTTGTAGCTTTAACAAAGAATGAAGATAAAAGAAGCATACAAAGCATGGGAATCACTAAGAAAGGAGAAGCAAGAACATGAGAAATTATTAGGTGCAGGGTGAGGAGTGCGTCCGGGGATCAATAAAAAATGTGTCACGTCATCTCATTGGTGGTACCCAACTCGGTATTCGCACTCAGTACTGCTGGGTACCACTAGGTAACTAGTATTTGTGCGAAGAATTCTCCCATCCGCACTCTACACCTAATAATTGCTCCAAGAACAGAGGGATTATTGATAGAGATTGCTAGCTGAAGGATGAAATTATCACCCACTATGAATTGATTCATAACTAATCAAGGCATCAATACATTGGGATTTTTGGAAAAGTTATTGGACAATTTGCAAGGCTGTTAACTCTTCAGTTTTTCCTAAAATCAAAATTGATGCTTAGAACCTTGCATTTAGTTTTACAAAATACCTTATTTGTTCTATCCTTTAAACCTTCTTAGCCTCTAAGGTTTCATTTGAGATGACTTTCTTATTATTTCTTAAAGGAATTTTTTAGTACAAGAATTAAATTTATTGTACTAGAAAGCTACTTTATGTAATAATAAAAAAGTCTTAGGTGGAACAACTTTCTTACTGCTTTTTTAAAACTGTTTTCTAGCACAAAAATATTTTGAACTAAAAATTTTATACTAAAAAACTGTTTTAGAAAGCATTAAGAAAGTTGTCTCAAACGAAGCTTAAGTCAACCTTAAATTTTTTATCATTATTTTGTGTAATTTGATCTATACAAGAAGTCAAAAATCTAGCATCTTTTTTATGGAATCTCAAAAATATATGATCCATAAAGGAATTGATATTTTAGTTAAAAAAATACTCCATAATTTCTAATAAATAACATAATATCTTTTAAAATAAATAATAATAAATATAAAAATGCATATTCAATTAAAACTGATTTAATTATTATTTTATCTATTTTATATTCTTTGTCATAGTAATGGAAATTTACTTTCATCTTAATATTAAAATATTAAAATTTAATTAATTTAAGAAAAATTCAAATATATTATAAAATTATTTTTTCTAATATTTAAATGTTTAGCAACTAAATTTTTATATTTATACGCTCGCTAGTCGCTAGTCTTGAAGCGGCCCGCCACCTGCAACTATTTCCCGGCTTGGGATCGCGATCTCTATTCTACGACTGCGCGGCCGCTCCTCTCCGGCGGGTCCCATTTCCACCGTCCATTCACCGACCGACCGACGCAGTGGTCCGAAGAAAGCTTCTACCTTCTCCGATCCTACTAATCTTGGATTTCTTGGGCTAGGGTTTTTTTAATCTTTTGTTGCTGTCGATGGCCTCGGCTTTCGATCGGTGGGAGAAGGACCCTTTCTTCTATGCTGCCGAGGAGGTCCAGGAATCGGCTGACAGGTATCAGATTTCACTCGTAGTACAGTTTTGCTCCTTTCCCTTTTTGTAGAAGAGGGATAGATTACTTTTGTTGTTTCACTTTTCTAGGATGGAATCAGCTTATCGGCGATGGATGCACGAGAAGGAGGGAGCCGAAGTGCGGAGGGAGCTTCATATAGCCCTAGGCACCGCGAAATGGCAGGTTAGTCCTGATTATTAGCTTCTTTTCTTCCTTTTTTTAATTCCGCGTGGTCTCTGATTTGTGGCGAAAGTTTTGGAGTTTGATCTGTTGGGTTTTGACTACGTAGCTGGAGGAGTTGGAAAGGACGGTGAGACACGATGATGAGGCAGTCTCAGCTTGCGAAGACACAGTTACTCGGCATAACGATTTTGTTGAGGCGATTTCGGATAGGATTGGAATGGTGGAGAAGACTCTGAAGGAATCAAATGTAAAGGAGGAGAAAGAGAGCGGCTTGATGCGGTTAGGTCTAGATAAAGGGGAAAGGGACGAGCTTGCCCTTTTCTTGTCAAGTCCATCTTCTGAAGGGAAGGAGGTGTCACTGACCCTATTAGATGTTGAAGAAGCAGGGAGCCGGATGGATGTAGAAACTTCTTTTAGTTTGAAGAATCCTCCATACCAATTGAACGATTTGTCATTGGGGGAGAAAGATCACTGCAGGATTGCTGAAGTAGGTGTATTGATTGATTCTGTTTCGACCGAGGGATCTTCTTTGAGATTATCAGGCGAGCAATCTAATTCCCCCCCTCCAAGGTTATCAAGTGTCCTTGAGCTGAGAGCTGCAGAATCATCTTCTAAGCCTAAAAAGTGGTATAGAAATGGTTTCAGAAAGTGGAAATATCCGAGTCAAGAAGATATGGAAGAATCCTTACCATTACGGAATCATCATTTGAGTCGGGTAATTGATTTCTTCTTATCTTTAAAATAAATTTCAGATTTTGAGTACCATTTTTCATATAGCTTTTGCCTGTTGTTTGATAGCTTGGTGATGACAGTGTTTCCTTTTATTTTAATTAGGGCATGAATGCATGCTATGAAAAGAGCAAGAAGTGTCTTTGCGATTGTACAGATGAGTCTTACCATAAGCATCACCAGGATTGGTTTGGAACTTTTCAAAGGCAACTTCAGAGGTCCCAATACCAAATCCAATATGGTCGACCTGTTCAAATGATGATTTGGATCGCTGTTACTGTCCTACTACTTTGTGAGTTCCTTCCTTTTGTACAGCTCATCTTTTACTTATAAATTGAATTTATTTTTCGTACAGCTCATCTTGGTCTGTTGGTTGAGAGTTTAGGCTATCAACCAAGAGGTCTTGGATTCGATTCTTGTGTATGCATTGTGTGTTTGTGTGAGTCTGACTTAATTGGCTTAATTGTCCAAAAAAAAAATCATTTTTCTTCAGATTAGAAGGATCTTAGCGGGATCTGTTTCATAATTTAAGATTATAACAATCTGAAATTCGTCCAAAATGAACTGTTTGGTTCTTTATGTTGGATATAGGCTGAAGAGTAGTTTTTTTCTTATATCTGGATACTGGTTATTAAAATAATGCAACGTCAAAGTTAAAACTATGCATTTGTATGAGATTACAGCATATATATTCAATTCAAAGTTACACATATTGTGTTTATAATTATATATTATTCAACTTTATGAATCCTTTATTTAAGTTTGTATAAATTATTTTATTTAAATTTATGCAGTGTGTGTTGATTTAAATTATATAAGTTTGCAACTGATATTTTATTTGTTCTTTTTATATTTATTTTTTCTTCTTTCTATTATATGTAATAATAATCATTCATTTTCATTTTACATTTAAATTTTAAGATAAATGATACTGCCAAATTTTAAATTACATAATATGATAAGTTCAATCAAAGAATCTAGTTATTGCCCTTTTATATAGTACTGTGGGAAGGAAGTACTGGATAAAAGTCTAGGAAAAATATGCAAAAATGACCTTTCTTCATACTAGAGAGGTTCTTGTGTGCTCTTGAAGCACTCTTGAGTTCAAGTTTATCATCTTTTGCTTTTCTAGAGCTTCAGGAAAGGATGCAAAGCAAATAGAGTTTCACAGGAAGATTAAAAAAGATCATAAAGGTTTCTCTTAGATAAAATGTGAGTTGACCATGGTTTATTTTAATTATGGGATTAAGGTTATCTATGTGTACAAATGCTGTTGTTTAATTACATTCTCAATGCTTGCAAACCCAAAAATAATTTAATAGAGAAAAATACAAGACCCATTGTTAATCACCTAATAATAAATTATAATCAGCGTATTATCGATCTTCAATCAAGCTTTTTAGCAAGCTTCTTTATGAGCTTTAAATGATAGTTTCATGATCACAAACGAACTGAGCACCGAGCTACTCAAGCTTGTTCGTTTATCAATCAAGTATATATAAAGACTTTCGTGCTTGTTTGACTAGTTGATTAAATGATTGTAAATGAGCTTTAATCTAGCTAAGCTACAAGTAACTTTTGAAGCATATTGATTCGTTTGCATTCCTATCTGAAATTATTTGATATTAACTGTTTTGTTTGAATCATGCAATTTTTTTTCCTTTGCTTGAATCCACATTTTTCAGATTCTAACAATCTGATTTATCTTGACAGTTCTTTTTGTATTGCATGCAAGTTAAAGGAATTAAAGTCTGTACTCAGCCTTTTACTAGTTGATTCTTGGGACTTGACTTTTACATTTAGCAGTACACGAGGTAAGTATCATTTCCTCCACAGAATTTGTTATTAACAATATGTTCTTAAGTTTGTACTGAAATTCGAATTGTGTCTCTCAAGAACTTCTACTGCCATCTTGTTTGGGAAACTGTTTTTTTTTTTTTTCCTTACATAATTCTGGCAACATAAAATCGGTCACAAGTTGTCCCCAAATAGACAATGCTAATGATGATAGAATGTAGGGATGTTAATAAATGAAACGACACAATAACTTAACTTGAGCCCCATCTCAAAAAATCTAGCTTCAAGTTGATTTGATTACTATTCGGGTCTATTTCGATTGACTTGATTACTATTTGGGTTTCGGTTTTAAAAAGCTAGAAACACATCATTAAAATAGATATGTATATCATTAGGCTGAGTTTATTAGGTCAACAACAACAACAATCTCAAGCCTTTATCCCACTACGTGAGGTCGGCTACATGAATCCAAAAGTTTGCATGATTCAAATAAATAACATTTTAGATACTTACGTGGTTTGGTTTGGGTTAGGCACGCATCAAACCTTTTGACCTATATTATAAACGGGTCATATTCTTCTCAAGATGATTTTGATCAGGTAAACTTTGATCGAACTTAAATATGATCTATCAACTCGAATTGGCACCGGTTACAATGATTTAATATGGAAAACTTCATATCTTTTGTTTTTCTTAATTTCTGTAGTTTTAGATGATTTTTATGAAATGCATATTGTTTTGGGGTACAAACGAGATGATAGTTTGTTCGTATTTGGCTCATTTGAAATTTGGTATGTTTGTGTTTGGCTCATGTTTTAAATTGTTGGTGAACATGTCTTTGTTTGCTTCGTTAGAAATCAAACTGAACATAAGTCAATTTTGAACAAATTAAAATAAATAAATAATGAGTTGAACACAATATAATCATTCTAATTATCTACTAATCAATTAGTAAATCCAAGGTTTTTAAAACTGGACCGGACTGGCCGGTTCATCTAGTTGAACATATGTTTCTTCTGGTTCGTTGTCCGGTCCCATTTTCACAACATTAAGTAATTCTAAAAATGTAGAATTAATGATATTTCTATTTTTTTAGTCAATAATCATTCAAATACTATTGAACAAAAATCTATTAAATTCGGCCTGCTTATTTGACAAACAAATCAAACACGAGCTTCTTAACGAGCCAAGCACGAGTTGCTTGCCAATGACTTGCTTTTTTTAACTGCCCTAATGGGATGTAAATATATAACGAAGACGAGATAAGAGATCGAGGGATGTGCATTAAGAGTGAACCTACAGTCTTTGGCTAAATATGAAGATATTTAGGAAAGATATAAATATTACTTTATTAAATTATTAAATTAGGATTTTTTAGAAAGAAATTATTTTTCTAGAGGATAACGAACAATACAGTGAAGTATATTGTGCATTGATCCAAAATTATTGTGAAATTAGCTTTGAAAAATATGCATAAACAAAGGCTCTATGTCTAGATGAGATTCCTGCTGAGATTTGGAGAGTTATTAGGATATTGAATTGCTTTAATTTACTTATCATAGATTTATATCTGCAGCATTCAAATTTCAGTGAGAGGAAAAGCTGGATCTTTGACATTGCATTAAGGTTTCGTTTGGGACAGCTTTTTTATTGCTTTTTTAAAACAGCTTTTTAGTATAAAAAATTTAATTTTTATATTAAAAAGCTGCTTGAAGAAGCAGTAAGAAAACCTTACCAAACATAGCCTAAGTCCTACAGTTTTATAGTCATACGGACTGAAAAGTCGGTGATCTCTTATATGGTCTCACTCGAATGTGTATATGTTTATTGTTTCAGGTTTCAGAAAACCAGCAAATTAAAAGGTTCTGCCCAGCCAAAAATGCTGCTTCTGCTTCATTTCTCATCTTTGTCAGTAATTAAAAAAAAAAAAATTCCTCACTGTCTTCTCATTCATTAAGGAAGTTATTGTTTGAATATGGCATTGATGCAAATGTAAATAATATATATAATATCTGTTAAGAACCTATGAACTTGTGTATTTTTTTTTTTTCAGGGCAATTTTTCTCATTTGACAGTTGTTCTTATGCAAGGCGGTTCGACCAAATATAATGTTTTATATGGCGCACAATGTAGAGACCTACAATGCTTTATGATGTATAATGTTGGTCATTAAAAGAGAAGTATTAAGTTAAGTATTTCAGAGATGAAGATGCTTAGGTGTATGAGTGTCTTCGCTTTTTTAGAGACAATGTGAAATGAGTATGTACATGAAATTGTTGGAATAGCTCCACTAACATATAGGATTAGAGAGAGTCGTCTTAGATGCTTTGGACACAAAACTTCGAACTTCTTATGGCCTGATTAGGAGAGTAGATGTATTGGATTTGTCCTATGTTAAGAAAGGCAGATGTAGACCTAAAAAGATTTGACTAGAAAATATTAAAATTGATTTTTTTTATTAAATTTAAATGCGAATTTGATGCTTAATAAGATTAATGGAAAAAAAATGATTCATGTGGACAATACCATGTAGCAGGATAAAAGCTTAATGTTGTTGTTGACATTTGTTCTTGTGAGTAATGAATGCTATATGGTAATTAAAAATGTATACATTTTAATTATATTATTTGTTGTATAGATGTATTGTTTTTATTATAATAAAGTGGGGGGGGGGATCCTTATTCAAATTTTAAATAAATAATTAATAAATAGTCAGTCTTAAAAATATGATAAATTATAATATTTGAAAATAGATAAAAAAAATAAATATTTTATTTTTCTGCATCAAAATTGGTTCTGAATTTGAACATGCACATAATCAACATAGATTATTTTAAATAAATAATATTTTCCTTTAAATAAATAACAATACCATGTTAAGATAATATTTAACACCCACCCATTGGATTAGTTAGCGATTTGGGCCTGTATCTGGGCCGTACTCTGGGCAGGCTTCCGGCATCCGAGAGAGCCCAAAGGACAGAGCAGGCCATCTTTGACTTCTTCTACAACAATAAGAGCACGTGGGGATTGGAACGCTGTTCGAACCTCACGTGCTTTTGACTTCTAATATTTTTGTTGACCTCAACTTTTCTCTTACTAGCTCATCTCATCATTTAAATTTAACGAATGCAATTTTCTTTCTCATCCCCATACAAACCCAATATTACTTGGAAAGCCCCCTTCAGAACTTTCTACTGGCTACCTTTTTTTCCAGTTGACCACCTATGGCACCTATAAATTTACAAATATTTCTCTTTTTGTCTTATTGCAAACCTAATTGTGTTACAAATATTTCTCTTATTGAAAATTTTATAATATGTTAATAAATATTTGTACATTTGCAAATTATGATTCATACACCACAAATTTATTTATTATTTCAAATTACTTTTTGTAAATATAATTTGCTTCCCAACTCCTATTCTAAAATAATTAGCAGTTGATTACAAATTCTAAAAATGGGAAAACTCATAGGGCCTAACACAATTTGAATGAATTTACTCGTATTTCCAGTTGATTACAAATGAGGCTTTTTATTGGAGGGAAGGCCTTGGCTTGATGCAATAAATATACATCACATAGAATGCATTACATGGTGGAAATTGGAAGAATCAATATTGATATATTTGTTTGGTCGGCAGGATCACAGTCAGTATGCAACGAAAGTTTGAAAGACTGTAGTTTGGTGACGGTGGTCAGAGGGACCGTAGTCAGCGGACGCCGGTGGTAATAAAATACTGTTGTCTAACGATAAATGTCGGAATGACCGCAATATAGCTATGGAGGTCGAAAGGACCGTAGTCGGCGGGCGACATTGGTTAGAAAGATTATTGTCTAGCGACGAAAATCAGGAGGATCGTACTTGGCGAGCGATAGTTGTCAGAAAGATTTTTGTGTGTTGAAGGAGATTGGATGGATCGTAGTCAGCCTGCGACAGAGGTCGGAAGTATGGTGTTAGGCATATGTTCAACGATGGACGGAAGTCCGGCATTGGGTAGAAGTCTGATGAAATTTCGGCGTCGGGTAGAAGTCTGACGAAAGTTTGCCGACAGGTAGAAGTTCGGTGATGGGCGAAAGCCCGAAATCGGGTAGAAATTCGGTGACAGGCGGAAGTCCTGTGTCTGGTAAAAGTCCAACGAAAGTCTGGCAACGGGCAGAAGTCTAGCAACTTGCGGAAGTCCGACATCAAGTAAGAGTTCGACGGAAGTCTGACGTCGAGTAGAACTCCAACGAAAGTTTGGTGATGGGCAAAAGTCTAGGGACTGGCAGAAATCTGGCGTTGGGTAGAAGTCCGACGAATGACGAATGTTCGGTGGCCGTGAGGTGGACGAGGAGGAGTCTGGTGGCAATAAAACTTTTCATTATCTTCTTTCTCTTCTTGCTTGAGCCTCCTTCTTCCTCCCCTCTCAATGATGAAAGAGGGATCTATTTATAATTTTTTGATAGTGGCATTGCTAGTAAATAGAAGGAAGATCAGTAAAATGGGAGAGGTTTGAATGGACGGCCGATGTTGAATCCCTTGATCATGGTGCGTTTATTAGGCATTTGAATGTCTTAATGATATCATAATTCAATGATCTTGGGCTTGTTGGCTTCGTCTCGTAAAGCTGCTCGATTCGACTATAAGCATGCAACGTTTAGAAACTGTTTGGTAATCCAAATTATAGATTTAACCGTTCAAATGTGCTTTGGATCTTTGATTTGTACTCATTTGGGCTCGGATTGACTAGAATCTGGTGTCGCTGGGTTCATATTTCCGAGATGTCCAGTTTGACTATAAGTTTGTTGAAATCATAGTACATATGGTATTCAATTTAATTTTTGAAATTTTCAACTTTATTTTGCTTCCGGATTTGTGCCCAATCAACATAATTTTTTGATGATATATCAAATAGATAAAATTATTAATGTGTGATAGTTTAAAGATAATTCAAATTAGATTTTTTTTTTATATAAAAAAAGTATTTATAATATCTACGATATTTTTAAAAAATCATTTTCTCCACAAAAAATTATTTTTAGAAGTAATTTTTAATCCAATTTTTTTAAAACACCGGAAATAGTTAAAAAAATGATCTCGAACAAAATCTTAGAATTCATTTAGAATATCTTTAGACCTCAACTTTTTCCTACTTTTAAGAGCTTTGGATTAAAAAGAAGCTTTTGCCAAACAGTAAGAAAACTGTTTCAAATAAAGCCTTAATTTAATTTAATTAGTTCAAACCAACTATCTTGACCCTTTCTACTTGTACACTGGTCTCAATTATCCGGCGAACTTCTACAGCCGCCAGCCAAGGCTTTTTGCCTTTCCTTGGTAAGCGCAGAAAATCTCTCTCTCTCCCTCAGAGCATATAAAAGCTCAATAATTCTGTCAACAAGTTAGTATTTTTCCATCTTAATTTCATTCAACAGATGGCCACACAAGCCTTTTTAAGCTTCTTCTCTCCTCTCCCCTCGCCTTCTCCCTCCCCCAACCATCCGCCGCCGGTTACTGCCGAGGAAAGCGTCGCCCTCTGCCTCTTCAACCTCGCCGCCGGAGGCAGCTGTATAATGAGCCAGCCTTCTGTTCCTCTGTATCAATGCTCTGTTTGCGGAAAGACTTTCTCTTCCTACCAGGCGCTCGGCGGCCACAAGTCGAGCCACCGGCGACTCGCCGCGCCGGGAGAGCCGGGCCGGGCGGACAGGCCGGCTGGGCCAACTGTCGGCGAGTCAAATGGAAGTGGAGCCCACCAGTGTTCTTTGTGTATGAGGCGGTTTCAGACAGGTCAGGCCCTCGGTGGGCATAAGCGGCTGCATTATTGGGAGGCGGCGGCGGCGCCGTCGTCTTCTTTCATTTCGGTCAACGTGCGGGTGTTCGACTTGAACTTGCCGCCAGAGGAGGAGGAGGAGATTCAGAGTCCTCTACTGAGGAAGAAGATTAGGCTATCTGATTAGTGCGTTCGGAAAAGCTCAAAATATTATTCGACCATTCTTATTTTAAGTATCACATTTATTTAATTTAGTTCATCAATTATAAAAAACTAATCCCAAATTTTTTTCTCAAATAGATTTGAATCTATTTGTTTTTATCTTTCAAACAGCAACACCAATTGTTTGGTTGCTATTTTCTTACTGTTTTTCAAGAAAATTTGTGTTAAAAAGCTATTTTTTTACGATAAGAATAGATAATTTGCTTTTCCCACAACAACAAAAAAATCAATTTTATAAAATATTACAATCAATCCGATAAGGCTCGTAGGCTTCATTTGGAACTATTCTTTTACTGCTTCTTCAAACAATTTTCTAATCTAAAAATTAAAATTTTTATACTAAAATTTTTTTAAAAAACCAGCAAGAAAGCTGTCCCAAATGAATCCTTAAGCTTCATTTGGGAAAGCTTAAAACCACTATTTTCCAAGATAAGCTTACTTCTATTTATCTCCTACTCATCTATTCTACTATAAAATCAAGCATGTAGACTCCTCTCGTCTTTTCTAACTCATAACAAGATTCATAAACTATACTCACAATAAATTATTCTAAAGTGTAAGCGAGTCAAATCAAGCTTGGTTCATCTATAATTTGATATTGAATAGATTAAGTTGTTAAATATGATATTTATGAACTGAAACGATCATGTTGAATTAGTTGTGTACTGTTTGGGCTTTTACACCAACTTCATAACATTATTATTATTTTTATTTTTTCATTTTGTTTAGAAGTTGAGGAGTATACTGGCTTTGTTATTGTACATTTTGTTAAATTAATTAATAGAAAAGTTGTTATTCAATTGATTATCATAATTTTTATCATTATAATTAGTCTTTTACTAATTATTTGGTATTACATTTAAGAAATATTATTTTTTAATCATTTATATTTTGTGATACCTAAGATGGTAATTTTGGAGGGTGTAGATAAATCTTTTTATACAATTGTGATGATTTAAGGGGAAAAGTAATACTTTATTCATCCAAACATTTGATATCAAGCAAATATAAAAGAAAAAAAAGCATTTCTTATGTGTTAATTTGATATTTAATTTATAGATAAATAAAAATATTGCTTGTTATTATTTGTTGATAGGAGACAATCAAGAATACGATAACGAGCAATTTCATGCTTTGGTGGTCGCGATGTTTTGCATGTATTCTTTTCATTGTACATATTGAGGAGTCATCTTCAATAAATAGATGAATATGGTCTGTAGTAGGGTTATTGATAAGTGATGTGAAGTAACGATGACTTCTCATTTGAATCCTCTTTTGACCTCCTCATTTCTCTCTCTCTCTCTCTCTGAGGATTAATTATTTTGTGCGAACACCAAACGCCTCCCATAAACAAATCAGAATGCGCCACATCACCCCTTCGATTAGTCCGCAGCTATGTAACGCTTATGTGGTGCATTATGATTGGTCTCTGAATGATGTTCTGCATCTGGCCTCCACACAAAATAATTTCTCATCTCCAAGATAGGCTTACTTCTATTTATCACCTACTCATCTATTCTATTATGAACTCAAGCATGTAGTATCCTCTCGTCTTTTCTAACCCATAACAAGATTCCTAAACTATACTCACAATAAATTATTCTAAAGTGTAAGCGAGTCAAATCAAGCTTGGTTCATCTATAATTTGATATTGAATAATTGATTGAGTTCTAATTCAAGCTCGAGTTCAATCCTATGAATTTAAGTCGGCTATATATTGATTCATTAAATACTATATTGAGTATTATAAGGCCCAAAAAAGAAAATAATATATAATTTAGATTATTATGTTATATTTTAGTCATGATGGGTCTCATAAACATTAAATATATTTTGAGATAAGTGCAATATATAAAACTTTAATCAAAATTTTATTAGCACTATTCTCTAAATAAATTTAATAATTTTAAAACTCATCATGATAAAAAAAATTTGAGTAAGATATAGTGATAAATTTCTTTTTTGTATGTAAAGTCAATGTTCTCTAAATTAATTTAGAGCTAAAAAAATAAAAAAGATAATTTATAAATAAAAATTTACATACACATCATATAATTAATTAATATTTATATATCTAATCCCTAAACTTGATATTTAATTATATCAAAATATAAATATTAAATCATATAAAAATATCACTAATATTATTTTTTTAGAATGAAAGATAATATTTTTATACATATATTTTGATATAAAATAGAAGCTAAAGTTACTAAAATTTTAATATGTAATTTATTAATATATACAAATTAAATGATATTTTTTAAATCCCATTAAAAAACAAAGATAAGGATAATTTTTCATAAATACGAGTGCTAAATTGTAAAATTTAATTTTCCTATAAATAAAAAAGGCCGGCATAAGCCGCCTGGAAGTAACCGATGCAAGCTCGAGGAGTACTGTTACTGTAATTCTCTATCGGCTCCGAAAGAATCCATTGTGATCCGTCTCCTCTCGATCTCAGAAAGACTTGAGAAGGTCCGTCTTTCGTTCAATTTCCTCTGAGTTTCTCATCATTGCGTATTCTTGCAATCCGCTTCCTTAGTCCTTCCCGGTCTCTCCGCGCCGGATTTGAATTCGAAATGGGTTTTTAGGGTTTATTTCGTTTGTCACCGAGACGTGTGGCCGATAAGGATTGGGGTGATATACGAATTGCTTTTGCGGGGTTGTTTCTTTAGAATCTGAGGTGGTTGAAGGGCCATCGAATCGATCGGGAATAAACTACTATGTTATTTGATTTGTTATTTGTATTTAACAAAGTACTATGTTTCATACATAATGATGTTGTTTCGGATCTCTTTGTTGTAGTTTAATACGCTTTTAATTTAATAATTTTGCGTTTCAGGGCCTACGATGGGCGTAGAAGGTCTCTCATCCTGTTCTTAGTCTCTGATGTAGTTTTAAGTCCTCAACACTTACGGAAATCGGCAGCAGCTACTGTTTTCTCAACCTACCACTTCAGTGTGTCATTTGCATCCTCAAGCGTTGAGATGAAGAATCGAGAACGCTCGGCAAATTTAGTTCTTTTAGGTAAGTTATATAACATTCGGAAACAAGAATATTTTAGGTCATATTTTGATAATGGATGTAAATTTAGATGTTTTCAATATCTGAAACAGCGGTGTTTTCAACTTACAAATGCTTTATTTATCTTGCACTTGTTTTATGTGGTTTCATTTGATAGTAGATTAATCACCTTGAAAGTTTCACCTCACAAGCAACTCAAAATTCCATGTTTTGATATGAGTTATAGTAGTTATCTATTATAGAGGTAAAATGTGTTGAAGTGCATGCATGATTATATCCTTCAAATGATTTTGTTTTGCTGCATTTTGTTATTTTTCATCATCATCGTTGCCATCATCATCATGAGCATGCAGTCTTATTCCAACTAATATTGATTACTTTATGATTTTTCTTATATTCATTTACTTTTGTTTGTGATGAGGCATTGAATGCTAGTAAGAAACATAAATGCAATTTTGAAAGGTGACAAAATTTGATTTCTCTAGAAGTTTATAATAATTATCAAAAAGCTAAAAATCTTGCATAGAGTGTAGTAAATAAAACAAAAGCTACAACTCTTGATGATTTAGAGAATAACTTTGTGCCAAAGAAATTGAAAAGGAAACATCTAGAATAATAAGGCAAATATTAAGAGATATGGATACTTTGATAAATTTAAATGCATTAGAGGGAAGAGGATATGATCTTGATTAAAGTTGAAGACAATAATGAAACATGGCATGGTACCTTTATAAATTACTAAGTGTGAGTTTTAAGAAAATTCTTTTGGAATACTATAATTAATAATATAATAAATATGTTGTAGATTGATCCTCAAAAATGAAGTAGAGTTATCTCTGTAGAAGCTGTATAAAGTTAAGGATTTATGCACATATGAGTTAACTATTGAGATTTGGAGGGCTATGATGGATGTTGTGATTTAGTGAATGAAAAGTTTTTATAGGATTTTGAAGACTAAGAGGTTAAAATGACTGGAGAAGAAATAATTTGATATCAATATTTAAGAATAAAATGTTATGTTCTAGATTGTGCTAATTGTAGATGATGAATGTTCTAAGTCATGTAATAAAGCTATGTAAGAAAGTAATGAAATATAAAATATCTAAGAAATCAACTTGATTTCTTACCCTAAAAATTTACTATGAAAGTTTTTTTTTTTTTCGCTAAGATTATTAATTTAAAATATAGAGAACAATTAAAGGACGTTATATGATTTTTTTTTATCTTGAGAAATTATATGAATGAGTATCATTAGAATTGATTAATTTATATTAAGATAGAAATGCGTGCATCAAAGGTATGCTAATTTTATTAAAGATGTATATGATGGAGCATTGACTAATATATAATGTTGTGGAGTGACTAAGTTTTCAATTATAGTTAATTTACATCAAAGATCATTATTAAGTTAATGTATCTTTGTAGTATTTATGGAGATGCTTGCAAATGGCATTTAAAGTGATATGCCTTTGTGTATGTTTTTTTGTAGATGTAGTTTGAATGTAGTGTGCCCACTAAATTAAGGGAAAATAGAGGGATATTTATTAGATAGAGTATTTATAATTAGTAAAGACAAAGGCTATGTATGTGAAATATAATTTTATTGGTTTGATATTAACAATTATCATTTTATATTATTATAAGATAAGAGCACACTTAGGTATGATAGTTTTAAATATCTCGGTTCTATTATATAGAATAACGAAGAAATATATGAAAATGTAACTTATAGAGTTAAGGTTGGATGATAAAGAATTTTTGAAGTAGTTTTGTGTGATGAGAGGGTATAATGAAGACTTGAATGTAAAATTTATAAACTGCAATTAGATCAGTAGTTTTGTATGGGTTTGAATGTTGGACCCTAAAAATCCTTGATATATGTTGAAAAGCTAGGAATAATAATTTTAGGAATAATTTTATTAGGAGGATGATTTGAGTGACATCTATTGCAAATAAGGTAATGAAAAATAGGCTTTGGTGGTTTGGATATGTGCAATGCAGGCTAGTTGATATGCCACTATACATTTAAATAAAATTAGTGTTAAGAAGATTAGGATGGTGAGGTAGACTCAAGGTTACGTGGATAAAAAATTTAAAAATGATTTATGAAGAATATATTTAACTCTCTAAATAGCACTCAACTATAAACAAAAAATAAGAATACATAAAGATGACCATGATGTATACCATCCTAAATTTATTCTTTTTATCTTTTTAGCCCTAACCAATAGCAATAATACATGTTTGATGTTAATCCATGATATAATCCTATTTTGAGTGGATACTCTTTCGTTGCCTTGAAAAGTACTAATATCAGTCAACATTTTAGCATAAGTATCACGAGTAACTTCAAATGCATTTTATGCACAGCTTTTCCTTTGATGTCCACTGAATGAACTCAATGGTACCGGTACCCTATCTCGACTTATCATTTAAAAAAAATTGTATCATGGTTTACCACTCTCTATGCTTTTCTTTTAATTGCACAATATCATTTGGGTACAAAATCAAAATTGATGCTCTGACACCAAAGTAATTCTTGCAGGTCTGTCTTTGGCGCCACTTTTTGTTAAGGTAGATCCCAATCTAAATGTAATTCTGACAGCATGCCTAACGGTATATGTTGGTTGTTGCAGATCAGTCAAGGCAACACCACCATCGGTAAGTGTCATTAATCTTTCCATTGAAAATTTATGGTTATATCTTTGTTTAAGATCTTTTATCATTTAGTTGCTTTACCTTTCCTGAGGCTGCATACCAATTCATGCAGGAAACAATGTCCAATGAACATGCAATGCGCTTCCCCCTAGTCGGCAGTGCAATGCTCTTGTCATTGTTTTTGCTTTTCAAGTTTGTTTCAAAAGACTTGGTCAATGCTGTACTCACATGCTACTTTTTTGTGCTTGGGATCATCGCCTTTTCGTATGTCTTCTACTTTTCTCGTTATAATTTTAGTTATTAGATTCCTAGTTTGGCAAAATTTTGTTGCTGCAGCTAATGTTGATTTTGCAGTGCCACTCTAGTGCCTTCAATTAAGCGTTTTCTTCCGAAGCATTGGAATGATGATCTGATTATTTGGCATGCTCCATATTTCCATTGTAAGTATGCCGAACAATATCCTCTACTATGTTATTACTGCTTCTATCACCAAGATTATATGTTGTATTTGCCATTTGTTGGTTGTTGCATTTTTTTTTTTTAAATAACATGCATATTTTAACATTTTGTTTTGAATTTGCATTTCTTTGCATGCACATGAGATTGGGAATTCTTTGATGGATGTGTAAAATGCATTTGTTTGGTCTGCCATTTCCGAGAAACTTCAAAAAAAAGCTGTTTGATAGATTATGAACGCTTTTCTCTTATTCGTTTGATTTTGATCTGTTACCTTATTATTATTTTTTATCTGGCATGGATACGTGCGTAGACCTAAATTGGTAGGCTGGGCGTCAGCTGCTCTTATTGGATTAATGGTTTAATATAAGACGTTGCAATTTTAGGATGATTGTTCAGCCTTCACCTACGTTCCTTTTTTAGCACGGCACTTTTATCTTGGATTGTTCTTGCAGTCTTTCTTATAAAGAAAGCTATTGTAAGCTTGTAGTTTAGGAAGTGGCCATTGTTAGAATGCTTTGAACCCCCATAATGCATCAAACTATTTCTTTGATTTTAATAACTCACCTGGTGATAGATTCAGCTCCTGATATTGAAGGGTGAGTGTGTTTGGTATTTGTTTGACGTTGATTTTCCAAACTGCCGCTGCATTTTTATTTGGATACAACTTTCTTGCTGCTTTTAAGGAATATCAATGATAGAGGTTTTCACAATTAGATCGACTAGTGTGGTGATTGTAGAAAAGCTATCATCTAATTTATTTGATGGAAAAAATCTATAATATCCCAGGAGTTTTCAAAAGATCTACTTTGCCCGCAACAAATTTTCAATAAATTTAACGAACGTATGCAGCTGTCCCAAGCCAACCGTGAAACACACTTTCTGTTAGTGATGAATCCTCTGTTTTTCTGATATGCGTTGTTTGAAAAATGTAAGGAGAACTTAAGCTATAGCTTTTCTATGATATTTGCTAATGCTATAAGCTAGTTTCCCCTACAATCATAGGGGAGATGACCTGGGATGTGCAGGTGTTCTTCTCCTAAATCATTGTTTTTTTATAGGTATTTTCAAATAAAATAGCTGCTGACACAGTTTAGGACCTAGATCCAATTTTTTTTTTTTTCAAATTTTTAACAAAGGTCTGTCTATTTATTACTTTGTATAATTATGTTTGGCCAGTTAACATAAACTTATATTGATTTAATGATGATTGATCCTTGCAACTTTTGGCGAGCTTTCAGGGAAAAAAAAAGTTTTTAATGCTACTACCTCTCTTCTTCATCTGTGTGCTTGGACTGCTTACCCTACGTGAATGCAGATTTTTGATATTTTAGATTTAGATTTACTCATGTGAGCATGCAATTTTCTTTTTCTTTTTTTTTTTATGCAGCTTTTTCGGTAGAGTTTACGAGGTCTCAGATTGTTGCCTCTATTCCAGGAACTTTTTTCTGTGCTTGGTATGCATCTCAGAAGCACTGGCTAGCAAACAATGTTTTGGGGATTTCATTCTCCATTCAGGTTTGCTTCTGCTTTTCTTTTAGGATACGATCTGTTATTAGATCTTTATTTATTTATTTATTTAGGTCTCATATTGTATTATATTTGATTTATGTTAAGAAAGATAGATGTAAGACCTAAAAAGACTTGGTTAGAAAATATTAGAAATGACATTTCCTTATTAGATTTAAATAAGAATTTGACTCTTAACCGGACACAATAGAGAAAAATGATTCATGTAGCCAACCCTACATAGTGGGATAAAGGCTTGATGTTGTTGTTGTTGTAGGTCCCATCTTGTAATGATTTTTGTTACCTGATTACATGTTTGAAGAAGTTTTCAATGGCTTGGTAAAAGTCAAGTAAATTGTTGTATGGAAAATTTCAGCTATGCAAAATTGAAAAATTAGGGTTATGAAAAAAGCTAAGCAATCATGTTTTCTAAAAATTGAAAATTTTAATGCTAAATGTCCCAGTAATCCATTTAGACATCACCATGAAATTTTGTAATTTCATATTTTACGTGCAGTCTAGGATGCACATAATGGACACAACGACACAAATATGGGACACGTTGAGGATTTGAGTTGAACATGGTATTGTAATTTTTATATCTTAAAAATAATACATAGAAATTCAATAGGTTGAATATTAAGAATAACAAAGAAATGATAACTCATTTAACTTTAACATTAACTTTGAAAAGTTGAATGTTCTATAAATAGTTGTCTAACTTATGATATCAAGAAAGTAAGTATGAATTGTCTAGTATAACATTAAGATTATGTTAGATAAGTCCACTGGACTGGTCCAACCGATCCATATGTGACTAGCTCGCGTGTAACAGAGGCGGAGAAGTTCCGCCTCCCGCTTGTGCCGCTGAAAACGCAAAGTCCAAAAGCTCTGATTAGGAAGGATTTATGAGGAGTTTAGGAGAGAAATTTGAAAGTAAGGGCTGTTGAGATATTTTCTTTTGGATTGTATGCATTAAATAGTTTGTTTTTCTAGTGTTAGGGCATCTTGAATTTGGCTGAAATTTGATATATCTCTTAGGTAATTGAGCTCTAGCCGCCGGCTAGGGATTGGGAGGGCCGGATCTTCCTCTCAAAATTGAAGATCCATTGCATCTTGCTTGCTTTTGTTCGTTTTTCATCAAATAAAATTTGTTTCGTTGTTGTTCGTCTTCCTTCTAAAAAATTGTTTGCAAGTGGCTGATTTTCTCGGATTTCAGCAATGCTTTTTTAGGTTTATACAAGTGTTTTCTATTAGGTTCAAAATACAATAGTCAGTTATTCATTAAAAGGAATAATGGGATTGACTATTCATCATTTATTAATCTTTGGCCTTCAATATCATCATTAAATAATATTACGCTTCCAATTATGGCTCATTATGAGAAAGATTTGCTATCTCTAAAATTCTCATATTATCGAGGGATTCAAAGCCATCTTCTTTTTATAAGGTTTCATATAATTTGGGATATTTCTTAATATAAGAGCACATAAACTAAATCTTTAGCTCATTATGAAATTATTTTACCCTCTTTGTTGATTGAATGAATGATTATGTGTTTTAATTTTTCTTGCAATGAGAGAAGGAAACTTGGCCAAGAGGTTTTATGGCAATTATTGACATAGAGATGCTAAAGCGCCATGAATCAACCATCATATCTTTGGATCCTTTCTCCACTTCTCACGCGTAAAGATTATTTATGTTTGAATTCCTCAAGATTTCTAGAGAATTTAACAAACTCTATATTCACATATCTTGTATTTTCGACATTATCCTCCGATAATATGATCATTTCTCAGTAATCATCATCGATTGAAGTACTTTTTTAATTTACTTGAATCTTCTTAACTTCACAGTAATTAAAGCAAAATGAGTTTTAGCCTCAACAAGTTTTTATAAAGTTGAGAAAACATTAAAAATAGAAAGCATCGTAGAATAATTTATTAGAAAGTTTTTTTGTCAAAACAACATCTTCATAAACCATTTTGTTCCAATGGCATTCAATGAAAGTTATTTCACCTATCTCAGTATTTTTTGGTGCACAAATATTCTTTAAAGTAAGATTGATGGTATGCACAACTCTGGGCATCTAAAAGATATGATGATATGTTCACTTAACTAGCAATCCTATTGGCTTACAAACTGGAGCATTATTAGTACTAATTCGAGTAATGTTGGAAGGGCTAATCATCACGATCACTTCTTTAGTTAAATTGCAAATGAAGATTTTTTTTATACCACCCTTCAAAATTTTCAACTTTAAGTAACATTGGGTAGTTTCTTTCATATTGACATCAAATTGATAAGTGATATTTTTTATGCCTAGTACAACCATCACACACCAAACTCCTTTCCCATTCTAAGTTCATTTTTTTAAGTTTAAGCAACATCTCAATCTTAGACCTCTCCGTTTACAATAATTTTATTCTAATGGAATTATACTCTAGAGGCACATAACCTGCAAAAGATTATTTTTAAGAATAAAAATAAATGCATGCTTGTAATGAGGATTTCTTGCAAGGTTAAAAGAAAGACTAGTTGAGAAAAAAATATCATTACAAGTTTACCATCCAGTTGTTCTCGTGTTTGTAGATTAAATTCCTTCTCCAAAAGATTGTTTGCAACGTCTTCTCTTTTCTCGGACTCATGTCCTTTCAGCCTAAATGAACCTATATTGAGATTGACATCGTCTCTTCATCAGTTTGAATAGAAGAGGCATAAGGGCATGAACCATGAATAGTAGGTAGTAGTTTATCTTTTGAAAGCCTTTTTGATCAACTTTGTTAAATTGCCTTTGCATGCCATTCACCTATGAATCACTTATTTTAGGACAAATTTTAATTTTATGATTAATAATCTTTAGTAAATGGGCTTTTACTCTTGAATATAAGCCTTTGTAAGTAACATTACAGCAAATGCATTCAAATGCAATATTTTCTTTGCTTTTAGAAAAAAAATTGCAAACTTGGTTATATTATTCGTCAAGTCTGATTGCTTTTAATATTAGGCTCTTTTAAACCCTCACCACTTTTAGAGCCCTACCACTAGAGCTATAACACATTTCACAATTAGTATAAAACCTTAAATTTAAATTGTTATACCATTGAAAATTCAAAATCCTAAATTTTTAGGTGGAGAAGAACATATGAAATTCAAAAAGCAATAATTGAAAATTACACTTATTTTTTCTCCTTATATTTTTCCTCGTCTTTTCCTTTCCTATTATTTTTCTCTTGTAGAACAAAATTTTCTACTAATTTTTCATTTCCCAAATTGCAGAACTTATGTACGATGAAAATCATTGATTGAAGGAGCAAGAATAGAGGGGGAAGAAATATCACATTCACTATTTTGAATATGAAAAATAATTAAAGTTCCTTAGATGCAGAGAATGTCTCTTATTGTAGATGGCCTACAGACTGAGAAAACGGTGTCAGTTTCAAAACCCTAGTCACGAGCTTTCATGTCGATAATGGAGATGACAACATTGTTGAGAGGGGTATCGAGTGTCGATGTTGAGACGACGTTGATCGTCAAGGTTGAGACAGTGTCTGACATTAGTGTCGAGTTGTCGAGACAGCAGGGGCGTTATTATGGGTCTATAAAAATTGTCGGCATCTGGCATTGGTGACATGATGACATCGGGCGACCATGTGAAATCCTAACTACGAGCCACAATGGGGATGTCAGGGGACGGGTGTTTAGTGCATGCGAGCTATTGGTGTTTGTTGTTGTAGCGAGGAAATAACAAGTTTTGTTTTTTAATTTTTAGTTGATAAGATATTAAAATATAAGAAATTATTTTTTAAAATATTTTTATAATAAAATATTTTGAGCACCTCTGTTCGATTTTTTTAATGTTATTTTAATTGGACATGTCTTCATTGTGTCTGAGGTGCATTCTACGCATGTCCATGTCAGACATTGTATACCTTCTTAAGGAGAATCACCAGTGCATGATTGCTTTTGGTTATCCTGTTCAATGTTTTTTATGGATGAATGCTATAAAGTTTTTTCTTCATTACAAAATTGCTTGATATTATTGCAAAAATCATTTTATAATTTTATTTATAAGCATAGATGAATAACTATTAATTATTTTAAAGATAATTACAGTGATCTCATTTTAATAATTATTATTGTCTTTTTTTTTTCTTTAACTAATTCAAAGAGGAGAGGGAGGCGCGGCTTGGAGTCGTGGAATGATCGTGAAATGAGAGTGGGGGGGTCGGTTGGGAGAGTATGAGGGTTATGAGGTTAAGTGGGGGGTAGTTTAGGTATTTTTTGGATTTTTTATTAAAAGAAAATTCATTTTTATTTAAAAAAAAAAGCTCTTTCTCCCTCTTTTTTTTCAAAATTTTTTAATTAGATTGCACAAAAATAAAAATAAAATTTAATTTTGCATCGAGTTGGTCGTCGCGTCGTCGCTCGCACAAGTCGTCGTCTCGATTCGCGCGCCCAAAATTTAATTTTTCGCCGACCGACGACCCCTACCAATATGGGTGTCGATCTTAGCTGTTTCCGTTGCTCCGGACGCATCGGCGCTGTCCGTTTCGCGAACGGAGGTCGTCTCGACGATTTTGGGTTTTCGGTCGACACGCGTCGGGTGAGTTTTTGCGCGATTTCGAGCTCTTTCTCTTTTAAAACCCACCTTGCGCGGTCGACTCGACCCCGACACTAGTATGAGGGTCAACACCTGTTCAATGTTTTTTATGGATGAATGCTATAAAGTTTTTTCTTCATTACAAAATTGATTGATATTATTGCAAAAATCATTTTATAATTTTATTTATAAGCATAGATGAATAACTATTAATTATTTTAAAGATAATTACAGTGATCTCATTTTAATAATTATTATTGTCTTTTTTTTTTCCTTTAACCAATTCATGGCACTTCATAATCTTTTTTACCAAAGACATGCAAATTATCACAACTTAGAAAGCAAACAATAACAACAACAAAATCAGCCCTTATCCCACTACGTGCGGTTGACTACATGAATTCTTTTTCTTCATTGTGTCATGTTAAGGGTCAAATTCTCATTTAAATCTAATAAAGAAAGGTTATTTCTAACATTTTCTAACTATGTCTTTTTAGGTCTACCTCTACCTTTCTTAACATAAGCCAAATCTAATACATCTACTCTCCTAACTGAGTCATCAGGCCTCCATTTTATGTGACTAAGTCATCTAAGTCAACTCTCTCTAATCTTATCATCCACTGGAACCACTCCAATCTTTTCACATATATGCTTATTTTGTATGCTGTCTCTAACAATAAAGTCATTCATCCACCTGAGCATCCTCATCTCTGCAACACTTAAAAGTTAATATTATGCTTCTCTTTTAATGGCCAACATTCTACACCATAAAGCAATTGCAAGTCTCACCACCATCTTATAGAATTTTTCCTTAAGTATGAGACAGACTTTTCTATCACTCAACAAGCCCGATGCATTCCTCCACATCAACCATCCAATTTGAATTCTACTAATAATATCCCCATCTATTTCACCATCATTCTGAACAATAGACCCAATATATCTAAAACGTGTACTCTTATTAATGACTTGATCGCCCAAAGTCACAGTCCCCCCACTAGATTTATTACTACTAAAATTGCACTCTATATATTCAGTTGTAGATCTACTCAAATAAAAACCTTTAGACTCTAAAGTTGACCTCCATAATTCAAGTTTACCTTCAACTCCCTCTCTAGTCTTTTCAACAAGAAGAATATCATCAGCAAAAAACATACACCAGGCTACAACCTTTTGCAAATGTCTAGTGAGAACATTCATGACTAAAACAAAAAAAATATGTGCTTAAGACTGATCCTTGATGGAATCCAACTGAAATAGGAAAATATTTGGTCAACTCACCTTGTGTTTGAACACAAGTAAAAGCTCCTGCATACATATCCTTAGTGACTTGAATATAAGCATTATTAACCCCTTTCTTCTCCAATACTCTTTATAGCACTTCTCTTGGAATTTTATCATATGCTTTCTCTAAATCAATAAATACTATATGTAGATCCTCCTTATTCTCTCTATACTTCTCAATCAAACCTCTCAATAAATGTATAGCTTCCATGGTAGACCTACCCTGCATGAATCCAAATTGATTTTGAGAAACATTTCATTTACCAAATAGCTATCACAACTTAGAAAGCAAACTTAACAAAAAATTTACCAAATAGCTATCAACTTTATTTGACATCACATCACAATAGAGAACAATACAGCAACAGACGGAATTGCCAAACGGGACCATGTCTATTACATTTATTTATTGTTAACTTTTTTCATGTTTGAAATCTTTTTTTTTTCTCTCTAAGAAAAAAAGAAAAAATTTATGCGGGATACATATTTTCTTTTAATTAGGCTCTGGTTGGATTAGAGCAAAATTTTGGAAATGAAATGATATGCTAAATTCAAGGGTTGATTATGAATTACATTAATTGATCTAAGACATTCAACTACATTTATTTCCTTTCACTCAAATTGTTAGCATCCAAACAGAGCCTTAATATCCATGTTGCATTTTATATCCTACTAATCTTGATACTTAACATTAGCCTTGTTTTTGCTGCTGTTTTTGTAGAAAGAATTTGTTGTTTTTTGCTTCTTTTTTTTTTGGACTTTTGAGCCAGTTAAGGCAAACTCACACACACATCACATACACAAGTTTCGAATCCAAGACCTTTTGGTTGGTAGCCAAAGCTCCGAACCAACAAATCAAGATAACTACATGTTATTTTTTGCTTGTACTTGCAATTGAAAGAAGTCCTTGAGATGCCAAGGTCCAACGTTGCTTCTAGTGGGAGCCAGACAATCATCTTTTTCAAATAAAATGTCAGTTAAAGGATAATTATGATTATAATGAAATATTTTTTGGCATACCTTTACTCGGACCTTATGTAAACTTGGGTAATAAAAACAAATGTAATTGCTATAAAATAAAATTCAAAAGATCAGTCAAATTTGCTTAATCTTCTACTGAACTTATTGTTTTGAAGGTAAGAATAAATCTTCTTGTGATTTAATTGGCTATTAAATCGAAAATGTCAGTCCTCTCTGACAAAACCATGAAAATGGTTTGAACGGGTCAGTTTTGGAATCTACCGCATTGTCATCATAAATTTATCTTTAAATCCAGAACGAATAAATAAAATGTTTAGCGCTATATATCCTCCATTTGCTGTTGGTTGCTTTCTGGTTATTATGGATCTGTTTTTAGTGCAGTTTTTCCCGCTTTTTGTTTGCCTTACTCTAGTCCACGCAGTTCATTTTTCATATTTGTACGGTGAAGAGGATTCCTTGGTAAATTGTCATAGAGATTTATCTTTACGAGCTTCATACTTATTTGACAGAACTTTTAACCTCATCATTTTAAGGTTCAGCATTATCATCATTAACCTAGTCAGCATCGTTGCTATTTTATAGGTTACATTATTCAGGGTTTTGTATGTTTATGCGCTCTTTTTATTGATAGCATTTATCTATCATCATATAAACTTCTGAACCATGTTAGATTTGTGATTTATGCTCAACCTAACTATATGCTCTATTTTGTCAAATGGAAGGAGATGCTCAGAAAGTTTAACGTTAACCTGAAGAATTTTGTGTTAACTCCTAGGTTTTTATGAGATTGCCTGTCATTATTTGTAATGAATTTTGGTAAATGTCCTACAACAATAAGGTTAATTTTTAGTGAGTGAAAGTTGATGTCTTGATCTGAGGGATCTTGTCATTATTTTTCTGATTTCACTATATTCCGATCACCTAACAAATCATCAAATTTGTTTTGCAGGGCATTGAAATGCTATCATTGGGTTCGTTTAAGACGGGTGCTATCCTCTTGGTGAGGAAATTGCTTTTATTTTTGAGAAAATAAGGATTTATTGCATTCGTGGATGTTTTGTAGAAGTTACAAATTTTCTTATGCATTATGTTATTTGAGAAAACTACTTTCTGTTTATGTGCAATGCTTTGCGGCATTTTTTTTTTTTTTTCAACAACAAAATTTCTTAAATATGCTACTTATCTTTTTGGAGTTCTATGGTTTTTTTGTTCTGTAATGTGGGGCGGCAGGAAATCTGAGAATACTTGAAATTGAAGTAGGGAAATTACTTTAAATGTAAATTACTCCTGTCAATAATTTTTTTATGGGTGCAATTTCATTTTAGTTGTCATTATTGGAAATTTTGTTATTGCAGTCATGGCCAATTCACCATTCATGTTTAAATCAATACAAAATCATTTTCTCTACTGTAGTAGACACTTTCTTAGATAACAAGTATTGCTATGTTTCTGAAAAAAGAAGATAGGCTGTTCTATTGTTTCTCCATCTCTATTGTGAAGAAAATAATGTTTGTTTATCTGATATTCATACATTAAATATGTGTCCAAGTCAATTAACTTTCTCTCTGTTTTTACAGGCTGGGCTTTTTGTGTACGACATATTTTGGGTGTTCTTTACTCCAGTGATGGTTAGTGTTGCCAAATCTTTTGATGCTCCAATAAAGGTCAGTATTCCCTATACATGTAAGTATCTTTCTGAATTTGATTCATCTACTTCTGCTCAGCTATTCTGCTACTATGCAGCTTCTGTTCCCCACAGCAGATTCTGCGAGGCCTTTTTCCATGCTCGGGCTGGGTGACATTGTAATACCGGGTGAGCATTTTATTGGTAGATTACTAGATAGGGATTTTTCACGGTGTTATTGGTGCTAGTGATCTTTTTTTATAATGCATAGCATGATTAATCTTGTTTGGTCTTTAGTTTGTACACAAAAATCTTTTAATTGATGCAAGATAGAAGAAAACAAACAAGATACAATGGATCTTCAATTTGAGTCAATTTGAGAGGAAGATCCGGCTCTCCCAATTCCTAGCCATTGGCTAGAGCCCAAAGTAGCCTAAGAACAAGCTCCATTAAGTCAAAAAACCCGAAGATGCCCTAACCATAGTGAAAATATCCTCCTTAAAGCATACAAAAATAAAAGAAATCTCTAAACAGCCCCTCTTTTGAATTTTTCCTCCTAAACCACATTAAATCCTTCATAATAGTCCCCTCTTTTGAATTTTTCCTCCTAAACCATATTAAATCCTTCATAATAGTTCCCTCTTTTGAATTTTTCCTCCTAAAACACATTAAATCCTTCATAATAGTCGGCTGAGGGAGGGGACAGAACTCCTATTCTGCCTTCGATAAAACAGAGCCGGTCCATACCCGTTGGACCGGTCCAGTGACCGGTCTAACAATTCGCCATTTAAAGTTTCATTTCTGTGAAATTAAAGTATTAGATGAGAGGAAGATGTTCCTAAATTTCAAGGTATACCAACTATGTTTGGTAACTAAACCTTGTTGCCAATGCATACTGTCTCGTTTGGGCCGTGTCTTATGTTAGTAGTTTTTTCTTTAGGAGAATATTCTGTTTCTGAACGTACTTTCTACTCCAAAAAAAGATCATTCATAGCTGGTAGAAGTTCTTCACTTCTTACTCACCATTAAATATGAAATATTTAAAGGGCTTTAATACTCCTCATTTTAGACGATCCTTGCTTGAGTGTAATTAGACTAGATTTCCTACTTGAAAATCAACCTTGACACAATGATGATCATTTTTTTTTATCTGTTTTTGTGGCTTCTCCATTAATGCATTGATTTTTCGAATGCCCTCTATATATTTTGAAGCTTCTTCTTCGTCAATTTCAATCCCACCATTAGCAGAGGGGATGATATATCAAAGGTTTATTATGGTAGGTGTCTTAGACATACTTTAAATTGTGTATTTGGTGTGGAGTGTACACCTCTGTTGCAGGCAAATTGAAGTTATGATAGGTGGTCATCCAAAGTTTTTGAATGCTTGTTGTTGTACCTTTGTAGCAACTTACATTAAGATTCTATTTATCATATTCGTTGGTCGTCAGTCTATAAATGGAACTATGGAAGATGATACTCCTTTTTTGCTTCGTATCCTTCATGGCCTAGAAGGCTTCACATAAACATCTCAATTTGATAAAATGAAATTAGGTAATCCAAAGTGTGCCCATAAATGCTGGAAGAAGAGTTTGGTTGACCTCTTATTAGTCATTATTTTTCAGCAAGGGATTAGAATATCCATACATGGCCACATAGAGATATTCATGTCCCCTATTTTATTGTTGATAAACCTTTTAAAATATTCATGGAGATGCTTTTCTATGCATAGCTTGGTATGGGCAGTGGCATGTATAATCCCATATTTTATATTTGCAAATTTAGAGGTGTTGTAGAGTTTGTATCATTAGATGTACTTCATCATACCACATGCTTGGCCAGTTAACATCACTACAAGTTTTGCAATGTTTTCTCCACTCCAAAGTTTATAGCCACTTTGGATCTGTGCCCATTCAGCATACATTTGGACATGGCTTGTTGAATTTGTTATGCACAAATGTCATTCTTTGTAGAGAGGACCATCGTTTATAACAAACTCAAAAGGAGTTTGCCTTTTCCATGTCCTCTAATATCCCTTTGAAGAAATGATTCATGTGGGAGCGTGCGGTGCGGGGCTACACGAGCGAGGGCGAGGGCGAGGGTGGGAGCGTGCGATGCGGGACATCACGAGCAAGGGAGGGCATGGCCGCGAACGAGCGAGCGAGCAAAGGACGAGCGATGCAACTGGGTGAGTGCGAGTGGGACTTGCAAGCGCAATGTGAGGACGGGTGCAAGCCGAGACGCAGATCAAATTCAAAGTCATTTTCAGGTTAGCGGGTTGACCCGTACACTACATTTTTTTTTCAAACGGATCAGGAATTAGGATCCAAACCAACCCGTTTGTTAAACTGATCAACCCGAACCCGAATTTTCTTGTCGGGTTTTCGTGTTGTGTCATTAATTGACACCCCTAATATCGATCACTAAGCCTCTAATTTTCGATACATCTTTATGTGTGGATTCTTTGCGATTTTCTCTTTGATCTGAATGGTGTGATATGATATTCACCATCATTGATAGTCTCCATCAATAAATTAGATAACTTCGAAATTATCAACTAAATCAATCTCCCGTTCTCTTTACAAGCTAATTCCTGAATTGTTAGGAAAATTACTTCTCATGAGCTTCTTTGATGTTTATAATTAGATTTACTATTCCCTTTATGATTTTATGCAGATCAACTATGCATTATTATCATTATCAACCAGCTTCATGTTTATAGGAAAATATGCAGTGCTTCGTATTATAGTGCCTCTTTGACGATAATGTTTTTTTAAATTATATCTCCCCAAGCTTAGAGGATGTTGCGTAATCTTTGATGTAACTGCAGCAGTTTTGTTCAGTATATTATTTCGGCATATTGGATTTCATATTTCCATTATGTTTCAGGTATTTTTGTTGCTTTGGCTTTGCGGTTTGATGTTTCGAGGGGTATACAAGGTCGTTATTTTAACAGTGCCTTTTTTGGTTACACTGTTGGTTTGGTGCTTACAATTGCTGTGATGAACTGGTTTCAAGCTGCACAGGCAAGATTTTGAGTTTTATGACAATTTTTTATTGACTTGCTTGTTTCTTAAAAATTTATATTCCGATCTCTTGGTAATTTGCAGCCAGCTCTACTTTATATTGTTCCCGCTGTAATCGGATCTGTTGCTATTCACTGCTTATGGAATAGAGAAGTAAAGCTGGTCTGTCCTACTACTTATTTCTCACTTAATGCTTTACCCTTTACTGTCTACCTAGATAATTTAAATAAATACATCTTATATTTGGAGAATTTTTCGCCAATTCGAACTGTATGCTTTGCTTGTTTTATGAATGTATAGGTGTTAACCAAATTTGCTTGCTTGTGAATGCTTATTTCCTTATTTTATGCGTTTGTTTATATTAGGTTGATTGCATACTCTTTAGAAAATTTATAGACATTACATTTTTTTCTTTTATTTTGTATTATATATAATTTTTAAAATATGTTAGGTTTCTGATAGGAGGATCAATCTCTCCCAAACCTCTAAACGTCACTAGAGCCCAAAAGAAAACCTAAATCTAAGAGATCTCAAATTTTAGCCAAATTCAAGATACCCTAACCCTAGGAAAACAAATTATTTAATGCATACAATTCAAAAGGAAATCCTTAAACAGTCCCTATATTCAAATTTCCTTCCCAAATCCCTAAAAAATCCTTCCTATAATGCTCCGTTGGCTTTGGCGGCTCGGTCGCTCATACAAGAAGAGGCGGAACTCTTCCATCTACTCCGCCTGAGCCGGTCCCGCGTGGACCTGCTGGACCGGTCCTTGGACCGGTCTAACAGTTTCCTTTTATGTATGCTGCATCAAATTTAGTATCAACTTAGAAAAAAACAACAGAGCTTCTAGTTGATTAATATTATCAGTGAGAAGTAGGACTCAAATGTTAGATTGTTTAACATATCAACAAATCTCGTTAATGCTACAAGGGCAGTTGTGCCATGAAAGTCGAGTAATTTCAGATTGTTAATAATATGAATGAGCCTGTAGAGATTGCACCACCAGAAGATTCTTATCGAGGTAATAATGTGAACGCACATATTAATAACGGGACTCATTATGAAGTGAACAGAGATGTTCTTGTTAATTATGGTTAATCTTCATCTTGCAACTACGTTGCACTAACATTGCTAGGTTTATTGATGTGAAACAACATGCGGTGAAACATGAATTGCACGTTAGAGATTAATGAGAGTTTAATTTTGCAATGTTAACGATAAAATCTAGCTTACTCAAGTAGGATTCAAGAAAATTCATGATAGATTATGTTAACGGCAGTGATTTCATTTAAGAATTACAAGAGTCTTGCAAAAGATAACCCAAAATAAACTAGATAATGCAAATAGCTACTACTAAAGCCACACGTTTAAAATTTAGATCGTTCACCTTGAGATCCGTCACTCGTTTTGAAAGTGGTGGCTAGCGGAAGAGAATCGAAAGTAGACTTAGCGACGCCGCTAATAGACAAGTGATCTTGAGAGGACTTGTCGCCGGGAAAGAAGCCGGATTTGGAGGAGCGGGTGGGCGGCCGTCAATGATCCACTCGGAGTCGGGATGTTGCTTGTCGATGACAATTATGAGAGTTGGTAGGATCCGTTCCAAGTAGGTTCCAACGGTATCGTCGTCGGAATCAAATCCCGCGTCGAAGAACGGCGATCGTTGGATGTCGAGGTTGCCGTAAGCGTCGAACACAAGTCCCCATTCAAACTCGGGGTCCGCCATGCATGATGGTCATTAGAGATGAAGCCAAAGAGGGAGAGAGAGTGTTGGAGAGGGGAGAGGGTGGGACGGGTGGAGCTCAGTAGGAAAATAACAAAATCTGAATTCAATTCAGATTTTTACTTCAATGATGGAGGACTTAATCTCAATTTAGAGAATTCAAATTTGAATATTAGTCGGTAAAGGCAAGACATGATGGTGAATTATTAAAAGAATTAATTGTGGGAGAAGGAGAAGGGAGGGCCGGCCACAAGAGGAGGAGAGAGAGGTGATTTAGGAAGAAGCGGGGACCACCACTTAATTTCAGGTTTTGCAAAAACTGAAATTAAGTTTCAGTTTTCTTAGGGATAAAAAACTTCCTAATTAAGAGATCAATCAATTTAATAATTGGAATGTCAAATGTGAAATTTGAAATCCAATTAAATTGAAAGCGTAATTCAAGGAGACAAATTAGGAAGCAAGTAATGGCTCATAAACATCTAGAATTTCAAATTTTGAAATTCATGGGGGAAAAGGAGCCGGCGGTTGGCAGAAGGAGGCAAGGGCGGCCAAGTTGGGGAAGGGTGGCTGGCCGGCGGGAGCTGGGGGCCTGGTGGTTGGCGGCCTGGGCGGCTAAGGGAGCAGCGGCGGCAAGGCTGCAGGCCCGCAGGTGGCTGGCCTACTGCTGGCCGACGGCTGGACAGGGTAGGTGGCGGGAGTGCTTGGTGGAAGGGGTTGTGGGGAGGAAGCTCAAGAAGAATACAATCCGGGTGTATTCTTTTGAGTTTTCACACTAATTGATTACAAAAATAAAATGGAGGAAGGTCTAGAACTCACAAAGAGATCTAGCTCTTCTCAAAACTCACTAAGAGATTTGAGAGAGAGGAGGCACTCACAAAGAGAACACAAAGTAATTTTCATTTCATCAAAAACTAACTCTTACATGAGAAAAGGGCCATATAAATAGGCCTCAAAATAACAAAGAAAGTAAAGTACTAAAATGCCCCTTGGGCTACAATAGCTACCAAATACCCATAAGGGCAAAAACGGAAAAACATAAAATAAAAATAAACTATTACATAAAATGATGAAAATACATATCATGATCGTGGCCGTCGATCTTCGGCATCTCCTGAAGGTACATGTGTCGAAATCGCTACTGATGTCCCCATCATTACCATTTCCCTTTTTGCTGAAAAAGATAATGGCAGGGAACCAATTGACCTGGGCATAGTAGATGAACCTTCACAAATTATTCTGTGCAGATATAGGATGTCGAACGTTATTTGGAGACCAACCAGAATGCATACGCCAGCGGTACCTTGCCGCAGTACCGAGCAGTACCAAGCCGCGGTACTGAGCACATGAGTAACGTGGCGCATTCTGGTTGGTCTCCATACGGCATTTGGCATTCGCACAAAATAATTAATCCACTTAAAAGGGGCATATTTTTTTTATCCAGATCATTTATTAGAAGGGCTTATTAATTTAAAGGAAGGCCCAAATCTATTAATCTATTATTGATTACATGAGTAAATATGAATAGTCTATTTGTTCTGAAACAGTGGAAGATGCTAAAATCGCGTTGTTTAACCCTACTTATAATTAGAACTGGAGAGCTCTGCTGCACAAAATGAATTTGTTGAATGCATTTAAACTTGCAGTAAATATGAAGCAATATTTGATGATTTCTGTTATTAGCACATTTTTTTTTATTTCCATTTGTGCTTAATGTGTATAAGATCATTAATCTACCAATGTTTCTTCTTCTTGATTTTTAGTGGAATAAGCTTTGGATGTTTGTATAAATGCTTGTGCAGCTACTGGAGTATAATGAATCGAAGACTTCTGATGATTCAAATAGGGACTCCAATGAACTAAATAGAGAAGACAAAGCCGACAAGAAAGATGAGTAATTTTCCTGCTGCTATGTTTAATTAATGTGCTTTTAGTATTAGAGAATGTGAGGCGTAGAAGCAATCAATTCCTGAATGGTTCTTTTTTTAATCTGTCTCTTTACTTGTTTAAAATTTTTACTTTCTGAAGATCAGAACAAGTCAAGATTTGTCTTTAAGAGAATCATATATTTTTGCTATTTAATTATCAACTGCTGCTGAGGAAACTGTAGCTATGTCTGTCTAATTGGAAAAAAATAAAGGATATAAGCTTTGAATCTGCTTTGAGATCAGTCAATCAAATCAGATTTTGGCTTTGTTTGGGACAGCTTTTGTACTGTTTTTTAAAACGGCATTATTGTACAATATAAAGCTGTTTTAGAAAGCAAGAAAAAAGCCGTCCCAAATGAAGCCCTTGTTTGGAATAACTTTCTTGCTGCTTTCTGAATCAACTTTTTAGTATAAAATTTTAAGTTTACAAAAAAATTGTAGATATGATTGGTGACATTATTTGTTTGGGCTTCGTTAAGGATAAACAATTTTGCTTCAGAAGCTTATCAAAAAGACTCCAAACTTGTTCGGTAAACGTTTATACACACCAAGATGATTACGGCTTTTGCTCCTTTTAGCTGTTAAGTATTATCAAATTATCCATTTTTAATGTATTTTATTCTCTTTTTTAGCTTATTTTATTGATCCTTTTTTTTTTCTTTTGTGCATTGCCAAAACCTTTTAGGCTCAATTTGTACTTTGTAGTGATTTTGATAGAAGACTTTCTAACTCTATTTTAATAAAAAAAATATATGCTATATGTTATAATTATTGCATTTATTATGAGGGTGTAATATCTTCATTTATAATAATTATGAAAAAAAAAAGGTTTTGCAAAATTCCTTAGAATGATTTTATTCAATAAATTTTTTGAACAAACATTTGCATTTATCGGAATTTAGCTGTTCAATTCACTTTGAACAATAGGGCTGAATATAATAAAATAAAATTTTAGTGTTTTTACATTAAAGAAGTTTGACATTCAAGCTAATTGAATGGTTATCAGTTTAATTGTAAAGAATGTCATATATGCGACTTGTTTTTGAAGAAAGATAAGCAATGATGGTTTGAGAAACGTGTGGCTTATTTCTTTAGCGGATGTTTAGCTGATAGCATTGTGGTATTTTTAATCGAATTTTATTTCATAACATAAAAAATATTTTAGGTATTCTTTTTTTTCAATCCGAAAAAAAAAAGGTGTTTGTGAATAGTGTGACGTCAATGTTGACCTCACGTTGTTCATGTCAGGAGAATGATGTATGTTTTAGCGTTCATCTGGAGTGATTCGTGGACGACAAATGTTGGTTTAGTGTTTGGTTGGGAGATGGCCTTAAGAATGTATTGTGGGGCTATTTGGTTTGACGTAAAATGCATGTATCTATTTCAAATGCAATGGTTTTGAGAATATCTGTGTTTGGTGTGAAGTAAAATAAATATATTGTAAAATTTTGATGTATTTGAAATTCGTCCTCTATTTAATTCTTGGTGGATTTAGAATTCTTCAGATTTGAGAGTTCCAAATGCATCATAAATTTATGGTCAATGCTATCGTCCGTTAACAACCACGTTGTCATCGACCATGGCCGCTGTTGTTGCCATCGAGCATCACCTTCTTTGGATTTTACATTATACTTGTTTTACTTCAAATAATAATAAAAAAAAAGTAATCTCATGAATTCATTTAACAATCATTCAAACAACTCTAATTTATTTTCTTACGCTACATTCAATTTACTTATTTACGTTACATTATATTCTTTTTTCAAACAACACATCTCATATGGACGTCATCCGGAGGCTAATAAGAATGTGTCACATCCTCAATACACCGTGTACAGTTATTATGTACAGCTATATATCAAATGACGTGGCACATTCTGATTGATCTCTAAATCGTTCAATGACCGCAGATAATATTTTCTCCTTAATGCCAATCCTTTGGTCGGCAGAATTGGGAACATTATCCAACTTTGGATTTTACATTATACTTGTTTTACTTCAAATAAAAAAAAAAAAAAAGTAATCTCATGAATTCATTTAACAATCATTCAAACAACTCTAATTTATTTTCTTACACTACATTCAATTTACATTGCATTATATTCTTTTTTCAAACAACACGTCTCATATGGATGTCGTCTGGAGGCCAATAAGAATGTGTCACATCCTCAATACACTGTGTACAGTTATTATGTACAATTATGTATCAAATGATGTGGCACATTCTGATTGATCTCTAAACCGTTCAATGACCGCAGATAATATTTTCTCCTTAATGCAAATCCTTTGGTCGGCAGAATTGGGAACATTATCCAAATCATGTCCATTCTTCTGCTTTACCCTTCGTCTCTCTCTCTCTCTCTCTCTCTCTCTCTCTCTCTCTCTCTCTCTCTCTTTCTCCTCTCAACTTTACATAGCCCCCAAAATAAAAACGTGAGAAATGCCAGTAAATAGCGTCCATATGATTATTTTAATAATCTGAAATTTTGTTCTTCTTAAATAATAATAATAAAACCTAATTTATCTTCTTTTTTTTTTATAACAGTTTTTTCGCTCATTAAAAATATAAAATCTTGATAATAATTTTTCAATATGTTACATAGACACGTAGGCTTCGTTTGGGACGGCTTTCTTTCTGTTTTTTGAAATAATTTTTAGTACAAAAATTAAAAATTTTGTACTAAAAACTGCTTTAAGAAGCAGTAAAGAAACTGTCCCAAACAAAATTGTAGTCCTGAAGAAGAATCAGCACAAATTTTGAAGATCTCATAGGAGATTTAATTTGGAAAATAATAATTAATGGCTACTAAAAATGTATTTAAATAAATTTTAATTATAATAGTTTTTTTAGCTTCTTAAATTTATTTTCAAATTAATATAAATTTAACTATTTAATTATATTTTACTCTGATGATAACAAAATTATTAGCTATTAAACTTATCCTAATCAATGTAAGAATTCATTCATAAAAAATTGATAAATATTTTCTTACAATATTTATTCTCTAATAATAAAATATTGATTCATCATTGTTAGTGATAGGCTTTGTGATTATCCACAAAGTATAAAAAAATTTATAACAAGGTTTTAAAAAAATATATTTTATTATGAGCTTTAAAATCATTAAATTTATTTTTTAGATTAGCAATTCAACTACAAAATTTATATTTCACTAATTTTAAATCAAATTTAATAAAATTAAGTTTTTTTTTTAATGAATTATATTAAAATATTATGATATGATTTAAATTAAGATCTATGATAACTATGATGATTGTACACTTTGTATTTTTTTAATCATATAACCTCTTATCTATAATTATTATTTCCAATAATTTAATGAAATTCAATGGACATGTTTTAGCCAAATCTTTTGGAGATTGTCTTGCTCTCTACAAAACAAATTTCTACACTCTCATCCAAAAATAGGCATATCATAGCTTTGACTTTGGCCCAAAAATTTCATATTTAGACCTTGAGGAACATGTGTTATAAAGATTAGAATAATGTAATTATTAATGAAGATATATAATTAATTTATAATATTAAAGTTATAAGATGTGTAATTATTAATATATTAATTTTTTATTTTGATTTTATTTTTAGAAATTTTTTTTGAAAAAATTATGAAAAACAACAACAACATCAAGCCTTTATCTCACTACGTCGGTAGACTACATGAATCATTTTTCTTCATTTTGTGTTGTTAAGAGTCAAATTTTCATTTAAATCTAATAAAAAAGATAAAATTATAAAAAATAAATATGATATATATAAGTAACATACATCTAAATTATAAAGAATAGTCTTATTATAATATAAAATATATCAAATATAATAATTTTTCTATAAAGTTCAAATGCTACTAAGTAATTGGCTCCAACTTATTTTGAGGTGTTTTGGGTACTCAAAGAGTGGGTCTCACCTCTTCAACATAAATTGTTGCGTGTGGTACACTTATTATTTCCTAATTTCCTAACTTTATAATATGAAATATCACAATAATTATTGTGATTTCAAATCAGATAGAAAATTATTCAAAATTGGACACAAATACAAATTATGAGTTTGAAAAGCATTTCATGGATAAGATGAACTTCAAATAATAAAAAATTAGACCGCTAATAATCAGGAGACGATGAGTCTCAAGTCGATAATAGATAACCTGGCGGTACATCAGTAGAGAAAGAACAATTCCTTATGGATTAGAAATTATTACATGCGGAGTCCGGATATAACTTATGTCCGAACTTCAATAAAATAAAGCCACGTGGCTTGCACACACCCTGTGTACAACTTGCACGCATGATGTGTACAAGCACGTGGCTTTCGGACTGTGCACATAATAATTTCTCCTTGTGCAACCTCGGTTTCTCTTAACATTTCAGTTCACGAAGCAACGGCCTACGAAGAAATATGAACAATGCAAAAAAACAAAAAACATGTTATATTTGATATTTATAATTTGAATGCTAACTATATTAATGTTTGCCCAAATTAAGATTTTGAGGAAAATCTCTGTCGTTTTATTGTATTTTCCATTAAACCTTTCAATTACTGTTCTTTCTATATGCAATGAAAGTCTTTTTTTTCTCCTCTAAGCTATCTTCCGGTTTCACTGTAAGTTGCAAAGACAATGGCTTTTTTGTCGTTGCATCCTCTCCTCTTATTATTATTATTATTAAATAAAATTGAGAGAAAGTTGCTTAGAGAATATAGGTTAGATTTAGGCTTCGTTTGGGACGGCTTTTTTATTGCTTTCTAAATAGAGTTTTAGTACAATTTTTTTTTTTTGTACTAAAACTTCGTTTTAAAAAGCAATAAAAAAGCCGTCCCAAACGAAGCCACAGCTTTCTTACTGTTTTCTAAAACAGCTTTCTTATTATTTGGGACTAAAAATTGAGAGAAAGAAGCCTTAGGCTTTATTTGAGACAGATTTCTTATTGTTTTTAAAATAGATTTTTAGTATAATTTTTTTTGAATTAAAAATTTTTGTGCTAGAAAACGTGTTTTTGAAAACAATAAAGAATCTATCCGAAATAAGTGAAATTATTATGTGTGGTCACCTGATGTCATCCGGAGGTGAATCGGGACGTGTCACGTCATATTTTAGTTGTGTACCAGTGACGTGTACCGGATAACGTGGCGTACTGATTCACCTCCAGACCGTATAGTAACTGCACAGAATAATTTTTTCCCAAATGAAACCTTTATTGAAGATTTATCGAGAAGCTGAGTATGGCAAATGCTGACTGAAGTTTTGGTCTTGTTGATTATTTGCTCTCACTTATTGGGATCTTCAAGCATAAGTAAGAGAACATGATATCATCTCAATCTAGATATTTTGGAAACTTGCCTGATTCATGCATGGATTGCAAGACAAAAAATCTAATTTTTTTTATTTTTTGTCCTTTATTTGTAATAAGAAGCATATATTTTCCAAGATATAATGATGATCGAGGCCAAGGAGAGTTGCGATAATATCAATCAATATTTTAATTATTTGATATAAGACTAAAACCAAAACATACGTATGCTTTAATAATACCTCCTCACAGGAAGAGCACTATGCATTAATCATCGCTTCTTTTTATTTTAATTTAAAAATAATAATAATACACCCAGAGCCAACTTAATCATATAAATTAGTCGTCAAAGTCACTCATGCATAGGAGTGCAACCGAGTCAAGTCGAATCGCGAGCTGCCTCTAGCTTGACTCGTTAATTGCTCGATGAGTTGAGCTCAAACACAATTTCGAGCTCATTGGGCTTATCGAGCTTGAGTTCGATCCAACGAAAGCTCGGTTCGATTACTCGCGAGCTGACTAAGAGGTGGGATCGTAGCCCAGAAACATAGAGTGAGATTGTGAAATCGAGCACGAGAACACGAAGTTGGAGCGCTGAATTTCACAGCACCGAAGTGGACGCGGGTAGCGGAGCGGGAAGAGATCCGTCACGAGGGCAACACAGACACGGCAACCGTGATCGTAGTGCGGGACGGGATCCAAAGCGAAGCGAGATCGCAACGCGGGAGCGAGATGATATCCATTTGCTGCTCGACGAGCTCATCTTCCCCTGGCGAGTCAAGCTAGATATTCAGCTCGTGAGTTGAGCTCGAACACCCCCTAACTCGACCTCGACTCTACCCATTTAACCCCCTACTCATGCATCACGAACTATGTTCAACCATGATAAATATCATAAAATAACACTAACAATCGTAAATCACATGAATCAATCAAGTTTAATTAAACTATACACTCCAATATCATTTATTAGAGAGTGTAAACAAAACGTAAAATATGGCGCCATAATACGCTAATCAACCCATTCATTCAAATGAACAGGATTGTCTAACGCATTATGCAGACAATAAGCTTCCAAAGATGTTAAAACATAAGGGGAAAAAAATAAACAATCATAGGAGACAACTAGACCATAATTGCTTACACAAAATAATCAAGCTCCTTAAAATATTGACCTTTTACATATATGTCTCTAATCAATTCTCAAATTTTGTATATAGACCTACAAACCTTAGGGCAAGAAAAATAGTGCACAATTTTTGTAGGGGACCAACTATCCCTTAATTGCATGTGAAAAGATCCACTTTGCTCCTAAGAGGCTATTAATTTGTTGATTAAAACATAGAGATTAGGTTTAATTAGCTAAATTAATTACTCAATTAGACTCATTAGGCCTTCTCTAATATAAATATAATGCCCAATATATTTAAAATAATCTCTTTTTTTTTAATAAGCATGTTCAAGTTATAAAGTTTATGTTATATTTTATTATTATTATATTAATATTGTCATATTGGATTCCTCTACTACAGGCTATTTTAGCGACGAGACTAAACCTCAGAAAATCTAGAAGAGGCACCCACATCAGAAGCCTCCTGGCCTGCACTTAATTGAGCCCCACTTAAGAGGCATTGAAGCTCAAGAGGAATCGAGCACGAGTTGGAGGTTCCCAATCGTACTCGCCTAGCAACCAAGCTAATTTCATATATATATATAATTTAAAGTTAATAATACCAAAAAATATATTTTTTTAAAGTAAAATAAGAAAAATAAAGGAGAGGCTTGAAGCCTACCAACCAAAAATCAACACCGGGTCCACCTCGCGAATCTTGAAGACCAGAAAAGGTCGAACGGCCAGTCATGTAAGACGGAGCCACTGACGTCTCCCATTTGGAGTCACCTTCGGTCCACGCATCATGCAAGCAATCCCCGGCCATCTCCTTCCGTGCTTTTCACCCATTTTCGCACCCGCGTGTTCGTTTCCCCTACCTCATTCCGCCACGTGTCTCGCTGACAAACTGGTCCACGAGCGACAACCTGGCAGTCGCTTGCGTGGCCGGCTCTATGGGTCCACCTTGTCGGCGGTCCACCGAACCGGACGAACCAGCTGGGCCCGTCCTGTTTCCTGGAACCGTTGCACACCGCTCGTGCTTTCTAATAGCTCTGCATGGCAGTATATCTATATATCGCAATCTCAGGGGAAAATAAAACAAAATAATTAATAAGTCACATTTAATTCTTATGGAGTTAAATTTATATTTTTGAAAAGGATAAACACCTTGAAGTCATTGAATTGATTAGGCTTATTTACTTTTTTAATTAGCTAAAAAAATACATAAAAATTTGAAATTTAGGAGTTCCATTTAATGAAAAGGGGAAAAATATAAAATTTTAATGAATTTGTCTATCTAATTCATTTTTATGTACTCTTAATTTGCCTATTTTTGGTGACCACGACGTGTTGGTAAGAGGATGGAGGCAGAGGCGGCCGACTATTAGGGGGGTGGTGGCCGAAGGGTGGAGATGGTGGCCATTAGTGATGGTGGTCGTTGGCGGATGCAGTGGCTGGTGGTGGGGGCCTAAGACGAATGGAGGTTGCCAACGGTGGTGACTGGTGGCGGTCAGCAACGATAAAAAAAACTTACTTGAGATGTAAAACGTTCTCATTCAAAATTGTGTGAGTTTGGTTTACTTAAAAAATGAACATGAATGGTTTTACACTATATTTACTTACTTTAAATTCTTTTTTTTTAAATCCAATCAAACACTAAGGCTTCGTTTGGGACGGCTTTCTTACTACTTCTTGAAGCAGTTTTCTAGTACAAAAAAATATTTTTTATGTACTAAAAAACTGCTTTATGAAGCAATAAAAAAGTCATCCCAAACGAATCCTAAAATTACTAAAACTTCTTCATTTTTATTTGAAATACTTTATACCTTAAAATATTTCAATCAAATAGCCTCTCAACGAGAAATTCTAATTGCCCTCGATAAATAAATATATTTTATACTCTACTAAATGTAATAATGCAATATTTTTTTCCTAAAGTGTTTTTTTTTTATTTCTTATAACATACCAATCATGTAAGCTTATATAAAGTAAAAATTTGTAGAATTTAATTAAAATTAATGGAGCAATTTTGAAAAATATTCAAACTTATATTATATTACAAAATAATATTTCATAAGAAAAAATTGCAATGTGGAATATTCCACCCCTTCCTCTCGCAGCTATAAATCCCCCGTCGAGCTGTCAGAGCTCTTCATCTTCCAAAGCTTCTCTCTTCCATACCTCTCGAGCTATCTTCAAAGCTTCTTCAATGGCGGCAAAGAACGGTAAGAGAATTCTGAGGCTAACGCCGGCGGGAGAGAGTGATGAGGAGAGGCTAAACTTCATCGAGGAGATGACAGAGAACTGCGACGAGGTTCAGGGAATAGTATTGGCTGAGATACTGAAACAGAATGGACAAACAGAGTATCTTCGCCGGTACAGTCTCGCCGCCGGCGACGGCGCCGCCGCTGACAGAGCGGCCTTCAAGGCCAACATACCGGTCGTAACGTACGAGGATTTACAGCCTGAGATTCAACGAATAGCCAATGGGGATCACTCTGCCATTCTCTGCGGTCATCCCATTTCCGAGTTTCTTACGAGGTAATTAGTTGCAGCGCAATTAATATTAAGATAATAATGAATAATTAGTGGAAAGCAAAGTAATTAACGCATTTAATTATGATTAAAAAACCACGTGTTAATTTTCTGTCCAGTTCTGGAACTTCAGCTGGCGAGAGGAAGCTGATGCCCGCCATAAGCGATGATCTTGACCGTCGGCAGCTTCTCTATAGCCTCCTCATGCCCGTCATGAAAAAGTGAGTTCAAAATTTTCCTTCAAGATAATTATATGATATTAATATTAATTTAAATTTTGTATACTTTGAGATTTGTGCTATATTGCACTAATATCAAGATAATTTTAATTTATTTTAATAGAAATTAATATAATTCAAACTAACTTTATTTGTCGGCGATACCGTGATCTTTCTTTTAAAATTGACTATGAAAATTAAAGAACTATATAAAAAAGGGGAAAGAATATGAGAGAAGTTTTTTAATCTTATTTCTCGAGAAAGCAGAGAGGTAGAGACAAAGAAGGTATTGTGTTGTTCTCTGGAGAGATTACTATATGTGGAGTCCAGATCATCTGGGTTTGTGAGGGTACGCATTAAATACACGGTGCTTACAAATGCTATGTATTTGCTATGTGCCCTCACAAAATTTAGACGCATCTTACGTTCGAACTCTGCACGTAATAATATCTCTGTTATTTGACACCTTATTTATACGTGAGCATAGAGACATAGTTATATGAAAGGAATTTCATTGAAAAATAAGTGCATAAATGAGATGTGATAATTATATTTGATTAATTATAAGATGAGTCCACGTGTAACTATCGATCTGTGTAGTCCGATCTGATGTACTTATGAGATCAATATTTTGAGTTAGTTGGATTGACTCGAGTTTAGCCTGAGCAATTTGAGATATAGGATAGAACACTAATTTTCATTGAAATTGAACTAGATAATACAATTTATTTCCTTGATTAATATAGTAAATTATTCTAAAAAATCACTAATTAGTTATATAAGAAAATGAAATTTAACTCCCTATCAATTTCTTAAATTTCAGATATGTCGCTGGGCTTGACAAAGGCAAAGCTCTGTATTTTTTGTTCGTGAAAGCGGAGAGCAAAACACCCGGCGGCTTGCTCGCCCGCCCGGTTCTCACCAGCTACTACAAAAGCCGCCATTTCCAACTCCGGCCGCCGCCTTCCGAAGATCCTTTCAATGTATACACAAGCCCAACCGCCGCCATTCTCTGCGCCGACGCCCACCAAAGCATGTACATCCAAATGCTCTGCGGCCTCCTCCACCGCCACGAAGTCCTCCGCGTCGGCGCCGTCTTCGCCTCCGGCCTCCTCCGGGCCATCCACTTCCTCCAAACGCATTACCCCCAACTCGCAGCCGACATCGCCACAGGCGAACTTTCCCCTTCCATCACAGACCCTTCTCTTCGCGCCTCCGTCGCAGAAACCCTGAAGCCCAACCCCGATCTCGCCAGCTTCATCACGGACGAGTGTTCGAAGGCCGATTGGGCCGGAATCATAACCCGCATCTGGCCCAACACCAAATACCTCGACGTCGTCATCACCGGCGCCATGGCTCAGTATATCCCCACCCTTCAATTTTACAGCGGCGGGCTTCCGATGGCGAGCACGATGTACGCCTCTTCGGAATGCTATTTCGGGCTTAATCTAAAGCCAATGTGCCCTCCTGATGATATTTGCTACACCATTCTGCCCAATATGGGATATTTCGAATTCCTCCCCGTCTCCGGCGACGGAGAAGAAATCGTAGACCTCGCCGGCGTCGAGGTCGGCAAAGAGTACGAGCTCGTCGTCACCACCTATGCCGGATTATATCGTTACCGCGTCGGAGACGTTCTCCAAGTCAGCGGCTTTCACAATTCTGCCCCCAAATTCAAGTTCTTGAGGAGGAAGAACGTTGTACTGAGCATTGAATCGGATAAAACAGATGAGGCGGAGTTGCAGAGAGCAGTGGAGAGGGCGGCGGCGGTGTTGGAGGCTGCGGCGGCCGGTCTGAGCGTGGTGGAATACACAGCTCACGCGTGTACAGATACGATTCCCGGCCATTATGTCATCTACTGGGAACTACTATGGCGGCGTAAGGAGGAGGAGGAGGAGGAGAAGGTGGAAGGAGAAGTAATGGAGAAATGTTGTTTGGAGATGGAGGAGGAGATGAATTCGGTTTATAAACAGAGCAGAGTGGCGGACCGGTCCATTGGACCGCTCGAGATCCGGGTCGTTCGAACCGGGACTTTTGAGGAGTTGATGGACTATGCGATATCGAGAGGAGCTTCAATTAATCAGTATAAGGTGCCGCGTTGTGTTAATTTCAAGCCGATTTTGGAGCTTTTGGATTCGAGGGTGGTTTCTACTCATTTTAGCAAGGGGCTGCCGAGATGGAGTCCTGGCCGGTTCGATTAGACCGGTGAAAGCCGGACCGGTTCGGTTTGGATATCAGGGTGAAATATTATTACAATTGTTAAAAATAAATAATATAAATAATGTGATGAAATCATGGAACTATGTATTTGTTTGATGAAAATTAATTAATAAATAAAGTTTCTTTATTGTATTTAGTATTTTACATTATATTAGTGATTTGGTTTGCAAGCATAACTACTATGGTGGACTTGTCCTTCACAAGGGATCCATCATACCGCAAATTGACACCCCTAGCTGAAGGAGAAGAATATTGTTAAGCATCCATCATATCGCAAATATGGGCTCTGGGCAGACTGTATCGAATCCCTTTTTTAATGTACTTTTTATCATTTTTTTGTTACCTTCTTTGTAGCCTTCAGATCTCTATAAAAAAAGGCTGAAGAATAATATTTTGGATATTTTTGAATCTTTTGAAGCCCCGTTGAACTAGAGAAACAATTTCATTGAGATTTCTACAACATTCTTTCTAAAATTTCTAAATCATATTTTCGTTTTCTATACTCATCATAAGGTTCATATCTCTTGAACTTGCTTGTTAGTTGGGTTGTCTATCATTCATGCACATATTTAGATTAAAAATTTATCAAAATTGCTATCAACAACAAAATTATCAAAAATATTTTTTATAAAATAGCTTGTAAGTATTGAATATATTTTGACATGTGACATAGGCAAAAATTAACCTTTAAGAACTTTAAATTTAAAGAAAAAATCATATTAATAAAAATTTGGTGATCAATATGCTTGAAATATTAAATGCCAAAATAAATAAAATTGTAGATAAATTAAGGATGTAAACGAGTCAAGCCGAGCTGACGAGCTCGAATCATCTCTAACTAAAACTAGATCTTGATTAATTAATTGACTTCAAGCTTAACTCAATTGACTTATGAGCTAACTCGTGAATTATGAAAAAGAGAAAATGATTATGATTAAAATAACTATTATAATAAAATGATAAAAATACAAAATTAAAAGAAAAATAATAATGAATCACTCAAACATGAGGAATTCTAATATAATTTTTTGAATATTTTTAACAATTTTATATTTAATATCCTAATTGCTAAATATTTTAGGTGTGCTTTTTTTTTTAATATTAGTATTCCTCAAACGAACCTGCTTACAAGCTAATGAGTCGGATCAGGACTAGCTAAGATTTGACTTGTTAGCTCATCGAGCTCAACTCACAAACGATTTGTGAGCTGAGCTCGAGCTTACTTGACTTGCTTTCAACCCTAAGAAGAACATATAGAAGTGGATCATGAAGCCTCAATTGTATATTGACCCATAGTTCATGCAAAAATTAAAAAAAATTAAAATTTAGAGCTCTATATCTCCCTCTATTTGGCCATCGTGAACCAATTAATGTCAAATAAATATGAGACTCTCCCGCCGAAATAAAACATTTTGGCGCTTTCCTCGTCAGCCAATACAAATCCCACCTTTTTTTCCCTCAAAAGTTTCAAACAAAAGTTACAAAACAAAGCCAATTCCTCCAAATTCAAATCACAGCGCCTCAAATTCCCCTTTCTAATCCTCCCTCCTCCCTTCGAAACCTTCAAGCTCGAATCTTTTTCTACCTCCTCGTTCTCCTCAGTCGTCTCTCCCAACAGAACCGCTCTTCTCGCCATGGTTCGCAAAGAGAATCTGCCCACCATTGCCGCGTCTAAGAAGCGCTTTGCTGTCTCCGCCATCTCTTCACCGATGAAGCGCAAGCGCCGCGCGCTCGCGGAGCTTCCTCCCGCTTTCACTAACGCCGCCCATGGCCCCAGAACTCGATCCAGAGTTCAGAAAGAAGAGAAGAGACGCTCCAAGCCTGCACCAGATGAGCTCTCAAACAATGACAATGGCGAAGATGATCCCCAGTTGTGCGTTCCTTACGCCGCCGACATTCTTGCTTATCTCCGGTTTATGGAGGTAATGGCATTTTTCAAATTTGATTTTTTTTTCTCTCGATAAATATCGGGTTCTTAATGGTTTTGGGGGAAATGCAGGCAGAGCAGAAGAGGCGGCCGATGGGGAATTATATGGAGAAAGTGCAGAAGAATAATATATCGGCAAATATGAGAGGGATTTTGGTGGATTGGTTGGTAGAAGTGGCTGAGGAGTATAAGCTCGTACCTGATACACTCTATCTTGCAGTTTCTTATGTCGATAGATTTTTGTCTTGTTATACAGTCGATAAGCAAAAATTACAGCTTTTGGGGATTTCTTCTCTGCTCATTGCATCGTACGTGTAACTTCTCCTTTCTCTCTTCTTCATCCTCTCATTTGTCCACTTCTTCTTCTTCTTCTTCTGGTTTTTACTCTTTTTGCATCCATGGAGTTGCAGGAAGTATGAAGAGATCGAGCCACCAAACGTGGAGGATTTTTGCGATATAACTGATAACACATACACAAAGAAAGAGGTTATTTTTATATTCTGAATCATTTGCATTATTTTTCATATGTTTTTTAGTTATAAACTAAGATTCTTTGTTCTGTGTGGTTGCGCGAAGGTGGTAGAGATGGAAGCTAACATACTAAAATTCTTGAATTTCGAGATGGGCAATCCAACAGTTAAATCATTCCTAAGGTAGCAATTTGTGTAGAAAATGAATCCTCATTACAAGCTTCATACAAATCTGATTAATGAGATACTAATTGGTTTATATGACTTGCAGGAACTTCATTAAAGCTGGTGCTGAAGACAAGAAGGTAACCTGAGCCTTTTTATGAATAAAAAATGGTTTCCTGTTGATAACAGGCTATTAAATCCTAACATTGTTCCTATTTTCAGTCAGATTTATTGGCTAATTATCTCGCTGAGCTGAGCTTGCTGGATTATGACTGCATTCGGTTTTTGCCTTCTATGATTGCTGCATCTATTTTATTTCTTGTAAGATTCTCCATGAATCCAAATAGGCAACCTTGGGTAAGGATATTTCGTTCATAAATTTCCAAAAAAATTATGTTTTTTTTAATTAAAATATCTCTCTTACTTAATTTTATATACTTTTAGAACTCAAAGCTGCAAGAACACACAGGCTACAGCTCCTCTGATCTTAAAGATTGTATATTTGCTCTGCATAATATGCAAATGAATCTAAAGTTCTCATCTTTAACTGCCATCAGAGAAAAATATAAGCAGCAGAAGGTCAAATACTGTTCTATATTTTTTGTATTTTAAGTGAATATACAAAAGCTGTAATTGTCTCAAAATTTTGATTTTATTTGCTGTTGCAGTTCAAGGCTGTCTCAATCATGATTGTTCCTCCAGAAATCCCAATCTTCTACATTTGAGATTTAGAAGAAATGGTTTAGGTGAATTGGTGCCTGATTCCTTTCTGGTATTGTGATTTTTTTGGCAGAGAGAAGTAGCAGTAAGGTCTGATTCTTTAAAGCTTCTATTGTAAATCTATTGTAATTGAAGCATTCACAGGTTTTGGTTGTTCTATGTGTTGTATTGCCTCTAAGGTTTTGTTTGAGACTGTTTTTTTGTTGCTTTATAAAATAAATTTTTAGTAAAAAATTTTGTACTAAAAAGCTGTTTTTAAAAGCAACAAAGAAGCTGCCCCAAATTAATCCTAAATTTCCAAGGAAAATTAAGAGGTTCAAATTTTATATTAGAACAGCAATCTACATGGTATATACATACCTAATTCTTCTGTGGAAAATCTCAATGAAATTGCAACATATTGAAAATGTCTTGAGCAACTATTGCACATATTTCTTGCTAACTTAATAAGTAAAAATATTAGAAAAGCAACTATTGCACATATTTCTAATATTATTTGAGCTTAATTTAGTATTTCATTTAATTTCTATAATGTGACTTGGACAAATCAAAATTTAATTAAATTTATTGCATTGTAATCATAAATAGCATTGAGGATTAAAGTGAAAAAAATTGTTTTTAATTATTAAAGAGGGATTTTTAAAAATTAGTTAAAATTAGGCGTGGTTTTTAAAAATTAGGAGGGATTTTTAAAATATAATATTAATATTTAATTAAGCTGACTCGTGAGCTTACGAGCTGAGCCGGCTCAAGCTCAAACTCGAGCTCTTTTACTAAATGAGCTTGAACTTGAGCTTGAGCTTGACTTGTGAGTTTGATAAGCTCAGCTTGTGAGCCCATAAATGAATCGAGTTCGAGTTGACTTGCGAGCCGGTTGGCTCACTTACACCCCTATAAAAAGCTAATGAGTAATCTTATATTTAAATTTAGATATTTAAAGAATAAAAAGAGAATGTGTTCCTTTTTTATAAATTAACATAAGGTAAGAGTGCTATTTTAAAAATGAGGTTTTATTAAAATTTTAACTTAAGAAAATTTATTTATTACTTTTTAAATTATGTTTGGTTTATATTATAAAGTTTTAAGAGAAGTATTCTATGAGGTTTTAAAAAAGAGAGGAGTTAATAATATTTATATTCAAAATATTAAGGATATATATACAGTACTTATTATTTGTGTTCAAATGTAGTGTGGTTTGATCAAATATTTTTTTTATTTTAGTCAGATTATATTAAGGTTTAGTTTTAAGCCCATATAATTTTACCTTAGTCATCCATGTTTTTACTAGACATTTATAAGAGCATGTTCTCTAGGGCATACTTTTTGTTGATTATATTTTTCTTATTGATAAGATTAGAGAGGAAGTTGAAAGAAAGCTTGAATTATGGAGGTCAATTTTAAAGTTTAAAATTTTTTATTTTAGCAGATTTAAAATTAAATACGTATATTTTAATTTTAGTAGTAATAAATTTAGTGATTGGATTATAACTTTGGGCAATCAATTCATTAATATGAGTGCATGTTATAGATATATTGGGTCTATTGTTTAAAGTAATGTGGAAATAGATGGAGATATTATTAGTGGAATTCAAGTTGAATGATTAAAGTGGAGTAATGCATCAGACTTGTTGTGTGATAGAAAAGTATTCCTCAAATATAAGAGAATTCTATAATATGGTGGAGAGAACTACAATACTTCATGGTGTAGATTGTTTGACATTAAAAGATAAGCATACAATTAAGTATTGCAAAGATGAAGATGCTCAGGTGAATGAGTGGCTCTATTCTCAAAGAGAAAATGCAAAACAATTATGCCTGTGAAAAGGTTAGAGTAGCTCCGATCTTAGATAAAATTAGATATAATAGCCTTATAAATGATTTGTACACATAAATCTTCGGCCTTATGATGATTAAGTTAGGAGTTCAATCTTTAGCAATGTTATACAAATGTGTTCTGAATAAGAATAAATAAAAAATGAAAATTAACATTTTTAAAATTACCATTTAGTATATACCATCAAATATTAATTATATTCTCCATATATCATATGTAAATTACTTGTCTCTTCTATAGAAGGGAATACATTTAGAGCTGTTTATTTGAACAATAATTGGTGGTAAGGTAATTTTTATTATCACTCATATCACCTTATAAACTTTAATATTTCATCACATACCATCATATAAATTTTAATATTTCATTCAATGCAATCATATTTATTCTATGGATGGTAGGTATGTAATATTAAATTTCTTGATGTTAGATATGTAAATAGAATGAAATAAAATGGTATGTACTTAAATCCCCTATTTATTTTGTACTATTTGATTGAAAGAAAATAAAATTTTAAAAGCATTTGAGATTCCGGTTAATTACATGCCGCCAAATCGTTGAATTTCTTTTTCCTTGATTTTGCCTCCTTCGATTACTGCACTTTCGCCTCTGAAATCCTTTCGTATCTTCGCTGTTACAATCTCCTGTGCTGTGGAAGCTTAAGAGGCGACGATCGTCGAAGTACTTTGAGAGAACGAGCGAGCGAGAGAGAGAGGAATCCTGTGTCGATGAAGCTGTAGAGGCATCATCGTAAAGAGAGAGAGAGAGAGAGAATCCTGTGTTGACGAAGCTGTAGAGGCGATGATCGTAGAAGCATTTTTGAGAGAGAAAGAGAAAATCCTGTGTCGACGAAGCCGACGCGTTGATCGTAAAGTATTTTTTAGAGAGAGAGCTATAACTAGTAGCAATTAGAGAAGGTTGCCAGCGCTAACAAAAAAACTGACAATCTGTAGTTTTATGGTCTTCAATTCAGGGCTCGTTTGGTTCGCCGTTTCTCCTACATTCTTCAGTTTGAAACGGAAAACTCAGTTGACGGAACATGTTTGGATGTGAGGCATACTTTTTCAGAAACTCCATTTCTCTATTGTTTTGAGAAGCGTTATGTATTAAGGGCAACTCCAATGGAACAACAAACACTTTTGCTGTTCTTGCTTTGCTCCAACCGACTGCCATTTGATCGCGGATGAACAGTGAGATGCCAATATTGGCATTGAGCTGTTCATCTGCGCCATTTTTTTTGTCTCTACCAAACTTCCAAAGAAATGCGCGAAAGAAGAGAACAACGGTTACGGGGCAAAATGACATTCGATTGGAGATGAATCACGGCATTTTTTTTGTTTCAGTGCATTTTGGAGCGACAAATAAACCAATAGAAGCCTCAATTTCCAGCAAAACGCCACAATCCACAGACCAACAAAATTTTATTCTAAGCCAAGTCTTTGCTGAACATAAGTGGAAGCACAGTTGAACAAACACAATTATTTTTTTCTACAATCTTATGTTCTCTAGCAATCAAGCTTCCAGATATCATTATGGCCTCTAAATAGAGCATTAAATAAGATAATGACAAATAGAATAAAAGAGTCTCACTCATCTGCTGCCTTACTTCTGGATAGGAGACGCTTTATTAGAGGATAATCTCTTCCTGTACACTGACATTGAGGGTCTTATTTGGAAGGACAATGCTATTAATCACCACTACTTCGTCTTCCACTGCTACGGACTCTCCTGAATTATGTTGCAATAATTGTTAGTCTATGTAAAATATCATTTTGCAGACCTAATGCATGATGAAAGAGGAAAAAAATAGGAATTAAAATAATTGTTCTTACCAAGAATAGTAATCCCAAGTTTGGCATAATAATCCCCTTCACCCTGAAATGTAAAAAAAAAAAAAAAATTAGCTAGCTATAACACCATTCGGAGAAACATATATGAACGTTACGAAATATGCTAAAAAAAAAAAATTCATTGATCGACGACCCTAATCAATATGGGTGTCGACTCCAACATTAGTATTGAGGTCAACAATTGTCACGATGTAGATGCTCCAACTGAAGAGAGAATATTCTCTTATAGAATTTCTGATATCAAAATATTTAAGTTTTCATTATTTTGTTTTTATCATTATAATATATCATCATAATTGAGAATACTTTTCTCTTTATTTTTCATTACTTCTTTTTTATTTTATCACCAATATTAGTGTTGCAATCGATAAAGAGAATTATGTTGTTTGAACAGGTTGCTAATATTATTCAAATTGAATTTGAAAATTTCGAATGGTGAAATACATATGTAAAACTGGACTTCTAAATAGCTTCTTTAAACCGCTAAATCATTATTCTGTTATAACTTATAAGCGTGATATTTTTTTAAAATTAGTCTGAGAATGATGCAAAAATTTTATCTATTAACTTAGACTACGAGAATAAATTTTGAACTGAGGCATATAGTTCACAATTTCTAACTTAATAAAATTTCTCTTCTAGTTATCAATCAAGTTTCTTCAAGGTATATAGATTTGAAATAATCAATATTGATATAAGAAACTTGCCTGTACACGTGACCATTTGCCAATGGATGATTTCCATCCAACAATAGAATGTATTACCACAGCATTCTCCTGAGAAAACATAATAGAGTTACCAAAAGTTGAAGAAATTTGAGCATTTTAGATTTATGCACAACAGATTCGCACCTTAATTTCAACATCATCTAAAATGATGCAGCTGATAAGTCTGGCACCAGCACCTATCCGAGCATTTGCAGAAATGGAGACATTCGGACCAATCTGTTACATGAGACAAAATGAATATTATGTTCTAAGAGATGTGACCGTTCAAAATATATTAATTCTGACGGTGATGACAAAGAAAATATATTTGAGTAAATGACTAAAAAAACAACACTTTGGAGCACCCTTGTATTTAAGATCTATGGCTGTGGGAAATTATAATATCGTGAAGTTTAGCTTTCTCCTGGAAGAAGATATTTTTCAAAAACTTGGGAGGTCTGTCATGAGAAAAACTTATCTTGCATAAAAAAACTTAATATCATCACAATTAGCCATATCCCAACTATTTGGGTCGGCAAATCTCACATATAAAACTATTCAGCGCAATGCCTCTAACTCGCTAAAACTAAAGATTTTTGTGGCAGAAATAAAGAACATTCTTTCAAGAACTTTATGAAAAATGAACGAACAAAGTCCAGATGTGTGTGCATTGGTTTAAACTTTAAATTAATTAACTGAATCAAACGCTATTAGAACGATCATTTTGACTCTGCAAATAACTGCTTCAGTTTTCAGTGGAGAAATTTTCAGGTTCACTTAAGTATTCAAAACTTCAGTATATAAAACTTGTAATTCAAACCTATTGATCACTGAATATAGTAGACAATAACTAGGATTTCAAAAGAATACATAAAAGCCAAATTGAGACTTGCAACAATAATCCACATCATCCTCTAGTGAAGGGGTGACTAATGTATTCCCTGCTCAATAAAACCCTAATGAATACTTCCCTCTCTACATCCCATCCTCCACCCTCCTTCCAAGCAACAACTCTAGTGAAGGGATAAGTCATATATTCCCTGCTCGATGCCTGTATACATCCCATGCCCCACCATACGTCCATGAAACCAGCAGCTCCAGTGAATCATCACTAATCATAAGAGGTCCATTGCACCATGCCTAAACCCTAACACAGCATCTACCCTAAACTTAAGATTTGATTTTGGATTTTCAAACTTATTCTATTATTGGACAATAGCTAAGGCCGAAACCAACATTGTTAACTTTATGAAGTTCTTGCTAAGGTACTTTCCATAACTCTCCTTCGCTAATCAAAGGTTAAAATGTCACTTCACAATACATGTATTATTTTCTTTATCATAAATCATATTATTAATGCCTTTAACAAATTACAATGTATTTTATACCATTACTCACTTGCCAAAATAAATTGATCTTAATCTAGGGATCGGATGAAGAGGATGATCAATTAGATTATCCATGATCAAAATTTAAACATCCAATCACTAAAAGAAAAAAGAGATTGTGATCATTGGAATTTTGATGATTTGATCTCCTGATGGAGACTAATAATAATGTTGATTCTCATATCACACCATTCAGATTGAAGATCAAGTCTATAGGGATCCATAGGTGAGGACAAAACATCAATAACATACTTGGAGATTAATCAATGATCAACAAAATTAGACCATTGGATGACAATCTAAAGGATGACAGGTTGTGATGAATTCCATATTTTAAACTTATTTTTGAATAAGTTTATATTTTTATTTTGATTTATGATTTTTCTAATTTTAGGAAGTTATTTAAGGAAATAATAATTTATGAATTGATTTGTAAAGTTAAGAATAATAACTTGAATTTCAATGTTAGTTTAAGAGGGATAAGATTCAATTTTATTAAATTAATACTCTAATTTCCTATTGATTCCTACACAAAAAAAAAACAATATCAATCCTATATCCCACTAGGTGAGGTCGGCTACATGAATATATTTTTTTTCCATTGTCATGTTAAGATTCAAATTTTTATTTAAATTTAATTAAAAAGGTAATTTATAATACTATCTAACTAAGTCTTTTTAGGTCTACCTCTACCTTTCTTAATATAAGCCAAATCTAATACATTTACTCTCCTAATCGTGTCATCGAAAGGCTGATGTTTTATGTGACCAAACCATTTAAGGTGGCTCTCTCTAATCTTGTCTGCGACTAGAGCCACTCCAACATTTTCACATATATACTCGTTTCACATTCTGCCTCTAAGAGTAAAGCCACTCATCCACATGAGCATCTTCATCTCTACAACACTTAGCTTAATTTTATACTTCTCTTTTAATGGCCAACATTCTGCACCATAAAACATTACAGATCTTACCACCATTTTATTCCTATTGATTCCTATAATAGAATAAATTCAAATTCTCCCAAAATCATATTTTCTTGCTCTTCCCTACAATCATCGGCCTTCCTCCCTCTCCTACAGATGTTTAGTTTTGCATACTAAAAAGTTCTCAATAATGCAAAGATAATTTTATGTCCTAGTTGTGCATGAAGTTCTTGCCCAGAGAAACAAAAAATGGAAACACACAAGACACCATAATTTTTATGTGAAAACTTTGAGAAGGTAAAAAACTATGGGGATCAGTCCATATGAAATGATCGACTATGTAAATAATATTACAAAGGTTCAATCTTTTCCTCAATGGAAGAAAACAAGATTATAAAGTAATGGGCATAAGCTTGTTCACATGTAATTTTAGTGGAGCTTACTAGAGAAATCAGGGAGGGTGATGATAGAGATCAAATGATGTTGGTCGAACAATGACAATCAAGCAATGGTAGTTGGATGGTGATGGCTAGGGCTTCCAACCACGACTTAGATCGGTTTCCAACAGCCTTTGCTACCACCTACAACACTCTAATTTGTTGCCCTTGCTCTATGGCCGACTCCATTAACTCTCTAAAGCTCAATTCCATCAAAACTATTATTATTTCATGTTTGGCTGAGATCTACAAAGAATAAAAATATGTTCTTGTTTATCGCAAATAAAAGGCAGATTACAGTAACCTGTAGCTGAGATCTACAAAGAAGAATAATATGTTCATGTTTAGCAAATAAAAGGTAAATTACAGTAACCTGATTGTTTTCTCATAAGAAAGTAACAAAATATCGAGAGTTTCTTGCTTTATACATCAAGAAATAGCAAAATCAAAGGATGACCAACAGCAACAAATAACAATTAAGGTACAATTATCTTGATTAATACATTGTTTCATTAATAAATAAATATGTGCGCCTACTTTGCAAAATGAACTTCACTTATTTCCCATCTCAAACATCAGCTAAACACATCTAATGGCAATGGGCCAAAAATGAAAGAACAAAGGCAGGAGGGAGAAGACACAAGAAGCATATACAGAAGTGTGCTCTTTCTCCAAAAACAAATAGCGGAAAAGACAAACAATGCTCCAAGACCTACCACTTCTCATAAAAATAATGTCTTTAGCAAATTTTGTGACCGATCACAAACACCTTACCATGCAAAGGAGAAATATTAGAAGCTGCACTTCAACTCTTCCCTTGAAAGTGGAAGGAGGATGGGAAAGAAAAACAAATCTTAAAGCAATGTATAGCATAGTATTGAGTGCAGTGGACAAGGTAGACACATCTCTATCTTTAATGGCAATATCAAATTATGTAATGATGGAGTCATTCTCTAAAATGAGCACGCAAAAGGCGGTGCTCACTTTGAAAATACTAGTCAAGAAAGAGAGGATCAACATCATCATTAATACTAACAATAAAAAGAGCCCCGCGCACAAATTTGGTGCAAAAATTGAAGTTAGTCATCATACCCCCATCCAATCCCATATCCTACATGAGGGTAAGAGGGATCACTAGTGTAGACTCAAATTCATGATCATAAAGGCTATTCATTGACATCGTGTTATGCAAGGTAATTCTCTTGGAAATCTACAAATCATTATTTACCATCCATACCTTCATGATATGTATACAGTAGTACACCAACATCTTTACCAATGCTAGTTAACCATTTAGAAAAGAGAACATTTCTGCCTAAGATTACAACATTCCCAATGAAGCCGAGTGCCGAAGATCATCAATGCTGGCCAAAAGTTTCTGCTGTTGTTTGTTCATTAGTTAAAGAAGAAATGAGAAGTCTTGCCCTCTTCACTATAGAGAAGAATGGTAGCTTGAAAAAAAGGAATTTGCATCTCTTCAATAGGGGTGTCAATATTTGACACAAACTGAAAATCCGACCCGAAAATTCTGGGTTAGAGTCAACCCGTTTGTCAAACAGGTCAGGTTCGGGTTCCAAAATTCGACCAGTTTGAAAAATTGGGTCGGATCCGGATTAACCTACTAACCCGAAGTAGACCCAGATCAGACCCAATTAAAATTGATGCTTGCAAAAAATTAGGGGTTTCCCCTAATTTTTTGCAAGCATCAATTTGGTATCAGAGCGGATTAGCAAATCCTAGGTTTATGGGTCGTGTTGTCATATGAGTCTTTGTGTCATGTGAGTTTTGTTTTTTGAGTCATGAGTCATAGTCCATGCAATCAATCTTCGGAAGCCTCAGGACAAGATTCAAAGCAAACTCAAGCTTCATCAAGAGATGAACAATTTCAATCGGAAGAGATTTGATGCAGGCAAGGGGGGGTCAAAACATCTCGAGTCTTTGGGCTGCTTGTTGCCTCTCGGTTTGGGTCTTGGTTGGTCTTGGATTAGGCCTTGGCTGCTTTGGTTTTGAGCTGAATTTTGGGAGCTATTTGGTTCTAGCTCATTAATTACTTGAGCTGATGTGTTAGCTCATTAATATAAGGAGTTATTGCACTTGAAAGCTCATTATGTGGAGTTTGAAACCTTGCCTCTTCCCCTTCTTTGTGTCTCTTCATTTGCTCCCTAGCTGCTTTCTCGTGGCTTCTCTACCCGGTTCCTGTGCTGCCTTTTCGGTTTGCTCCCTGGCCGCTTTCCCGTGGTTGTCTCTACCCGATTCCTGTGATGTCTTTTTGGGTGCTATTTTGGAATGATTTCTGGACTGTTTCTAAACAGAAATCTGGACTGAACTTTTGGACTTTCATTTCCCCCTTTTTAATAGATTTAATTGGAGATAATTGGGGCTGTTTGGCTGCCCTTTTTTCTCTTATAAATATAAGGTTTTTTGTATGTTTTTAAGGAGAGTTTTGATGGCTGATTTTTTTATAAAAACCTGAGGATTTTTTTCTTGGAAAAGCTTGAGAGCTTGTTCCACCTCTTCCTCTTCTTCTAAGAAAGCTTACGAGCTTCTCCTCGTTCGTCTCGGCTTCTAATCTCTTTCTTCTCTCCGCAAGTTCGACGTCATCTGTATCTTTCTTCTCAAATGAATGAAATGCAAGTTTAGGTGTTTGTTTTTATGTAAGCGTCATTGTTACGTTTTTATGTTATAAAAATTGTTGTATTTTGTCTTTTTTTTTGTGTATTTTCTACTTTCCTGGGAAGTCTTACTTTTGCTTGCAAAAAATTAGGGGTTTTCCTAATTTTTTGCATGCATCAAAATCAATGAGCAAGAACTTGAAAGATAGCATTCAAGATAAGACAAAGGACTGAATGAATAACTAATTATGCCTATTGGACTATGCAACACCTCCGCCACCTTCATGAGTCTAATAAATGATATTGTACGATCGTACATCTATGCCTTCAATATCTTGGTCTTCAACAAATCATGGGAGGTGCATTTGGAGCACCTGAAGAAGGATAACCTGCTGCAACAAAATCAATCGCACCTCAACTAGAAAAAAGTGAGTTCCTAAAGAAATGCCTCCTCTGCGTGAGATTTGAGGTGGGCAATGGGGAGATCAAGATTAATACCTCCAATGTGAAGGCAATCAAGGATTGGCTATGATCACTCACAGTGAGGAATGTGACGAGTTTCATAGGGACTTGCCAGTATGTTCATAATTTCAATCATCATTTTTTAATACTTTTGCCCTCATTTGCATGCCCTCACCAAAGCAATTTTCTAATCAGAATAGAACCAAAAACATGAAGATACTTTCTAACATCAAAAAAGTGAGAAAAAGGGATTATTGTTACCTAGATAACTCCAAGAACCCGATAAAACGTAGTTACAATCTAAATTAAATTGAGAAAGATAATATTAAAAGAATCTGTAAGAAGAAAAAACAACAAGAACTTTACTTCCTAATGAATTCTTGTAGCTAGGGACAATTTCTTGTGCCAAGGAATTGGATGGTTGATACTGCTTATTACAATTTTCTTGCGATCACACATTTTAGACCAGCCAAAGAAACTCTGACACCTTTAGACCAACAACGTTGCAAATTCTAGCCTTTTCCAACTCCTCTGACCGTCGGCACAAGGAGTTCAAGGCTTTAGAGTTGGTATTGATGTCTTCCAAAATTGCCGGAAATCATAATACTGAGATTTACTTGATTTGAAGGGCTTCTTGATTCATAGAAAACTACTAAAACTTTCATAAAAAAATTTCAAGTTTTTAGCAATAGAGTTAAATCAATACACTAACAAATTAATAAATGTTTGGTGGATCATAATATTGACAAGATTTTCAACCCTCTCACAGGTATCTACTAATGTTTAATAGTTCCAATCTACAAAGTTACATTCGAGTCATCAATTAGAATAAGGGATGGGTTCTAATTGCCTTCCTCAACTCTTAGTTTACTAAAATAATGCTAGCCTGATACATATTTAACATTGGATGTAGGAAATCAACTCCACTCCACTTACTATAGAGAAAAGCATACATGATATCAATAAATTTAATGAGGATAAAATTTTTAAGCAACCTTTTGTGCTGTCTTTGATAATCAGGCATAATCTTTACTTCGTAACTATTGCCAATTTCTTCTTTCAGATTTTCCAAAGATGTCAATGCTTGATATATCAGCTAGAGGGTGCTTTCTTTATCCTTCTTGAACATTTTATTCAAGTGGTTTTTATAATTTCTAGTGTGCATATTTTCTATAAGCTTAAAATTTGTAACTAAAATAGAAAATATTCACAGTATAAAAACCTGATACGCTAGAGCCTATAATCAGTCAAGCAGATTGAGTAATGAACTGCTAGAGTAATTACTGATTTGCTTACTGTTTCCAGCAAGCTATTTTCTTTAATTCATAAGAAGTGCAGATGCAACTCGTGCTTGGTGTTTTGGAGGTCTCAATATCTCGATAAATGAGCCATGACATATTGTGGCTTGAATTTGCATTTTATTTGGAAAATTTCCGTGTCTAAAACATTTACATATATTTACCTACACACATTTATACTTGGGTTATAACTTTAAGTTCCATACAAATGTTGAATATGACTGTAATGGGCTAAATCCGCATTGATGGATTACACTTAGTGATGAATATTTTGTGCAGTGTTGGCTTGTGTGATAGCTTAATACCATAATCTAAGTTATGTGAGGATTAATTCAAAACACAAGATTTTGTTACTTGTAATTTTAATTTATACTACAGGTTGAAGAACAAAGAACAACAGTTTTCTTTAGGAAAAACATCATTTTTCTGCAGTAGTAGAATCCAGCAATTACTGCTAGAAAAACTACAGTATTTGCCCAAGAATACTTCAGTTTTCTCACAAAGCGACTTGTCGTCTTCTCTTACAAAGAACTGCTGTTTTCTGTAGTGAAAATTACTGTTTTTTAGGAAAAAAACTGCAGGTTTCTGAGAGAATTTCCGGTTTTTGTATTTGGAATTTTGGATAGAGCTAAATACATCAGTTTTCTGTCTTAATATTTGATAACATCCGTATCCTACAGTTTTACTACTGGTTATGGAATTATCGCAGCCATTCTACAGAATCTCAGTTATTTTACCGAATTTGTGCTCTGAGCCTGGATTCGTATGATCTTTGGTATAACAAAACTAGCTGGACTAAACAAACGATAGTTTGGCCAGTTAAGTTTGATTTTAGAAATTAATTTGATAGGTTCAATTTTCAGGTGGGAACCAAAACCAATTTGTTCGACTAGTTTGGCAAATCAAATCAATGAAACTGACAAATTCACACCCATAAAAATGTGGGGGATCCATGAAAGTAAAATAGATTAGAACATACTTTGGCACTTGGATGTACTTTTGCTGATGGATGAATGTAGACATCATCAATTATGGTAGCACTTCTGCTTCCCTTGCTTCCAGCTAGAAGAATGGGGGAAGTCCGACGAAACTGAGCAAGATACAAGCCTGAACATTTCAAAGACATCCTGTTTTTATCAAAAAAAAAAAAAAATGTAATTGTATATTAATTCCCTTATATTCATGGTGAAGGGATAGAAATAGAAGTAGTAGTGCCAATACAAAACTCCCCACCCTGGCGTCTTGATCTGCTCCCAAAAGTCACTAGTTTCATATGTGTAAAGCTCTTTCTTCCCAGCAAGAGGAGACAAAATATCCTGATCCAGCCTCAGATAATCTGCAGGAAGAGCTCTTTAAAAAGATAGTTATCAGCATTCAAACAGAATATAATCCTGCTCCAACATTATAAGAATGCTAAACTATTAGATACGCAAGTTTGAAAAACATTAAAACTCATTTTCTAGAAAAGATTATGGCTTCATCCCAAAAAACTACAATGCATCGTATAATTTAGAAATTGTTTTGGAATTAAATTCACTCTTCATGTACAACCCGCTACCCATATGACGATTACAGTGAAGTGATTGTGTAGCTAAAGTGGAATCTTCAACCAAAGATTCATATTTATAAATCTTTCACATCAAATTCAAACAACATCAGTCTTTCAGGTCCATTTCCAATAAAACTTGATCAAGCCTCTATCCCACTATATGGGGTGGGCTACATGAATCATTTTTCTCCAATGTGTCATGTTAAGAATAAAATTCTCATTTAAATCTAAAAAAGAAAAGTCATTTCTAATATTTTCTGACAAAGTCTTTTAGGTGTACCTCTAACTTTCTTGACATAAGTCAAATCTACTACATCTACTCTCCTAACCGGATCATTAGAAGGCCACTATTTTATGTGACCAAACCATCTAAGGAGACTCTTTAATCTTCTCTTCCACCAGAGCTACTCCAACCTTTTCATATATATGCTCGTTTAGTATCCTATCTCTAAGAGTAAGGCCACTCATCCACTTGAGCATCCTCATCTCTGCAACACTTAACTTAATATTATGCTTCTCTTTTAAGGGCCAACATTCTGCACCATAAAGCATTGCAGGTTTCACCATCTTATAGAATTTTTCCTTAAGTTTGAGGGGAACTTTTCTATCACACAACAAGCCCGATGCATTTCTCCACTTCAACCATCCAACTTGAATTATACTAATAATTCCCCATCTATTTCACCATCACTTTGAACAATAGACCAAATATATCTAAAACGTGTACTCTTATTAATGACTTGATCGCCCAAAGTCACAATCCCCCCACTAGATCTATTACTACTAAAATTACACTCCATATATTCGGTTTTAGATTTTACTCAAACGAAAACCTTTAGACTCTAAGGTTGACCTCCATAATTCAAGTTTTCCTTAAACTCCATCTTTAGTCTCATCAACAAGAAAAATATTAATAGAAAAAAGCATACACCAGGGTGCAACCTCTTCCAAATGTCTAGTGAGAACATCCATGACTAAAGCAAAAAGATACGGGCTTAAAGTTGATCCTTAATGTAATCAAACTAAAATAGAAAAATACTTGGTCAAGCCATCTTGTGTTCAAACACAATTAACAACTCTTGCATATATATCCTTAATGACTTGAATAAGCATCGTTAACCCTTTTTCTCTTCTAGAACTCTCCATAGCACTTTTCTTGGAACTTTATCATATGCTTTCTCTAAATCAATAAATATCACATGAAGATCCTCCTTATTCTCTCTATACTTCTCCATCAAACCTCTCAATAAATGTATAGCTTCCATATTAGACCTACCCGACATGAATCTAAAACCGAATTATTTATGATTATTGATGAAGTATTTTTCTATTCTTCTAGACATTATTGATATAATGAACTTTCTATTCTTCCACTGTTGTCATAAATAATTTGCATTATGATTATTGATGAAGTATTTTTCTATTCTTCCACGATATAAAATTCATCATTATTGATGAATAGTTGAATGAACGCAAATTATTTATGACAACAAAGTGCTCTCTAAATCTAAGTTATACCTGAGTTGTTTTTGTTTCTCCCTCAATCACGATCATAATTCTCACGATCATTAAGTATCATCTTAAGATCCTTACCTTCTTCTAGACATGCTTTCATTATTTATTTTAGCATAAAAATCATGTTCACAAGGGATCTTCCAAGCAAGAAACCAACACCGAGTAAATTTCTTAGCCAATCAGTCAATTGCAATTCAAATAAGCTTAGCTATTTTGAGGATGAGAAGTACATTAAAAATAAAGAGGTCGCTTTTATCTATTTAAGTTTAGGAATCACTTGTATTGCTAATAATGCATACCCAAATATAGGCTTTGATTGGATAGGAACAAATTAAAAAAGGTGACGAACAATTGAGGAGATTCCTAAAATATGACTAATGTGTTGAGAGGCATGCACAACACATACTAGAAGAATCTAAAATGCAAGAACAAGTATCCAAGAATATATAAGGAAATAATGATAAAAAAGACAAAGAAAGAATAACAAACAAACAATAGATTTTTCAATCCCAATAATATTTTTCAAAGTTTGTCCTATTACTTCCTCCCAAAACTTCATCGTATGACCCATAAATTTGAGTTCGATGTAACTACTACAATCATGACCATCTCCTTAGTATCATCCTCAAACAATAATAACAACAACAACAAGGAACCTTTATCTCACTATGTGGAGTCGGCTACATGAATCACTTTTTCTCCATTGTGACCTATTAAGAGTCAAATTCTTATTTTGATCTTATAAAAAATATTATTTTTAATACTTTCTAACCAAATCTTTTTAGGCCTACCCTATCTTTACTAACATAGGACGAACCTAATACATCTAGTCTCCTAATAGGGTCATCGAAAGTATGGCGTTTTATGTGACCAAACCATCCAAGGTGACTCTCTCTAATCTTATCTGCTGTTAGAGCTACTCCAACCTTTTCACATAAATATTTGTTTCACATTTTATCTCTAAGTGTAAATCCACTCATCCATGATCCACCTGAGCATCCTCATCTCTGTATCATTTAACTCAAATTTATGTTTCTCTCAAATTATTCATGTCGAGTTAAAGTCAAGTTTATCATGTTGGGTTTAATCTTGACACATAGTTATAGATTTTGTTTGGCTAGTTAAACTCTTTAAAAAAGTTTCTACCTTACTTATAATGATTGTAATTCACAACATATTTATTCCATAACAATAGTTCAACCTTTTGTATTGCCTCACACTACCACTAAATCTCTTTATATACAATTTATTTCTAGGCCCTAAAAAGCCTCCAACAATCTTTTTTAATGAAAATAGTCATCTTATTCTACAACAAGTTTGGCTCATTTTTAAAATTCTACTTTAGTTTGTAAAAGCCTATAATGAAATATTAAATCCTCACTTTTTGAGTTCCATTGTATTTAATATTTATCTTATGACATTTTCTCTTTTTTTATTACTCGTGCTCTTAAGATTATATATATAAATAAAGCCCCAAGTACAATTAAACTTTCTCCTAGAATCACCTCAAAATATTTATAAAATGTGTTGTCATTCAATCTAATTAAAATGAAGTCTATTTGCTATAAGGCAACTCCCATTTTTAAAAGTAAATAAATTCTCTTCTAGTTTCTTAACATGCAATAGTAAAATTACAGTCTCTCACATATCATTATAATCGTCTATTAAATACCTACTATGAATCCTTCTCATAATCCATCCGACTAGAAACCATGTCCATTTAGTTCACCTCTAAGCTCCAACAACTATCCTCTTTCTTAGGATATATTATAAAAGTTTATACAACTCTTTCCAAAATCAAGTTTTTTAATATCATCTAATCCAACTAAAAGAGCACTTGACATATATTATGACCTTAATAAAAATTAACTTAATGGCATTCATCATATCATTCACCGTATTCATTTAAAAACTTTAATCTTTCAACTCTTCATTCACAACATTCCCTCCATTTCTATTTTTTACCCTTTCAAAATACAATATTTTAAAACCTTTCTCATTGTTCCATTATTTCTCATTTTTCCATTAACCTTTCTCAATTTTTCAATATTTCTCCTTTTTCCATTAATTTCTTACAGACAAGCCATATTTTTAATTATAATCCTATGTCCATTAAATATTGTATTCCTATTCAAAATCTTCAAAATTCATGTAGTCTTAAATTTAAAGTTCATCAACTTTGACCATTTTTTCAGAACAATCAGGCAAAGTTGAGCCATTGAGAGTGGAGCACAACGGTATTGCCTCCTACCTTCAAAGTGGAGGTTTGGGGTTTGATTCCTTAAAAATAAAAAATAAAAAATAGTGTGTTACTTATGGATGATGTCTTAGCCAACTATTGCCTATTTTCACCCCAATCATGCTTTAGGAAGTCACTTACAGGTGACATCCTAACAAGGTCAAAGGTAGATTTAACATGAGGCCCTGGTGGCACGGACCCCCACTGACCTCTTAAATAATGCCTAATTAAGACTAGTTTTGGTTTCCAAAAAAAAGCTAGTTGTGATAATCCTTAATTAGCTATTATTTCCTTCTGTCGTTCCGCACTTCTTCTCAAAATAATGATTCCTTTCGTACTCCATTCTGCCAAACCACTGTCAGTCGTGGTCCTCTAGAAGATTCTGGAGTCCCGCACATCTTTCGGTCAGCCAGTCAGATATCTCTCCAAAAGAAGAGATATGTGGATTCGTATGAGCCTGCATCATTTAAAAAGATTTCTCTGTGACTCAACTCATGTATATATGGACTTCTCTGTGACTCACAGATTTCTTATATTGCTTAAAGATTTCTCCATGACTCACTTAAAGATTTCTCTGTGACTTAAACGATGTAGGATGGAAAAGATTTCTATGTGAATTTATAATACCGAGTTATTCCGCCCCAACTAAAGTGCAGCGGTTAACTATTTGATTATGAAATTATAATAAAAATATTTTACCTATACAAGTTAAGAATGCTCATCTTCGATTTTTAAATTGCATGTTGGATTTTTACCTATAAAAGATTATTATAAAATTTTACTTATGTTAAAAGAAATTAAGTAGTTGTTTATTTAATTTCTTAGACTGGAAAGTTTATTATAAAGATTTACTAATGCTCATCTTCATTTTTTCTAATAGTACTTGTTAATATTATTTTTGCACTATTTTTGAATTTAGATTGAAAATTTTCGAAACAAGTACGTTAAGACCAGTAGTAGAGCTGGGATTTTTTTTCATTAATGCTAAAATTTTAAGTCAAACACAGATGGAAAAGGTTGAGTATTTTTTTAAATTAAATAATTTGTACCCCCACATGAAAAAAATCCAAGCTCTACCCCTGAACAAGGTATTGTGTATGTATCACCACAATCAATTTCGATCATATAGCATAGTGCTTCTAAAAAACATCTTGGCACTAGAAAAATAAAAACTCGGATTCATTCCATGAATTTTGGCATAGGTTCTATTACACTATCGTCTAAATATTTACCATCAATCTTTTTAATCTAGGATTTGAACCAACAATGACAATACACTTGTGAAACATCATAATAAACCAAATGTTTTGTAACCTTTGTGATAGCAGTCTGCAGTATAATGTAAACAATTTATCAATCTCATTTGATGAAAACATAAAATACAATTGTATGAGCTCCATGCAAGCTCAATTTCCAGACATTATAAGATCTAATACTGATAGACGAATAGTTTCAATGTGGGGACCTCATTGACAGATACAATTATGCTACACAAACCATCTTTCGACGACCCCATTTGCCATGTCTTAACAGGGATGAAATTCCTTCGTCTCACAACATCTTGTGGATAATATAACCGTTAGCATGTTTGATTTGACTATAAAAGGGAAGAGAAGTGCATCAGAATAGGCAACAAACAAATGTGGATTTTAATAAGCTTCTAATATCCTCTATTGCAAAGAAAGCACGGATGCAACAAATGGCTACACACACAAGCTTTCTGGCACACATGCATGTATGAATGTCAGCATACAAATTTTCCTTTAGATTGGTTCAGTCAAGGAACCACAAACCCTTCCATCTCTCCAAAAGCACGGTGAATTCCATTATTCCATAAAGCATTATGAGAGCTGATTCTCCCATCATGCCACATTCCAAGTCTCATTAGATCATCCGAAAATCTTATATGAATTGTTAGCCTGGTTTGTCAAGCTGAATCCCCAAAACTTGGAAAAAGCAAAGTACAAAGCCAAATGCTAAATGATAATATCAAGGAGAACACAATTCAATTTGCTTTCCAGTCAACAGCAATCCATGAGTAATCAATTTACGTATAAATATATGGAGAAATGTACATCAAAGCCCATGCACTTGTTCAGGAAAAGTACAACTAAGTTCAAGCGAATTATAAAATGAATGAAGACATATAACCTTTAAAATTAAAATGAAAATTAAGGATATACAACGGGTCAAATGCACAAAAATATAATCAACAGTAAAAGAAAACTGTATATGGTGCAAGAAAATTAAGATAAATCAATGGCTCGTACTTGGTTGCTGACTGTAAGGCTTCAAAGCTGGTTGTCCGACGCAAATTTGCTGAAAATTTCATATTTCAAACAAAACTTCAGAAAATTATAAGATGCCCATATGTATTGTGTGCGCAGAAATAAAAATAAATAAAAAAGGGAAACAAGAGCATGATTGAAATAGTTATTCAATTGCAAAAAAAATAACAAATATTTATAACTGTCAATCTAGAAGTCAAAACATACTTATAATAAAATGATAGATAAAATGACAGCTTGGAATAAAAAATGGATGCAAATACAGTACATACACATGCAAATGAACTAGATACATGAATGCTAAAAGGATGTCCTGACAATAATAGTACATGTAAAGTTGATACATTCAATTGCAAACAGAACCTAACAAAATTCCTTTGACAAAAAAAAAATTCTTCAAAAAGACAAGTTGATTTCACGATCCCATATGCCTTCGGAGATGATGTGAGAAACAATATTTAATCTCAAGTACCAACCTCGCATTTGTAATAATTGGATTTATAGAAAACTTCAAGGAAAAATATTAAATATTTTAAAAGCGTTTTCGGCATTCTACATGGTAGACCTGACATTATGCACAAAACTTGGAATTCCCTCAAATTTTCATCGACTCAAAATCAAAATTAAATTTCTTTGTGTGAAATATGTTTGAACCATTTTTTGAGCCACGGTTTAAACCTTGATTTAAATTTCCATTCAAACTCACAGTTCATCATTAAAATCAACCGTTCCAACTCACATTTTCATATGACCATCATTGTTCGAATCACATTTAAAACTCTCCATCACTCCTAACACAAACCCTTCCCTTTCACACGTCAATGATCCCGTCGATGGCTTCCTCCAACAAACTCCTATCATGAACCACTCTTCTCCTTCACAAGTGGTCGGTCCCGTTGAAGGCTTCACCAAGTAAGCTCCTATTGCAAGCCCTCTTGTTCTTCACATGTCACCATTTCCTTCAATGATTTACCCCAACGAGTTCTTGAAACAAACCCCTCTTTCCCTTCACATGTCATCGATCCCGTCAATGGCTACCCCAATGAGTTCTAGTTAAAAACCCTTCCTCTCCTTCACATGACCACACCGACACCATACCCTAGCGGGCTTTTCCACAAATTTCTATACACCGACACATGACATCTGTCCCATTTATACCTTCCCCCAAAGGCCTCTCATAGTGGTGAGATCCCAAGTGAGGCAAATGTTGTGATGCAAGTGATGTGAATGCCCAAGGAGAGATGTCGTATGAACCAATTCAAACCTAGGTTTAAACATGAGGTTCAAAATAAGTTCGAACATAGGTTCGAATTAGAAAAAAACCAAAGTTAAAATCAAGTTGAACTAGTTCAAATTTAAATCAATTTGAAAGGCCTTTGACACCGTGAATACAATAACTTATACCTCATTGAGCAAAAATTTATCCAATTGTAACTCATAAGAATATTTTTCCAAAGCAAAAAACAAAAACAGGGATATTCAGCCAATTATGTATATTACAAGGCACATAATAAATATATATATATATATATATATATAATTGTATTATTATTATTTTATAAAATAAAGAAGAAAAAAATCATAGAGAGGGATAAAGGAAAGAATAGTTCTAAATCACAATTAATTCCACTTACAAACACCGCAGCAACTACACCTGCGTTTGAAATGCCCCGCAAACATGAAAAATCACATAAAGTAGACATTCCGATAGGAAAAATTCCATAAATAGACATTCCCATACGAAAACCCAAGAAAGTAGACATTTAGAATAATCCAATAGATAAACACTTAAGTAGAGCAACTAGTTACATAAAAAGACACGACATGACATTTGGTGATTCCTAAATGCATGTCATTTCATTCTCATCATAGCTAGTATATATAATTGACAAATGAAAGGTAACAGAAAGAGACAACTTTTATTCACCGACAAGAAGAAAATTATATATAAATTAAATAACAAGGCAAATCACTGTTATCTATCCATCAAATGAAACCTTCTATTATCTTACTTAAAAGCACAATCAATCGTCCTTTTGCCATAAATTAGAAATACAAATGATTAATAGATACCAACTACTGGGAAAATTAATTATTCTCCTTGACACATCAACTTAGTCATGTCAGGAATATAAATGCTAAAAATGTATTATGATTCATATCGAAGTTGGCGTCCTAAAAACTAAGATCTTTCATCAGCGTATCAGATTTATCAATTCATCCCCACCTTGGTGTGAGTACAGATTGAGTGATTTTAAAGAAGAAGAAGAAGAATTGAAGCAATCTTGCTAAGTCAATATTTTCAAATGAGATAAAGTGGTTCTCACTTTCTTAAGGGCATACCTCTATCCTTCCGCTGAGTGAAGGAAGCCTGGATCGCTTTAAAGATATCTGGTGTAAATATGTAGACACCACAATTTATGAGATCACTAACCTACATAAGATAACAAAAAAAAAAAACATGAAGCTTGGACATTATTAGGATGGGAAAAGACTGGAGCAAATAAAGAAGACTCATGCTTACAAAAGTCTCTGGTTTCTCGGTATAATGCAGAAGCTCATTTGTTACAGGATCAGCCACCAATTCACCAAACTGATTTGCAGATTCAGCGGAAACCTATGCAGAAAACAGAAGAAAACCCTCTAGTTTTTCAGATTGAAATTGTTCAAGAAAGCAAATATGCAATTAAATTCTGGTGAGGTCTCTCTACCTTGATTACTAGTATTGTCCCCATTCCACCATAGTTTTTATGGGCATCTACAAAGCAACAGTAGAAAAAATACAATTTAGACGTGCAATGAAAAAAAAGTTCAAGAAGAAGTCAATTGTTGGTTGCAAATCCAGCACTCGACATGTATTAACACTGTAAATATTTCCAGTGATAGTTTCAACATTCTCTTTTTTACATGTTTCCCACTAGATCCTCCTGCATTCAAGTTCAGGGTCCTTGGATGGCAAGTAAAATATTTCAAGTTATGAGAGAAGTCATGTTTGTTGTTCATGTAGCAATATCGCTTACAAGTTGCGAAATACCTTGGACAGCTTGCAAAATCAGATCACAAGCTAAATGAATTATTGATTTTTAGGGAAATATTATCTAGAACAAAAATAAGAAACCTATCATTTGATATAATATTTTATGGAGTTCCAAAAGCAAGTAAGATTACCAAATTTCTAGGTCAACAGAGATGGGCCATCAGGAAAATGTCATAATAGTTAGCACATTTTTAAAAACAAAAATTACGTGAGGAGAAGTGCTCAGGTGCTGAACGACGTGCGCAGATACTACAGTTAAATACGGGTCTTACCAAGCATTTGTGGTAGTGGGAAGCTGCAGCAAACATCACAGTTCAACAAGAATATATGAGACTGCCACATAAAAAAAGACAGATAAGTAAGAGCAAGCTCAGCTCCCTCTTCATAATCATGGAAGACGTTCCAATGTTCTCAAAAAAAAAAAAAAAAATCCAAACACCAAGCAAACACTAAAAACCAGTAAATATCCTATTCTTAAGATGCACGTCATACACAGAAAGGAACAAGTTCAATCAAACATTAAAACGCTAACCGGATTTTCTTCCAATATATAATCTCTAAAAGTATACAGCCCTCCTGCCGATCCATGCGGTCTATCTTCTCTCAAATATCTACAAAAGCCACACCAATAACCAAAGTCAAACAACATAGCAGAAGTGCAAACCTAACAATTCACCAAACCAATCAAATGCACCTAACAGGAACTCTGAGTTCATTCGAAATAGCCGACACATAAAGAGCAAACTCCCGTTCCTCATAAAACCCAATAAGATAAATCTGAGCCAAGTTTGGAATCTGCAATTTTTACAGCAGCTCCGCTCATTAGCCAACAAATCAATCATCAAAAACAAAATAGAGCGATTCGGCGCTTACTCTGCTGCAAGCAGAGATAGGATGATGAACCATCGGCTGTCCCGCAAGAGGAAACAACGGCTTCGGAACATTCAACGACAAAGGCCTGAACCGCGTCCCTGCATCGAAGCAAAATATTCGAATCAACAGAACCGTCAAATCCAAAAATTCATCACAGATCCATGTCAATGACGTCAATACCTTTTGTAGGGCCTCCAACCATAATCACAGCCACAACTCTCTCTTCCGAACTCCCCATTGCTCAGATCCGAAACGATAAACCCTAGCTCGAGAAAATAAGATGCTCACCGCATGAGGAACAAAGCTAACCCTAGCTTTCCAGCTCTGGAGGAAGTAACGTAAGTTAGGAGGAGGAAGAAGCCAACGGGTGCGCGAATGGAAGACGAGGCGGGAGGGACCGATACCGGTCTGCTTCAGCTCCGTTGGCCTTTTAAGGAGTAAAGGTTATGAATACAACGTGGACCGGGCCGAGATGTGGGACCGGCCCGTAGGCCGGGATTTCCGCCCAGGGTAGAACCGGGCCTACGGAATTCGAATGCAATCGGCGAATCCAATGAAGCTACATCAAGACGTCAGGACTCACGAGTGTGTATAACGTGAAGAAAAGGATAAAATGATAAAATTATTAGTGCGGAGATGGGACGATCAGAATTATTCTAATTTATTCAAGGGTTCGAAAATCGGATCGAACAATGAATCGGTAGAAAGAGAGGTTCACGGTTCGGCCGGTTCATCTGGTCGAACCAAGATCGAATCGGATGACGTAATAAATAATAATATTATTAAAAAAATAAAATAAATAATAAATTTCCTGTAATATCTTCATTCTACATTCTATTTTCATAACTCCTAATTCAAATAACATAAACATGATATCAATAAAGTTTATAAAATATAAAAAAATAACACATAATATAAGTGTTGCATCAAATAAGTCAATAAAGCATAAACAAATGCATAGCTTTTGTCATCAAACAAAATGTTAATAATTTTATATAAAGGTTCTTCATCAAGAACCCAAAAATCCACCATCTCTATGCTTGTGTAATCCAAAGGATCGTAGTTTCTTTTTTTGTTTGAAATCTAAATATAATTAAAAGATCATTAAGTTATACAATCATACAAAAATGACATCTAAATATAATTAAAAGTCATATATTCATATCTATACCTCAAATTGAGGTTCTACCGAATAAATACCATATCATTTAGCCTTTGATGTTCTAAATGATATATTTTCTTTGTATGAATTTGTTCAAATACACTCCAATTCCTTTTACACCAAAATATTAAGATGTTTGGCTAAGAATTCTAACAACTAATTTCTGTAAATTTGGTGCACTTGATCCGAACATCTTCCACCCTTCATCTACAAAGAGATAAATATTAGTTAATTATTATATGATATGCATGAAAGAATAAATGTATTCTAACATATTGGTTTCACTTACCAGGCTGCATTTCTTTGGCCGTCTTTAGAGCAATTGGTTTGCCAAAGCTTTCCAAATTATCACGGAAGAGCTTAAATCTTGTCTAATAGACTTTTAGGGGGAGATTTTAAATCTCATTATTATGATAAATGTCATTTAAGCCACATTATTGATTAAAGCTAGGATTTCTTAAATACCACCATTCACTCGATGATTTAAGGAATTCAATTATTTCTCCTTCTCATAAGTCTTGAATCCTTCAAAAATAAAAATGCAAAAAAATTCTTCAATATTTCACTTTAAAAGAAATAAAAAAAAATGATTTTATATGCCCATAATGAAGACAATTGGAAAAATACATACATGTTTATTTTCTTGGCCAAATTTATCTGAAACCTTAGTTGTGAAAATTGGATCTAAGATAGAACTAGAGGCAGGACATGTTTAAATTTCAATGCTTTGTCAGGTGTTGAATTGAATGACTTGATACATATTAAATTTTTTTACCTTTGGGTACTTAATAGTGTTTTACTTTTACTTTTACATAACCATCGCATATATTACTCATTAGTAAAATCATAAATCAAACATGCAGTGAAATACTGAAATGTCTCTAAGGCTTAAAAACGTTGCTCTAAGCAGTTGTCAATTCAAACAAAAAACAAAGATTGTCTCCATGAAATGACCCAAAGGCTTGTCAATCCTAAAAAAACAAAGATTTTGGTGGAAAGGAAACATTGAAACACAAACACAGAACTGAAATTTCAATTTCCATCATCAAACAAGAAAACTCATCAAGATTCACAGCCTACCGTCAGCTGCAAATAGGAGCAAGGAGAAGTGCGTGAAAATTAAAAAACTCATAGTGGGTAGGAGAGGAGAACTTGACCAAGAGAAGGAAGCCTTCAATGAGTTCGATCAACTCCGTCGCTCCGGCAAAACAACAACTCCCGTCCATCCCATCCGAGAGGATTCGGGGGCCTGGAGGAATCGCGAAAATGAGGAGAAGAATAGGGTTTGACGGTTTTGTAAACTTTGTATTTGTTTTGTTATAACTTATAAGCTCTCTATCTCTAAGCCATTGGATTAAATCGGACGGCTAAAAATTGGTTTTATTCGAACCAGCCAGTTTTTTAAAACGAGACCAATTTTCCAGTTCGGCAGTCGAACTGCCGGTTTTTAACTTTTTTGCTATTAAGACAATAATCATATTTTTTTTGCTATTATTTTTTAGTTATTTTTCAAATGTTTTTTTATAGAGAGAGTTTTTTTTACTATCAAAGTAGCTAAATTAATTTTTCTATGCTACCAAAGTTTTTTTTTACTGTAAGTTACTAAGTTGTTTATTATTTTATATTTAACATTCTACATTCTTAAATAATAATTTTAAAAAAATTAAAGTTATTTATGCTGGTCCCAAGCCTAAATGTAAGAAGTTGAGGGGAAAAAAAATTTAGGTCCCAAACCAAGTCTTTAATCTCCATTAAAATTGAGTTTTTTTTTAAACTAAATTTGTGATTCAATGTGGACCAAAAAAAAAAATCAACTCACATGCACTAATTAATGAGATATTTATAAACCTAAAAGCTTCATAAATATTTATAAAATAAAACAACTATTTGTAAAAGCCAAAGAAATTCTATAGCTTTGACACTAACACTGTCATTTTCTTAAATATGTGGGAATTTAAGGTGTTTGGCTTCTAGGGGTGTCAATTTTTGACACGATTTGAACCTGATCCGGAAAAATCCGGATTAGGGTCAACTCGGACTCAAAACGGGTCGGGTTCTGGTTCAACAATTCAACCTGTTTTAAAAATCGGGTTGGGTTCGAGTTGACCCAGCAACCTAAAAATGACCTGAAATTGAGACGAAAACTCTTATTTGACTCGAAAACCCGAGATTTCCCTATTTTTGACCCGATTTTGACCTCAAAAATCGAAGACTGCGAAAACTAGCAATTTTAGGTTAACTTCGGGTCATTCGTGTCGGGTCGGGTTGACCCGAACCTGAATCGGGTGGGGTTCGGGTCCGAAAACCTGACCCGTTTTTAAAAACGGGTCAGGTTCGGTTTGACCTGAAGTGCCGGGTAAGTTCCGAGTTCGACCCGAACCCGACCCGTTGACCCTAATTGACACCCATATTGGCTTCGCAGCTGTCCGACACAACAACAACAACAACATCAAGCCTTTATCCCACTACGTGGGGTCGGCTACATGAATCCTTTTTCTCCATTGTGTCCTATTAAAAGTCAAATTCTCGTTTAAATCTAATAAAGAAAGGTCATTCCTAATATTTTCTAACCAAGTCTTTTTAGGTCTACCCCTACCTTTCTTAACATAAGTCAAATCTAATACCTCTACTCTCCTAACCGGGTCATCGCAAGGCCGCCGTTTTATGTGACCAAACCATCTAAGGCGACTTTCTCTAATCTTATCTTCTACTGGAGCTACTCCAACCTTTTCACGTATATGCTCATTTCGTATCCTATCTCTAAGGGTAAAGCCACTCATCCACCTGAGCATCCTCATCTCTGCCACACATAAGATGTTATGACATCTTATGCACCTTACAACAAAATTAATTCCACTCTCTTAGTTTAGCTAATGACCTTACTCAAAATGAAATGGTTTTTAAAGACTTAAAGAAGGTGAGAAGCGTGTGCTTACTGTGCTATATAAAAAAATTCTCTCCATGAACTTTTGGCCATTGGCTCCAAATGTTTTCATCAATGAAATAACCACATACAAACATTTATTTAACGAGCAAAAACATTATCTCATAACATATTTGCATAAAAAAATCATAAGAGCAAGAAAATTTTTTGGCGTTTAAATTTTAAATATGAACCAAAATTGATCATTCATAAAAAAAAAAATAACTTGATAAGTCATCAATGTCAATACAAATTTGAAATAAAACTTTTTAGAATCAAATAAACTCCAATTTTGTCAAATTTATAGCCAATTTTGAATCAATTCATAACAATTCAGTTAAATAAATGTAATTAATTTAAAGTGAATTATTTGAAATAATGAAGTATATGTGAATAGTGAATGATGGGTTCAATGACGGAATTTAGAGATATATTGAGACAATGGAGTTATCTTTAAAGATTGTTTATGGAATGTTTGATCATTATCTGTTGAGGAGATAAGAGCAGTGATCTAAAAATTCATTATAAGTATTAGTGTTGACATCGAGAGTTGGAGTTAATGTCTACTACGCGTATTTGTCTTATTTATGATTGCATGCATCCATGCAAATTGGCGACGATGGGTGACTAAGTTAGAGGGTGTAGATGTTTTGCATCAACAATGTGCATCTGTCTTTTGGTAATGAAGTGCATCAAAGCCCGCACTTCTTCTTCTGCCTTGGGCTGAGACGAACGCCAAACAGGAAGTCGACCTCACAAGGATTATTTCAACAGCACCAGTTTGTTTCCTCGCGTCGAGTCAAGAGACTAAGTCAAATATGGAGTCGACATCACTAGGTTTAATTAACCACTGGCACCAGTTCGCTTCCTTTGTCTCAAGCCTAGACAAACGATGCCAAATAAGAAGTCGACCTTGCTGTCGCCAGGAAACATCAGAACAAATTTGTTTTAGCCTTTAGGTAAGTGTTATTAATCTTCTCCATTGTTTCTCTTCCACATTCAAGCCATCACCAAAGCTTCTTTTTTCACTGATTATGCTTATTCTAACTAGGCTACTCAAATTTTTACACAAAAGCAACAAAATTATATTTTTATATGGTTTTTTTTTAATCAATTTTTAAAATGATCACATTTCCCCAAATCCTATTCACTCTATTATTGTGATTAGTCGTGGTTCTTACTTCTTGTTCAAAGAAAAAGAGTGATTGCATTGACTTTACTCTATTTTGGCTTAATTTGGTTAAAAGCACACAATTGAACAAAATATTGCATCACTAGTAGCACGAATGATTTCCTTGCTTGCTTGCATTGAAAAATAATTTGTGATGTTATGCTAGATAGATCAAATTAGGTGAG